ATTTACAGAGTAAAATGAAGTAACTCTGCTTATAAAGAAATGAAATCAAATAGCTTTGGATAGTTTGAAAAAGAACGTTTTTTGACCTTTTTTGATTAAATATGCACGATCAAGGAACGATGCAAAACACGTCATCGTTATGTCCTAACATAAAAAGAAGTCTTGTCATCAGGGCCGGGCGGGCTTTTGGTCTGGGGGCAGGAGTCCAAAAAATCGGCACATGCCGATTTTTTGCGAAAATTTTTTTCCAAAAATCCACAGGGGGGAACCACGTTCAAATTTTTTTCGAAAATTTTTTTCTGAGGGGGTACCCCCCCCCCTCGCGAACGGCCCTGCTTGTCATATATGACAACACTGATAGTTTTGTGAGGTCTTTTATCTACCTTTGCCCTAGCCCTAGCCCAGAGCCCTAGCCCAGCCCACAGCCCTAGCCCTAGCTTAGCCCAGAGCCCTAGAACAGAGCCCTAGCCCAGAGCCCTAGCCCAGAGCCCTAGCCCAGAGCCCTAGCCCAGAGCCCTAGCCCAGAGCCCTAGCCCTAGCCCAGGCCCTAGCCCTAGCCCTAGCCCTTGCCCTATTTGCTCTGCCTTTGCCTGCCTTACCCTTAAAAATAGCAGAAACTTTCTTTACAATACCTATTCCTAGCTCAATCTAACCTAGCCTAGTCTCTCCCTAATATTAAGCCTGGTTTTGAGCTTAGTCCGACCCTTCAAGACAGTAAAAACTTACTTTACAGAAGGTCTTAAAGTCTGTGTTCCATTGGTATGTTGATCATCCTTGAGGTATATTGGGAAACGTCTTTCACATTGATAACTAAAATTTCAAAAATTAGTCAAAAATTTTTAAAAATAGCAAGAACTTTCTTTACAAGACACAAAAAACTTTGTTTACAAATCAAAAAATGGCAAGAACTTTGTTTACAAAACACAAATTGGCAAAAACTTTCTTTCCAAAATTAAAAATGGCAAGAACTTTCTTTACAGACCAAAAACTCAAAAAAAGTAGAAAAAAACCTACTGTATTTCCTCGTAGTACTCTCGACTTCTAGGTGGTACATTATGATCCGTACTGAAATACGTAGATTTCTTGTATCCAATAGTACCATACTGATCATAAGCTGTACGAGTAGCTATCCTACTACTACTAGACTTAGCTGTAGGCTTAACATAAAACGTTGTCGTGGTATCATTTAACGTTGTGGTACTATTAAAATTTTTGGTCCTTTCGGCTTTAGTGGTACTATGAGGTAAAGTGGTACCACTACGACTACTAGTAGTACCATTATGATGATTAGTACTAATAAGACCATTAGTATACGAATTCAATGTAGTATTAGACCCCATAGTGCCACTATAAAAAGTAGTACCAGTAGTACCATTAGTACCAATGGTACCACTTTTTGAACCAAAACCATTATAAATAGTAGGATAAAGAGTACTGTAGTCGTTTAGAGACAGTAAGCTTTTAGATTTACTGTTATTTCTCCAAAATTCAACCTCAGTAGACCTAAACTCAATCAAGTTAGGCTTAGCCAGGCTTGGGTCCGTAGATGAACTAGAAGCCTCACTGGACGACTGATAACTGTTTACCATGGTATTTTAAGGTATGTATTATCTAAATTTTATAAAATTTTAAAATTTATAAAAATTTTAAAAAACCGCAATAACTTTGTTTACAAACTACAAAATAGCGACAACTTTCTTTACAAAAACGTAAAAAAATGGCAAAAACTTCCTTTCCAATTCAAAAAATGCAAAAACTTTGTTTACAAACTAAAAAATAGCAAAAACGTTCTTTACTCGAAAAAACTTAACTTCCGTATAACTTGTCACCTGCAGCCTGCAAAAGCTCAAAATGTGTTCATCCCTTATAAAACGGCAAGAACTTTCTTTCCAATACGAAAAATGACAAAAACTTTCTTTACAGAACCCGAATTGGCAACAACTTTCTTTATAAAACAGAAAACGCAGAAACTTTCTTTCCATGTCGAAAAATGACAAAAACTTTCTTTACAGAACCCGAATTGGCAAGAACTTTCTTTACAAACCCCAAAATAGAAAACACTTTCTTTCCAAAACATAAAATAGCAAAAACTTTCTTTCCATCCCTCAAAAGTGGTCTCCCAAACTTCGTAGGGTTCAATAATTTGGTCGGTAAAGTAAAAAGAACCCAGTAAAAGGTCATTTCCGTCCTGAACCCCACACTTCCATTACCCAGCGGATTTACCGCATTGTTTCGCTTTTTAAATCCTCTCTTATTGTTCATGAAAAGTGGCAAGAACTTTCTTTACAAAACGAAACATGGCAAGAACTTTCTTTACAAAACACAAAATGGCAAGAACTTTCTTTACAGAACAAAAAAATCATTTTCATAGTATAACTTGTCAGCTGCAGGCTGCACCAGCTTTCGTTTTAGTTTTTTATGCTAAAAATGGCAAGAACTTTCTTTACAAAACACAAAATGGCAAGAACTATCTTTACAAAACAAAAAATACCACCTTTCGTATAACTTGTCGCTCGTAGCCTGCAAAAACTCAAACCTCGCTAATTTCTTTGTAAAACCGCAAAGACTTTCTTTACAAAACAAAAATTGGCAGAAACTTTCTTTACAGCTTCAAATTTCAAAAAACTCTTTATTAAATCAACCGCCAATTAAAAAATACTCAAAAAACAAATTCGACCGAATTCCTTAAAACCCTCGAGGCACTCGAGAAATAGAACCCCCCGTTTTTTGCACTCATTTTACAACAAAAAACACAAATAGAGCGTCTTCAAGAGATCGTCGAGACTCTCGTTCCCTCTGGCGATTTACAGGATGAGTAAAGAGGATTTGATTTTTAAAGTGGAAAGAAAGTTTTTGCAGTTTCTTGTTTGTAACGAAAGCTCTTGCCATTTTTTAATTTGTAAAGAAAGTTCTTGCCATTTTTAACATAAAAAAGAAAAAAACCTGGTGCAGCCTGCAGGTTACAAGTTATACGATGAACAAAACTTCTGTTTTATAAAGAAAGTTCTTGCGGTTTTACGAAGAAATTAGCGAAATTTGAGTTCCTGCAGGATGCGAGTGACAAGTTATACGAAAGATTGCATTTATGGACCTGTAAAGAAAATTTTTGCCATTTTATGTTATTGGAAGAAAATTACTCCGCCTTACTCCACCATACAAGCAAGAACTTTCTTTCTACCTCACCAAAATCCAAGATAACCTAGTGAACGATTAAGTTTAGCTAGCCAAAGAGCTAGTAATTAAATCCGTGTGAATCAAAAACGATCTACCGTTTTCTCCCGTTCTCTGTCCCTCTCTTTCACTGGCGTACTCTCTCAGTACTATTTGTTTAGCGGTATTTTAGCGCCTTGACCAGTTCAATTTCGTTTCGAAAAACCGTCTTAAAAACAAAAAAAAACGTATTTTGAAAAAAACATGAAAGAACTTTCTTTACGTCCCAAAAAATGCCAAAAACTGCCCAAAATCGAAAACGCAACAACTTTCTTTACAAAAACCGAAACTTTTTTTGTTTACACTATATTAAATCTGACTTGAAATGCGATGGACTGAAAACGCCCTGAGGGAAAAACAACTTAAAACACTATATCCGATATAAAAAAAGGCGATTCGCTTGGATCGTCAATTATGATTCAGATGCGGTTTTTTGCATATTGTAATATTTTCATAATATTGCAGGTTTACAACTCAGTTTTTGAGGTTTGTTCGATTAAAAATGGCAGTTTTAAGCGTTTTAAAGGGGAAAAATGAGAAAAAGTTGGCAAAAAATGAAAAATAGGTAACAAAATCTATAAAAAAATTATAAAAAATAGTAAGACAGACCTTTTTAAAACATTTAAAAAAATTTCCTCTTCAAAAACATCCTTATTCTAATCAAAAAAAGCAAAAAACATCGAAAAACCCGTTCAAAGTCCCTTATTTTCCATTTTTTATCATAAAATCAATCCAAAAATTAATAAAACCACCTACAAAATAATAAAGAAATAAATTATAAATACCCCACAATAAATTTAAAACAATATAAAACCCCATTTCCAATCATTTCCCATCAAAAAACACCAAAAAGAGCCTTAGCCCGATGCGGGGCTCGAACCCGCGACAGCCAGATTAAGAGTCTGGTGCTCTACCGACTGAGCTAACCGGGCACACTTGGTCATCGCTTTATTTTCTTCCAGAAAACGATTGGCCTTTGAGGGTAACCTTATAGTAGGCTCTTAACATAATTTTTAACCCTTTTTTATGTTCAACCAGTCAATTTTTTCAACTTTAATCATCTTTTGGTAATAAAAAAGCTAAAAATTTAAAAAATTCCGTTTTTGATTAAAAGATGGTTGAAATGACATTAAAACAATAAAATAAAAATTTTGCCACTTTAAAATATAAAAACATTAAAAAATGTCCCTCAAACATTGTCCAACGCTTAAAATTGTATTTTATTCACAATATCAAAGTTTATAGCCAAAAACTATGGCGCGACCAGAAAAACAAGTATGTATACAATTTGGTCGTAAACATACTATCGCTATAATAAGTAAGATGACAAAACAAATGAGATGATACATTATTTGGCATTTTGAAACCATTTCTTTTTCAAAAATTTAAAAAAAAAAATCAAAAATTTTAGAAAATTTACAAGTTATTACATTTATAGTACTTAAAAATGTACTGCAATATAAGAGGACAAATCACAATATAAAAATACTCTTAGGTGTCAAAGTGCTTTTTAAGATTTAGTAAGGCTTGGCTGGTAGTTAAAATGCTAAAAAGTTAAAAAATTTTTAATTTAACATCAAAAAATGGCCAAAAGACGCCTAAAATAGGCCTAAAAACGCCATTTTTCGACTTAAAATCAACTTTAAGCCTAAAGAACACAACAAAAATTATACCTACTACCACTACCTACAACTACCAACCAACAACAGCTTTACTAAACCCAAATATACCAGTATATCCATTATTGAACTAGTAAAACGCCATGATTAATATAAAAGACTTGAGATACTTCAGAGACCCGTTCCCATGAAATCGATTTTAGGTACATTTGAAGACGGCTGCTGAGTGAATACCTGTTGTTCTAGGAATCGTATCCTCTCCTCCATCTCTTCGAATCGATTTTGGATATTCCTCATGTCACTTGTGGCTATTTTGGTACCATTTTGGTTCAGCTTTAGTCGTTTTTCTGGTGGATTATCGATTGTTTGAGCATTGTCAGTCGGATTTTGCTTCTGTTTGGCTTGGAAGAAGGCGTCTTGGACTGATTCTAAAGAGCCGACGGCTTCTACTACACATTCTGTCTTGGTTTGTTCGAAGCCGAAGCTAAAATATAAAAAACGTTACCTAAATTTCAAAAAAAAATTTTTTACAAAATTTAATATTCTGATTGACTTAGTTCAAAAATTATATTTAATAACCTTAAAAACGTTTTTATAACCCTTCGGCATAATAAATTTCAAAAAAAAATTTAAAATTTTTTTTAATTTCAAAATATTTAAAAAAAACGTTCAAAATAACTTACAAGGCCTTGATAATCTGTCCTGGGGTCCAATTTACTCTGTCCGAAGCTGTGTGTTCAACTTTCATCGAAGGAAAATAGTCTTCGTCGTTAACTTTACATATCACCATTCTCTGTTCGTTTACTACCCGTAACAATAGATATGTCTCTGAAATATCATTTTTATAATGCTGCGGTAAAAGGATATTCTATTTTTGTTACTTTAAAATGATTTTACAAGTCATAAAACTTTTATTTTCTCATAAAACGTCAAAAATCCTCTTCAAAAGCATCAATTTTTGGGGCTAGGACAAATGCGGTTTTTAGACATTTGCGGATCTGCGGTTTTTGGACACTTGCGGGTTTTAGACATTTGCGGATTTTTTAAAGGTTTTTTTATTTTTTAGCTAATTTAGTTGTATTATGGTACTAAATTGTACTAAAGTTTGAATTGGTACGGTTTTAACATAACAGTACCTTTTTGGGCTTTTAGTACTATATAGTACCAAAAATATAAAAACAGTACCGATTAAAAATTTAGTACAGGGTGTCCCAAGAAAAACGAAAAAAAACAAAAACGTTATATTTTGGTTAAGAAAAACGCTAAAAATGTCAAACTTGGCACTGTCAAAGATTGGCACATGCGGTTTTTTGTCCCAAAATTTCAGATTTTTCAAGTGCATACTAAGGGCACTATGATTTTTCAAAAAATAGTCATTTTCCCCCGAATTACACATGTTTTCAGTTGGAAATCCTTTTTTTGGTAAAATTTTCTGTTTTTGACAACTTTTTGGTTGAAAATGACATTTTTGACAAAGTTTTTGATTTTCAATCGTCGGCGGAGTATCGGCGGAGAATCGGCGGACGCTTAAATTTATCGGCGCAGGGCATAAATCGCTTGAAACATAACGTAAAGACATGAAACAAAAATTATTAGTTTTAGAATTATCAAGGCTATCTTGACTGATGCTGAGCTTAAAGTTCAAGTAGTTAAAAGACAGTAACTTATAAAAGACAACGTAAGTTAACATGGAAAACGGATTTTTAAGTTTATTTTGTAAATTGCACAAATAACTTGAAAATTTTAACGTATTTCTCCTTTTACTTCGTTTAACAACAAAAAAATCAAAAACATGATATTTTTGCTGTTTAAACGTAAAAGAACATTTGTTTTTTCATAATTTTTGAACATACGTACAATTTCCTGGAAAATTATAAAAATTTTTGAACCTTATGTTTTCTTTAAACTTTTTTTGCATATTTTTATGTTAAAGCTATTTTTTAGATTAGCTCAGCATCAGTCAAGATAGCCTTGATAATTCTAAAACTAATAATTTTTGTTTCATGTCTTTACGTTATTTTCAAGCGAGTTATGCCCTGCCCCGATAATTTTAAGCGTCCGCCGATTCTCCGCCGACGATTGAAAATCAAAAACTTTGTCAAAAATGTCATTTTCAACCAAAAAGTTGTCAAAAACTTAATTTTTACCAAAAAAAGCATTTCCAACTGAAAACATGTGTAATTCGGGGGAAAATGACTATTTTTTGAAAAATCATAGTGCCCTTAGTATGCACTTGAAAAATCTGAAATTTTGGGACAAAAAACCGCATGTGCCAATCTTTGACAATGCCAAGTTTGGCATTTTTAGCATTTTTCTCAACCAAAATATAACGTTTTAGTTTTTTTCGTTTTTCTTGGGACACCCTGTACTATTTAACATTAAGAAATATTAAGACAGTGCCAATTTAAACTTTAGTACCATTTAGTACCATACTAAATACAGCTAAATTAAAAAGTAAAAAAAAACCCTTTAAAAAATCCGCAAATGTCCAAAATCCGCATGTGTCCAAAAACCGAAAATCTGCAAGTGTCTAAAAACCGCAGATCCGCAAATGTCCAAAAACCGCATTTGTCCTAGCGCCCAATTTTTCACTTTTTTTACTAAAATCATGCCAAAATATAACAAAAGAATCCAAAAAATAAAAAACACTAAATTATAAATATCCCAAAATCAATTTAAAACAACATAAAACCCTTTAAAACCTCATTTCCAAGCATTTCCCCATCAAAAACAGCAAAAAGAGCCTTAGCCCGATGCGGGGCTCGAACCCGCGACAGCCAGATTAAGAGTCTGGTGCTCTACCGACTGAGCTAACCGGGCACACTCGCTCTTCGCTTTATTTTCTTCCAGGAAACGATTGGCCTTTGAGGGTAACCTTAAAGTAGGCTCATAACATAGTTTTTTACCGTTTTTTGTGTTCAACCGGTCAATTTTTTCAAACTTTTATAATTTTGGTAACAAAAATATTGGAAATTGTAAAAATTTTGTTTTTGATTAAAATATCGTTGAAATGACTTTAAAAAACACAAAAAAAAAGATTCCCCCAAATACTTCACTTTGGAACAACAAAAAAAATCAAAATTTTTCAAAATTTCAAAAAAAAATTTTAATTATAAACATTACTTACGTCTCAACTGATAAGCCGCCAATGCCACAACCTCTCCAAATTCACTTTTGTCTTCATTACTCAAGTTTGAATCCGTTTTTGGGCTATCACAGTAGCTCATGATGCTTTGATCACACGCCTTTAGGAATATTGATAAGGGATTGCTATCCTTAGATGGCCCAAAATCTTCCTCATCCTCTTCTTCTTGTGCTTCGCCTAGTTGATTTTCATCCGCTCCTCTCATGATGTCTAATAGGTAGTTGTTGGGTGGGGAGGTTGATCCATTTCGTTTGATTTGATTCGACCGTTCTCTGGGGATGCCGATGCCATTTAGTTCACAGTATCGACAGGTTTTTAGGAACATGATCACTAGGTTTCTGAAAATTGAAAATTTCTTCAATTTTAAATAAAAATCCACCCCCAAAAATAAATTTTTAAAAATTCTCAACCCCCAAAAATTTTTTATCCCTGCCACTATTTTCTAGTTATCTTAATATACCCTACCCTTCATTACCTACCCCTACCAGGCCTTACTCTACCCTACCTTTACAACAAAAGTACTTACTTGCTGATGCCATCGTACTTCTCATTCAGCTTCTTGAACATGACATCCCTCCTTGAGTGTGCCGTTTTCTGATGAGTTTCGTAGAGAATATCGAACAACTCGAATTCGTGCACCACCTTCTTGCCTTTCCTATACACAACATAGTTTTCATCCTCATCTTTCATCACTTCGTACTTCTCGGCATAGACCGTGTATTCACGTTCGAGGTTGGCTGGGAATGGAATGTCTTGGTTCTGAAAATCAAGCTTTTCATAGTTTAGGTAACAAAATAACTTTTTTTTTGTCTTTAGGTAACAAAAATAATTTTTTAAATAGTTTAGGTAACAAAATCAGTTTATAATTTAGGTAACAAGATTAATATTTGTTATATTTTAGGTAACAAAATGACTTTTTTTTGGTCTTTAAGCAACAAAATCAAGTTTTTCATACTTTAGGTATTCGAAAAAGTCATGTCGTACATTTTCATTGATTGTTACGTTAAGAAACGATAAGACTTTTTCAAATCCTTCATATAGGTACATAAGACATTAGTTTTTAAATTTAGGTAACAAAATATGACTTTTTTACATTTTAAGCAAAAAAACTTTTTTTTTTATACTTTAGGTATTCAAATAGGCATCTAGGTTTATAAAACCTTATTTTTTGATTTTAGGTAACCAAATACAATGTTTCAATACTTTAGGTAACAAAAATGAGTTTTCAAGGTTTTAAGTGTTTTAACTAGTCATATAGGTACAAAATACTAATTTCTTTTATTTTAGGTAACAAAACATAACTTTTTATAGTTTAGGAAACAAAATATGATTTTAGTTAATATAGACCCTGTTTGAAACATTTTTAACTCCAAAACACAATTAAAAATGGTTTTAAATCAAAAATGAAAAGCTTAAACATAATATGTAGTCAATTACAAACTTTTAGAGCCAAAACTTAACTTCAAAACCTATCACAATATCTAATACAACAGTACCTACCTTCATAGTGACAGCCTCAATGATCTGATCATAAAACTGCCTCGTCTTGACACCACAACATGTATGTGTCCTTAGCCATGTGTGTAGATCAGCATTGAAGACAACTTTCTCCTCTTCCTTATTGAAAGGATTGACACCTCTTCGAGTGACGGATCTGGGCAAGTTCAAGGTCTGTTCTATCGTTTCCTTGACTGATACTGAAGACGAATCATCGTTCTCTTCTGGAGATGTTCTTGGGGTTGAGGAAGCCATTGACCACTAAAAACAAAAAAAATAATAAAAAATAGCAGTTTTTACGTAAGAAAAGGCCAAAATTTCGAAAAAATGAGCATTTTTTAAAATAAAAAATTTTTGAAACAAAAAAATTAAATTTTAAAAATTTTTAGGTAACAACAAGACTATTTTTCACCTTCATACAAAATTTCAGCCGTCTAGCAAAAACACCAACGTTTAAAAATAGCATTTAACCCGCCCTATACCTAAATACCATTACCTAAAGCCCTCGAACTCTCAAATACCCACGCCCTGCTCAAAACGGCAAATTACAACAAAATAAAACAGTAAAAGCCGGCTTTCGACTACAATTTTGAGAAAATTTTAGGTCATAAATTAGGCCGGTTTAATCGTCTCTAGGCAACCTCGTAGCTAAGCTCAAAAACGGCCCGAAAGTAATGTTTTAGACGTGTAAACTACTGGCCAATATATTTATCCTCAGTTTTTTAATACCACAATAACCTAAAAATGTAATATTTTATAAGATATTGAAATAAAGCTGTGAATAACACGGCTAGCGCTTCAAAAAAATGAGGTTTTGGCTTTTAGAGGTATAGCCAGGTGAATAACTAAAGTAATTTTGATGTAACTCAGTAAATAATCGTCCAAACTAGCTGAAAGTTTACTATAATATGCTTTAAACTATCAGTAATCCTTTGCTAAAAACAATTTTTCAAAAAGCAAACGATTTGTTACCTAAAAATTAAAGTTTGCACTGTGCGCCCAAATATTCTCGGCTAAAAGTTCAAATTGCCATAACTTATGCTATACCAACTTAAAATTCAAAATCTCTTCAACATAATCTACATAATTTACCCTAATTTCAACTTGCAAAATCTCACATCAATCCCACACAAACTAAAAAAGATACACCCAAAACCCAGAGCTGACCATTATATTATCCATGATAATATCCTTACCTTTCGTTTCTCCACATTCCTCATGGCTTCCTGTTCATAAGCATGCTCCACACAAGGAATCAAGAATTTCAGGTGTTGGTAAAAAGGCCACTGGCTTTTGGAACCTTTTCGTCGATGTTCCGAACTGAAGCGTCGCTTCAGGATTCGAAACTTGTCTCTGATTATTACGACCGAGGCTGAAATAAGTTGAAAATTAATATTAAAAAGCTTGTAATGTGTATTTTATACTTCTAGACTAAAAATTAAGTCTAAAAGTTAAAGAAAATGTTCAAAAAAACATTGAGATAGCTTGTATTGGATTAGTCTTCGGCCAACAGCGCGGCTAATTCCGTTTCTTTCATAAAATTTGTTATTTTACTGGCTAAACTGGACTAAAACTAATGTATATACCTTGACAAAACTTCTTTCATATATCAAACTAAAAAATTTAATTTCCATTGATGTCGACCAAAAATAAATAAATTTTTCCTCGCGCGTCAAAAAGAATTGACGAAATTATCAAAGAAACGCTATCAAAAATGACCAATTCTTTTTGAAGCGGCTGGAAAAACATTTGTTTTGGTCGAAAATTGGTAAAAATAACTAAATTTATTAAAAGTAGAGATGGATATGAGTCTTGTTGAGGTGTATATAACAATTTTAATTTCTTTTATTGCTTTCAAGTCTCAATATTAACATCATAAACCTTATATACCTAAAGTATATTCCCCCAAATTTAAAAACCAGCCCTTTTGGATCCCATACACGTTTGACAGCCCAAAAGAAGTAAAACAATGTTGAAGAGCATCTCCTACCTTGTTCTTCACTAATGCCATCGTCTATTAATCTCTCCTTAATCCGGAGAAAGGCCTGATGTCTCACGTTGTCGTTGCTGTAGTTGTGGTCTTCTAGTTTATACAGAGACGGTTCTTCTTCAATTCTCTTGACTAGTCGGACCAGGAAATCCTGTTCTTCCATTGGACTAGATGGTGGCATTATCTGAAGGTTGAAAAAGTTGAAATTAAGTTTATATAAGGAATTTTAAAGTTTAAAAAAAATTTTTTTTTACATTTTTAATTCACGATAGGTCGAAACGTTTATAGAAAGAGCTAGTAAAGTCTCAAATTATAAAAAAAGGTTCTGGCACAACGATAAACCAAGGAGAAGATCAAAAAAGGCGCGATCAACCCCAAGACCGAGCTGGAAATGAAAGTGAAAGAAAAGCTGGATTAGGGACGCGGACCAAATGCCAAACCAGCAGAGAAAAATGGAAACAGTCTTCCTATATTGAGCTACGTTTAAAATTTTTTTAGCAAGAATTTTGTTTACAAACTTTAAAATGGCAAGAACTTTCTTTACAATACAAAAAATGGCAAGAACTTTCTTTACAAACTGAGAAATGACAAGAACTTTCTTTACAAAGCTTGAAATGGCAAAAACTTTGTTTACAAGACAGGAAATGGCAAGAAGTTTCCTTAAAACACAAAAAATGCCCTCAAGGTAACAAATAATATTGTAAGCAAAAATAAACTTTTAAAGCCTTTGAAAGCGTAAAAACTGGCCGAAATCCCCGTCTGGCTAGCCCATTTTTATACAAAGGAAGAGCGAAAAGAATTAGTCAAGAGCAAAGTCGGAGGGGGGGGAGAGTTTTTGAATTGCGGAAAAACAGTTTCTTGGGCCCGAGGCTAATTGCTTTTCAGGCTAGTCTAGAAGCTTAGTTAGGCCAGTCTGAACTGGATTTTGTAGGTTCGACATAGGTTACCCTGCCTTGCCTTTGCCCTGCCTTTGCCCTGCCATAGATAAAGTAGTAAAAGTCTTGTCGTTTTTTGCTGTGTAAAGGCAGGTAAATTGACGACAAGACTTTTCTATCACGCTCTAACACAAAAATTAAAAAAAATTTAAAATACATTTGAAGTCTACCCTCCCCCCTTCCTAAAGAATACAAGTTTTCATCTCCCCCTCCTATTTAAAAACATCTAAATTTGCCCCCCCCCCTCCCCCCCTACTAAAAACGAAATTTCTTCTACCCCTTCCCCTATTTGAACACGATTTAAATTCCTCCACTCCCCCCCCTGCTAAAAAATATAAATTTTATTCTACCCCTCCCCTATACCCCCTCTACCCAATCTAGCCAACCCTCCCCCCCCCCAACTCGTAAGCCAAAAGTTCAGGGGGGGGTTTCGAACGGTGTTTCGTGAGTCGTCTAGCCAATTTCCGTCACTCAAAACCGGCCGCTTAAGCGCCGTCCCGCCGGGATAGCCGGGAGCGAGAGAGTGTGGTGGGGATGAATAATATGGGCACGTCCAAGGAGACGGGAACAACTTGACTGGAGCCCGCCGCTTCCTTGGACTAGGGGAATTGTGCCACTTCGGAGACCAATAAAAATTTGCTTTTGCAACAAAGGAGTGGACAAAATTTAAAAAGTTTATAAAGTTTTGGGCTGGACTTCAAAATTACATATTAAAGTCGCTAAATCCTGTAAACTCAAAAATTTGCAAGCCTAACCCCTTTCTGGCTATCCTTTTTCAATATCTTTAGCCTTTTTGTGCCAGTTAGACATGAGAAACGGGCCGGGCCGGCCTTGAGCAAAATTCCGATCGGGCCGGGCCTGAAAAATGAGCCGGGCTCGGCCCGTTTCCACGTAAAGAAAAATTTAGACCCTGAGCAAAATTTCGATCGGGCTTAACATTCAGGCCCGGCCCGTTTCTCATGTCTAGTGCCAGTCCTTTCCCAAACAGCCAAGTCTTTCGTCCCTCAAAAAATCTGTGCCGTTCAGCCAAAATTACGCTCAAGGTTAAGTTTTACTTTATTCTAGAACAGTTTTTCTCCCGGCCATTACTGTTTTTCTAGCCAATCCTTTCTTTCCCAGCCAAAGTTTTTCTTCGGGCTATGCTCCCCCCCCCCCCTCCAGTTAAACTTGAAAGGGGGCCCACTCGGCCCGGCCCTTTTACAGGTCTACTCCCAGCTTCTTTTATTTTCAGCTAGTCTCTTCCCCACAGCCAAACATTCTGTCTTCGACGCAAGCTTTTAAGTTACAGCTAGCCCTGTAATAGAGCTAAGTCGGGCTTACCTTTCTGGCCCGGCTAGGCTGAGGCCGTTAACCCCTCCTCCTCTTTCAAGTCTACTTACAGCCAAAATTATGATTGAAGCCAAGGTTTTTAATAGCTAAGCCTTTCTATTCTCGGCCAAGTCTTGCTTTGCTCCCCATAGGCCAAGACATTTTTAAGACTAGCTTTTTCTCTTGGACTAAACTTTTTTATCTTTGGCTAGACCCTTTTAAAAGGCTAAAATTTTTATTTTTGAGCCAAGCCTTTCCCGGCTAAGGGTTCCCTTTGGCAGCCAAACCCTTTGCTTCCCGGCCAAGCAAGCTTTTCCCTTCCCGACTAAGCTCTTCGCTTCCCAGCCAAGCCTTTTTCTTTCCAGCCAGACCTTTCCCCTTCCTCCCAAGCCTTTTCCTTCAGTTTCAAGCCTTTCCCGGCTAAAACTCTCCCTATCCGGCCAAACCTTTCCCTTCCCGACCAAGCAAGCTTTTTCCCTTCCCGGCCAAGCCTTTTCCTTTCCAGTCTAAGCCTTTCCCTCTCCAACCAAGACCTTCCCTCCCCGGCCAAAGCCCCCCTTTTCCCAACAGCTAAAATTTGGGCCGAAAACACTTTCCCAATATAACGCAGCTCGGTCGTCGTGGCGTTTCGCAGCCAAATCCAAGCAAGCCTGACCCGGCAGCGGAGCGAGGACTGAGTGCGGTCGGGCCTTGCCCTCACCCCAAACAGACGGCGATCTCCGACCCCCGGCCCCTTTCCCCCCGTCCAGTCCGCGCTTTTCCGCCTGGCGTCTCTTGCGTTCGGGCGTGGGGTTTCGGCGGGTTGTTTCGACTAGCCGTCCGGTCGGCTGCTCTCCGAGGTTCGTGTTGACTATGGGTTGGGGATTGACTATGTCAGGCTTGTGATTATTGTTGATTATGATATAGTTTGCTTTTTTTTGGGGTTTTAAGGCTATGGGTGATAAAAATTTTTGAAAAATGAGGGGGGGGGTAAAAAGAATTTTTTTTTAATTTGAAAAAATTTAAAATTTAATGGTTTAATATGACTTTTGAAGCTTAACTTTATCAAAATCATCCTTAATATCACTTTATTTGTAACAACATTCTGTAGTTTTGTTTACAACTCTAGCTATGTTAAGATTAACCGGATCACATTGTCATTCCTTCTCTTTCTGTTCCACGTTATTTGTGTTTATATCGTCTCTCTTTTTGCTACGTTCTCTCACTTCATTCCTCTCCAGCTCGCTAAAACTCAGGCGAGCTTTGACGGGAGCTGAAACTGTGTTAAAGCCGGGGGTCGTAGCCGTAGGGTAGAACAAGGTAAGGTAGAGTAGGATAAGTAGGGCTGTAACTAGGGGTAATAACGAAAGAAGGGAGAGTCAGACTAGACTAAGGGGGGATTGAAAGGAGTATAGCAACGGTTACACTGATAGTGGTAGGGTAGGGCAAATGTGAGTGGGGTAGGGCACATTTGGAAAGAGTAGGGCATATATGAGTATAGTAGGACTAATTTGGGAAAGACAGGGTGGATTTTGGTATGGCAGATCAAATATGGGTATGGTGAGGCTAATTTGGATAAGGCAGAGTAGATTTGGGTAGGGTAGAGCAGGTAAGGTAGGGTAGGGTAATGTAGGGTACGGTAGAGTAGGGTAGGGTAGGACAAGGCATTTTGAGCTTCTCCAAGTAGGGCTAGACCCCTACAACAACTAAAGCCAGGGGACTCAAACAAAACCGGGAAAGGGGAGGGGGACGAATTGGAAGCGCAGCCGCTAGACCGACCAAACGGACGTTTGGCGAGGCCTTCTCTCCCTTTTCAGCCCACGAAAAAGGGACGCAAAGCCAGATGCGACGCATCTCTGTCCGTCTGCCTTCTCTAGCCCTTCAGTCCAGTCCAACACCCCGCCAAACCCTATCCGCTTTTCCGGGGCGACAAACACAGGCTTTTGATAATTGCCGACTTTAGCCTTCAGGGGCTGGTAAAGCTGGTTTTGGCTTGTTTTGGCCGCTAGAAGTGGTTTTTGGTTTGGGCAGGGGTTTTTGGGATTTTGGCTAAAAACTAAATTTTTTTGCTTCAGACTAGCCACTATGAGGTTATTTTTAGCCGGCTGGACTACATTTTAAATATATTTTTACTTGGCTAAACAAAAATTTTAAAAAATTTAACCAAAAGTGGCAAAAAAAAGTCTTGTTGTCAATTTACTAACATTTACGTAGTAAAAAACGCCAAGACTTTTTTTTCCTTTAAATACAATTTTTTTCAACCTTCAAATGAAAAAATAGTACCCAACGTACTACAACAGCACCACACCATCAAGTATTGCTTTATTTCCAACACATTTCAAATACTACAAATATGAATGACATTTACAAATAGAGGGTTAACATTTAGATATAGTTAGTGATGGGCGACTTCTCCGGGCCATTACTGTACACCGGGTTCTCAACCTGCACCACCTTGGCCGCATTCTGCTCACGAGACAAGTAACGATAGCCGGCCACAATAATGTAGAAGAAGCCCAGAGCTACAATAACACCGCCAATCGTGGTGAACAGGTCCAGGATGACCAAACTAATGAACTTTTCGTAGGTATGGGGCACGCGGGCGGCCTTGTAAAAGTCCTCGGCGTTTCTCAATACACTCACGATAAAGTTGATGTGGAAGAAGGCGGCACGGGCTTGGTCAAGGCACCAGATCACCTAAAATCATATAATTTTTTTTAAATTAAAAATTCAAAAAAATTTTTTTTTGAAGTTTGAAGAATTTGTTTAAAAATACCATTTTTATAATTTTTTAGTCAAAAATTTATTATTAAATCGCCAAAAAAAAGTTTTGTCGTTTTTTACATTGCGAATACATTAAGATTAACGACAAGACTTTCGTAGTCCCTTTGTTATTCATATTTTTAACCATTTTTAACTATGAAGTAATAAACAAGATTAATTTAAATTTTTTTGTAAAATAAAAAATAGAAAAAACTTTGTTTACAAAATGACCGCAGCAGAATAAACTTTTTTTTTTTGCTAAAAAGCTTTTTTTTCATTTTAAAGCTTAAAAAAGTTAAATAAATTTATAAAAACAATTGAAAAACATTCATTTTTAATCAAAAATTTATTTCCATATTTTTTACTTTCAAAAAGCATCGAAAATAACATTAATTTCATCAAAAGCCACCTACAAACTTCGACAAAAGGATTTGACGAAGGTGGGATTCGAACCCACGCCCCCGAAGAGACTGGTGCCTAAAACCAGCGCCTTAGACCACTCGGCCACTTCGCCACGCTCTCTCGCCTCTTCCAAAGCGAACCGAGTGCGAGCGGAGGGGGTCGTCCCGCCACAAACCCAATATATCGGTGAGTTTTAACCCGAATTCGCGGGTTTTAACGTCGTATGATCATGAATTTAACGGCGTATGATCATGTTGACTGTTTATAGATGAGTTTACTTTGGTTTTTATTGATCAGAATGTCAGATTTTGTTAGGAAACGCCGAAAACTTTGATTTTTGGGGTTTTGAAAGAGATTTTTTGAGAAAAAACAGTGATAGTACTGTGGAATGGACTTTGATGGTTCTGTAAATTGATTTTATGTATCTACTGTACATTAAAAATGATTTTAAAAACAGTAAAAAAAATGAATTTAAAAAACAGTAAAGAATTTGCCTTTTAATTAAAAAAACAATAAAAAGTTTTGTCGTTTTTATCCTTGAAAACATAGTACTTTGGCGACAAGACTTTTTTTGCAACGTTAACATAATAAATCTGCATAAAATTCAAAAACCTACATTAAAAACAATGGCAGGCCAGTAGAAGCCCTTGCTGCGATTCCTGTTGCCAATCACCATCATGACGTGCACGATGAAGCCGATCCCAGCGGCCAGGATGATAATAGTGTCCAGGACATTGGGTGTGGTCGAGGCGGTGTAGATACGACGGGCCAAAGCGATTCCATACGAAACTGACAGAAAAACACCGGCTACGAATGCGAGGGTCTGAAATGTTTTAAACTTTAATTTTGAAGCAAAAACTTTGTTTACAAAGATTAAAATGACAAGACCTTTCTTTACAAAGCAAAAAATGGCAAGAACTTTCTTTACAGAACATAAAATGGCAAGAACTTTCTTTACAGAACATAAAATGGCAAGAACTTTCTTTACAGAACATAAAATGGCAAGAACTTTCTTTACAGAACATAAAATGGCAAGAACTTTCTTTACAGAACATAAAATGGCAAGAACTTTCCTTACATAATAAAAAATTGCAAATACCACAACAATAAAAGTACTTACATGCTTATGGAAGAGTCCACAACAACAATAGTCCTGACTTTGTTCTTTTGTCATTTTTTTCTAAAAATTTTTAAAATTACGACAATTCGGGAAATAACATCTGGCACGCAATGAAGATTTATTTTGGAAAGGAACGTTTTCGAAAAAACAAGCTCGTCGATGATACAACAAGAAATATAAAAATCGTATTATTTATAATCAAATTTACAGAACTGTCAGTCAACATTGGTAGGGGGGGCTTGGTTCGAAAAAATTGGATTTTACAAAAGAATAAGACCCTACCCTACCCTAACCTACCCTAACCTACCCTACCCTACCCTACCCTACCCTACCCTACCCTACTCAAACCTGCCTTACTCTACCCTATAATATCTTGTTTTACCCTACCCTACTTTATTATACTATACCCTACCTTACCCTACCCTGTCCCAAGGACAAAGAAGCATGCCTTACCTCACCCCCTCGCTTATCATAGTTTACCTGCTACGCTGCTCAACCTTACTCTACTAGATTTGCCATAATTTTTCCTACTCTAATTTACCTTACTCTACCCCAAAATATTTTATCTTACGTTACCCTGCCCTATACTATCTTATTTTAGCCTACCTTACTCTACTTGGCCTACTTTACCCTACCTTATAATACTCTGTTTATCATCACAATCTACCCTAACCTGTTCCTAAAGCCGCGAACCTTATTTTGCCTATGAAACGCAATGCCAAACGTATACAAAGTGAGCCAAAAACTCAATTTTACTCTGTAAAAACCTCTAAAATTCAAAAAATATTAAAAAATTGCTGTTTTGAAGCAAACTCTTTAACGATCAACCAATGATCAATCAGTAAAAACCAAATTAAACAAAAGACCGTACTTTTTCATATTGTAAACGTTAATTACTACAACCTGAACAGGCTTTGTTTTATTACTACAACAAAGTATTCGGCTTTGTTTTGGCGATTTGACACGTTTTTAATTCGATTAGGCTTATTTTATAAGGTTATGTGTTGACATAACATTATAATTAGTTTAAAATTTTGAGTAAAATTATAATCTTAAAAAGAATGGCATTTAAAAACGGAAAAAAAAGTTTTGTCGTTCTTTAATGTTTAAATGTATGTAAATTAACGACAAAACTTTTTTTTACTGTTTAAAATTTAAATTTTAATGCTTTTTTCAGATTTCAAATAAAAATTTTTTTAAATTTTTTTCAAAATGTAAAATTGAAGAAACTTTCTTTCCAAATAGACCTGCAGGCAGGACCGGACAGGAACTTTTGGTCTGAGGGCGGTCAAAAAAGGTTGCTACATGTGCCGATTTCTTGCGAAAATTTGTTTAGGGGGGGGGGGGGGAGGACACAAGCGCCCGGCCCTGCCTACAGTCATTTTTAGGGTTTTGGTACTTAGGCTAGTACTAAGAGAGCACTTTTGAGCTAAAGAGTAAAGATCACCTTACTTTGCCCTACTTTACCTTGCTCTATCTTATCCCATCCAAGACCACTCTCCCCCATCCTACTTCACCTTACGGCACTCTACCCCTTCGTACACTACTTTACCTCTTCCTCACCCTATCCCGTTTTACCCTACTCTGTGCAACCCTATCTTGCCTTACTTCACCTTAACCTACCATGCCCAACAATCAACTCTACCCCCCCCCCCTCAAAAAAATACCTCAAGCCCATACCTCTACATAAACCCATAAAGTAACAAAACCGTTCCAACCCAGTAACTTAACAGCCGGTCAAGCCGAGTATTTAACTTTTGTTGGGAAAAAAGTTGTAAAGAAGATGGTGACGGTCGCGCAGCTTCTCGTCGCTCACGCGACTTCTGGGCCCTCCAAAAATAGAAAAGGAACGAAGCGACGTTTAAAACACAACCATTTCTTGTTACAATTGTCACGGAACGCCGGCAAAGTTAGGAAACTGGCTACAATGTAAAGGATGGGGAAGGGTTTAGTGTAAATTAGAGATGTTAAGGTGGAGAAGGTGTTTTGAAAGCGGCGACAAAATTTATATATTGTTTTTGAATTTGATAAACATGAACAACATACAAACAAAAGCATGTTTTACTTCTTATTACACTACCTTAACTTTAGTCTAAACTGAAAAAAAAGATCTAAGTGCTAGGCCTAGACTAAGCCAATTACGATTTAACCAGATTAAACTACGGCTATGAACTAAAACAAGGGCCAAAGCTAAGGCTAGCCTTAGTTCTAGCTTAAAGTCCCAGCCCAGAGTCCTAGCCCAGAGCCTTAGCCCAGAGCTCTAAACTTAGCATTCCCTAGCCTTGCCTTAACCTTGCCCTAGTCTTGCAGTAGCCTTGCCCTAGCCTTGTCCAAGCCGTGCTCTCGCCTTGCTATCGCCTTTCCTTAGCCTTGCCCTAGCCTTGCCCTAGCCTTGCCTTAGCCTTGCCCTAGCCTTGCCCTAGCCTTGCCCTAGCCTTGCTTTAGCTTTGCCCTAGCCTTGCCTTAGCCTTGCTTTAGCTTTATCTTAACCTTACCCTGGCTTTGTCGTAGCCTTGCTCTAGCCTTCCCCTAACCTTTTCCTAGCCTTACTTTAGCCTTGCCCTAGCCTTGTCCTAGCCGTGCTCTAGCCTTGCTCTAGCCTTGCCTTAGCCTTGCTCTAGCCTTGCCTTAGTCTTACTCTAGCCTAATTTTAACTTTGCCCTAGCCTAGTTCTAGCGTTAGATAGCTCATGTGGCTTGTGTCTTAGCCTTAGTTTAACGCATAGCCGCTGTTCTAGCGCAGAGTCTCGCTCTAACCTTATCAGAACCCAAGAAAAAGTATCAACTAACGTCTTTGAACACTTTTTACAAAAAAGTTAAGGTTACGCGATTCATGTCTTTACTATAGTAAAAATGATGACTTTAAACGTTCGAGTGAGAAAAAAGAGAAAGGAAGACATAAAGAACCCTTAAGAACCTTGAGTTAATTACTCTTAAAACTACAAAGTATGGTAAAGTTTGATGAATTTTGAAAAAGCAGATCTAAACAAGATGAGATGGCATAGCTTAACTTCCTGGTATTGCGCGGTACATTATGTTACAGTAAAAGTTTTGGTATTATATAAAATAAAGTTGGCGTTTACTATATAAAAAAGCTTATACATTTTTAAAATTATGCTTCAGACCCAATCCAGCACATTCCAGCCCCAGCCCCAGCCCCAGCTCCCGCCCCAGCCCCAGCCCCAGCCCCAGCCCCAGCCCCAGCCCCAGCCCCAGCTCCAGCCCCAGCCCCAGCCCCAGCCCCAGCCTCAGCCCCAGCCCCAGCCCCAGCCCCAGCCCCAGCCCAGTCAAGGCAAGCCCAACCCAGCCCAGCCAAGTCAAGGCAAGCCCAGTCTTTTCTATTTTATTTCAACTCAGTCCAGTCTAGCTCCAGCCTTAGGTGCGGTTCCAGCTATGACTTTAGCGTCAGCTGCGGCTTCAGCGTCAGCGTCAGCGGCAGTGTCGGCGTCAGCGTCAACTTCAGCGTCAACTTGAGCTTCGGCTTCAGCCTCAACCTCTGTTCTAAACCTAACCTTTGCATCACTATTACCTATAGTATTATATGTATGTAACTAAAAATGACTTAAAAATTTTGTCCGAAACATAATAAAATGACAAAACACATAAGACTGAACGTCTACTTATACAACAAGATTGCCCTCTCCTGTCTGCCATTTTGATTTGAAGTAATTTTCGAAAGTCGTTGTCTATAAAAAGAATCAAAATCAATGTTAAGAAATCGTTTCATTCGTTGAAGAGTACTTTATTAATTGAATTGATCTATCCGACAGCTAGTTTAATATGTATAACGCGTGATAATGTGTTGTTTTTGTGTTATGTGATAGGGAAGGTAGTAAAGGTTGTCATGGATAACAATATTGATTTTCAGTTACCTTACCTTACCTTGTTTTACCTTACCCTACCCTACCCTACCCTACCCTACCCTACCCTACCCTACCCTACCCTACCCTACCCTACCCTACCCTACCCTACCCTACCCTACCCTATCCTACCCTACCCTACCCTACCCTACTCTTCCCTACCCTACCCTACTCTACCTTTCCCTACCCTTCCCTACCCTACTCTACCCTTCCCTACCCTGCTCTACCCTTCCCTATCTTAACTTACTATACTCTATAGTACGCACCCTAACTTACCTACTCTGCCTTGTTCTTTTAAACTTTTGATCTCAATTGCTGTTCTATCTACAGTACAATATTTACATAGTGCATTTAATTGTCATATCTTCAATATTAATTTAATATTAAGTCGGCCGCAACAATTAGGAAACTGTAGTTGGTTTTAAAAAACGTACTGTTTACCGTATGTTTCTTTGAAATTCAATAACAAATTAATTTGTTTAGCAGTCGCCTCACACTTACAGTATATCAAGAATAATTTTCCTTAATCCAACTAAAAATTGAACCTCAACTTTGTCTGTCACTACAATAAAGGTCTGTTTTAATCAAACACAAAGTTATGTCTGTAAGGCTGAGAAACAGAGCAGGCCGGCCTTGAGATAAACTTGAAACGGGCCGAGCCTAAAAATTCAAACATTTTTTAAATAGACTAAAGCAGACCAGGTCTAAGCTTTTTCTGACCGGACCGACCTGAGAAAAATGTTGAAAACTGGCCGGGCCTAAACATTGAGTTTCGAGCTTTGGCTTCAAAAGTGCGCCCGCAACCTGCTCTGTCCTTTAACCTTACCTTGATCTACCCCTTCCCAAAAAATTGTGTTTTACCCTCCCCTTCTTCTGACCATAAACTATATTTTACATATTTTACATAAACTCGAATATCTTGAATAAATAACTTATTATTGCAATAATAAAGAAAACAACATTCGATTTTGTACAAAATTCATTATTATTTTGAGATTTGTACCTAAATTTGTACTTTCCAAAATTTTCATTTCCACCGGTGTTTGCCTCATGCTACTAGCTTTAACAAGACGTTATCACACATTTAGTACTTGACTTCTGTTTGGCAGACCATCTCGTTGATCTACTTCATTCGACCGGTCGATAAGTTCATGTTCAACAGAAGGACAGAAGCTTTCTAGTGTAGTTCGGCTTTGGGGCTGGCTACAGCGTTCCAACCCGTTTTCCATCATGCGACACCGGTCCAGACCGTCCTCTATCGTGCCATACCGTTCCAGACCGTCCTCCATCGTCCGGTCGAACATTGGTCGACTTTCCACGTCGTCAAGTCGTTTCATTTCTACACATTTTTTAGATTCCGAGACCTCTTTTAGGTATTGATAGCCACAGAATACGATGACCAAGGTTGAGAAGCCAAGAGTCGGCCGAAGAACATTGACGAACACATCGTCCACGAAGGTGTTCAAGAAGTCGTGATGGAATGGGATTACTACAGTTTGGGTAAAGGTCTTGTTATCAGTTAGGGACGAGAAGTAGGCCCAAGACTTGGTCACTGATTCACAAGTTTGGTCAAATGACCAGAGAACCTGAAAATGAAAGAATCATTAAAAGCTACAGTAATCTGAAATTTAAAAAATACAGTAATCTTAAAATTAAAAAATCATCAAAAACTACAGTAAGCTGAAATTCAAAAAATACAGTAATCAAAAACTGTAGTAATCTTAAAATTAAAAAATTATTAAAAACTACAGTGAGCTGAAATTCAAAAACTACAGTAATCAAAAACTACAGTAATCTCAAAAACTATAGTTATCTTAAAGTAAAAGATAGACTTTTTGCGTTTGTAAAGAAAGTAATTGCGGTTTTTGAGTCCGTAAAAAATTTTTTTCTACTCAACATTAACCCTCCCCCCACCCCCCCCCCTCTCAAAACTTACACTGTAAAACAGTCCAGGTATGTAAAGCCAGTAAACCCGCAGCACATTTCCAAGTAAAAGTGTCAGATATGCTAACAATGGTAACGCTGATGCTCCAACACCAATATACCCAATATCCCATAGGTCATTTTGTATCGTGTGTTGTAGAGTGGCAGCGAACGAGACACTGTAGCAAATAGAGAGAAACGCAGCGAGTAGGAAGTTGGCCTTCTGAAATGTTGGTTTTAAGTAATGTGTCATATTTTATGATAAGTTATGACATTTTTTACTTAAAATGAACTTTTTTAGGTAAAGCGTGACATCCACGGCTTCGACCTCAAAATTACACATTTAATCTTAAAATGACACCTTAATTTTAAAATGTTTCAAAATGAAATTTTTAAGCTTCTGATGACATTTTTGGTTTCTGAAAGACGTTTGGTTTACTAAAAATGACATTCTTAACTTCAAAAGAACATTTTTCAGGTAAAACCTGACATTTTTAGCTGCAAAGTGACGTTCTTAATTTAAAAATTACCCTTAAACTTTTAAGTGACATTTACAAACATATGGAGACGTTTTTTGTTTCTAAATGTCATTTTTTACCAAAAAATCAAATCCTTAACTTTAAAATGACATTTTCCATGTAAAACCTGACATTTTTTGCTTAAAAGTGACATTTTTAATTCCAAAATGACCCTTAAAGTCTTAAGTGACATTTTTGAACTTTTGATGACACTTTTATCAAATTTAACAAAAATGACATTCTCTATTTTAAAATGACATTTTTTAAGTAAGGCATCCCATTTTTGTCTTTAAAACGAAATTTTTAGTTTCAAAATGACACCTTCACTTTCTAATGACATTTTTAAATTTATAATGACATTTTAGGTTTCTGGATGACACTTTGTGACCAAAAATGACATTTTTAATACTAAAGTTACATTTTTAGGTATTGAATAAAAAATGGTATTCAGAAACTAAAAATGTCATCATATTTTTGTAAATGTCATTTAAAAACTAAGGTGTCATTTTAAAAAATTTCTTGACATTTTTGACTTCATAGTGACATTTTTAATCTCAAACTGACATTTTAGTTTTTAACTGACATGTTTAATTTATGACGGCATTTTTCGACCTAAAATGCCCTTCTTAGCTCTAAAATGATATTTTTAGTCATAAATTGATATTCGGAGCAAAGAATGTCTTTATAGTCCTAGCTTGAGCCCTGGTCTTAGCCTTACCTCAACTCTACGTTATCTCTACCCTTACCTATCTCTACTATAGCCTACCTCTACCTATTAATATCTCTACCCTATGTCATAATAACCTTAGAAATTAGTAAAACTATAACAAAGCCACCTACATGAATGTGGATCTGTAGAAAGTATTGTGATGAGACTTCTGTTGCACCCATTTGTCAAATTTCACCGACCAGCGGAATTCCTGAAAAACGACTGTAAATCACGGTGAAAAGGTTGTTTTTTACACTGTACACCGGATGTTACAATAGCGCATTATCGACCTTTACTACAATAATCATGCATAATATGAAGGCAGTGTAACGAGCATGAGTTTTAGGAAAGAGGGGTGAAGAATGAGTAAAAGGGGATCATCTTACCCTAATCTACCATACCCTACTTTATATTAGCCTACTCTATCCTGCTCTACCCTACCTCATCCTACCGTAAAGCTAGAACAGAAAAAAAATCAAAAATATATTAATTTAGGTAACAAAACCAATAAAAATTTCCAAAAATACCTTTTAAATCACAGAAAGCAAAGAAGATGAGTAAGAACGACTGGTAACAGTATTACTTTACAGTAAAGTGTATTTATGGCTCTCTGATCTATGATCTTTTCGATTGTTTCTGGAAGTTTCACCGCTTGTTATATATTGTTATTGTCACATTTGGTCAGAAAAACAAGGAGTAATCGCTTCAAACAGCATGGTAAAGTTCTTTTTTTTAAAATGGCGTTTTTTGTTGAATATGACAGTGTTAGGGCAAAAATGACATTTTAGATTTGGAATGACATTTTAGGTTCAAAATAACACCTTAAAATGACATTCTGAGCTTCGAAGTGACATTTTAGATTTTTAAATTCAAAGTGAGATTTCTTAGGCTAAAAATGACATTTGTAGACTAAGGGGATTATTAGATTAAAGATGACATTTTAAAACAAATATAACATTTTTAAACTAAAGATGACATTTTTAGACTAGATATGACATTTTTAAACCAAAGATGACATTTTTAAACTGGAGATGACATTTGTAGACTAGATTGACATTTTTAGACTACATGACATTTTTAAACTGACATGTGAATATGCCATTTTTAACACAAATATGACATTTTTAGACTAAGGATGACATTATTAAATCAAATATGACATTTTTAAGCTAAAGATGACATTTTTAAACTAAAGAGGACATTTGTAGACTAGATATGACATTTTTAGACCAAATATGACAATTTTAGACTAAAGATGACATTATTAGCTCAAATATGACATTTTTAAACTAAAGATGACATTTTTAAACTGAAGAGGGCATTTGTAGACTAGATATAACATTTTTAACACAAATATGACATTTTTAAACTAAAGATGACATTTTAAAACAAATATAAAATTTTTAAACTGAAGATGACATTTTTAGACTAATGATGACATTTTTAAACTGAAGAGGGCATTTGTAGACTAGCTTTTTTCTATTAAATGACATTTTCATTAACAAAATGACATCACCCTTCAATGTGATGTATAATAACATCAAAACACCAAAACCTCTCCAAAACCATCACTGCTGCCACCAAAAAGGCAGTAATTCGATCCAAAAACTGTTTTTTACACTGTAAACCCCTCCACTCTCCAACTTTTTTATTCAAACATCAGTATGACAATCGGCTGTTTGTTTGTACTTCAATCCATTAAAAAACACAAAAACATCTGTTTACTGTAAAGTTTTGTCTAATTTTAAAGTGGGGGTGACAAAATGGGTCTTGGCGCCAAAAGCTTTGTGTTCTGTCTGAACTCAATGGTCAGACATTAATGAGGAGTATGTCGTTTTAAAATATGAAATTTTATTTTGAAACCAAAAATACAAAACAGAACAAATAAAAAAAAAACCAAGAATGTCTGGAGGAAAGATAAAGTGAAGCTAGGATATGATAGACTAAGATAGGCTAAGAATAAAGAGAGACCTAGATATGCTTAGAGTTCAAGCAAGGCTGGAATATTCTAGAGCTAAAGCTAGGGCTGAAACTAACAATATAAGACAAATCTAATACTAATGCTAAGACTATAACGAAAGCTGTAGGCTAAAACTAAAGAGTTACATTTTAAAATGTCATTTAAAAGTTAAAAGTGTCACAATGAAACCAAAAACCAATATTGTCACTTTTTAACTAAAGCTTTCATCTTAAAACTAAAAATGTCAGTATAAAGAAAAAGAATGTCATTTTAAACTAAAAATGTCCTTTTAAATCCACAAAATGTCATTTTAAAATCAAAAAGCCCCATTAACAAAAAGAAAAGTCATCACACGATTAAAAATGTCACGTTCCATTAAAAAACAACCAATTTTATTTCTCAACCTTTATCCTGACAATCGACTTCAAATACCATACCCAAAAACCCTTTGCCATCGCTATTTTCCCCGTCCTCTCAATAACCCTTGCCTTCTCAACTTCCCCATCCTCTCAGATAATTTGTGAACAAATCACTCGCATGGTTAACAAAATAATCGAAAAACAGTGGATTGTTAATCAAATTAACCCCCTGTTTGTTAGAATGTGTTAAACCAATGGTTTTACCTTGACTTTTGAAGATTTATTGAAGAAGACATAGCGCGTACGTCAACGACAATCAAGTCATATTACATTAGACACGAACGGATGTTGCGTAAGGTTTTGAGAAAGATACGGTTTGTAACCGGAGTAGATGTGTATGTTGAAAGGTTTTGTTACTTTTTAGCATTATAACATACGATTAGAATAAGAGGATTATCATTAATTTGATAAGCATTAAAGTACAAAACAGGCCTTAATCTTAGCCCTAGCCCTAGCCTCAGCCCTAGCCCTAGCTCTAGCCTTAGCCTTAGCCATAGCGCTAACTCTAGCCCTAGTCTTGGCCCTAGTTATATCCATAGCCATAGCTCTAGCTCAAGCCCTATCCGCCGCTTGGCTAGTCCTAGTCCTAACTCTAGCCCTAGTCTTGGCATTAGCCATATCCATAGCTCTAGCCCAGCTCTATCCTTCGCTTGGCTAGTCCTAGTCCTAACCCCAGCCAGCTATCTAGCGAGATATCTCTATCCCACACTAGCTGTACTGTAACCTAGTTCTACATTAGCGCTTAATCATATCCGATCCTACATAGCTTGCCTTTCCCCTTATTTACTCCCTGACAATTCTTCATAACACCCAACACATACTACTCTCAAATTTTACCTATTTCTGTCAATCTTTTTCCAAAAATATATAGAAAATTCAAGACCCCACCAGCTACAGTAACCCCAACCACCCAAATCAACAAGTTTTTGGAATGCGAACAAAAAATCAGACCCCAAAAAATGTTTGGAATAATAAAAAAAAGTTGCTCACGTGTTGGAAAAGCAATCAAATGATTCTTTTCAATTGAAGAAACTGATTAGACCTAGAACCTTTTACAAGATCTTGTTGTAAAGTGTGATTACGAATAGTCAGTTTGAAAAGGCGCTGACGCCAGACGAAGCGGCAAGAGCAAGGAATCAAACTTTTCGAAATTTTTGGTAATAAAACAGTGAATTTTATGAAATTTTGTTGATGAAAAATATGTTTTTTTTCAGTTTTTTGCTTTTAAAATGTTTGACAAAAAAAAGAAAACTTTTAAATACTACTATATATGTTATCATTTCCTACAACTTGCCTTGCCTTCAGCTCGAGCCTAGCTCTAGTCCTAGAACTAGCTTTAGCCACAGTCATAGCGTTAGCCTTAGCTATAATCTTAGCCATAGCTTTAGCCATAGTCATAGCGATAGCCATAGCCTTCGCTTTAGCCTTATTCATAGCTTTAGCTTAGCCTTAGTCATAGCCTTAGCCTTAATCATAGCCATAGCCCTAACCCCTAGCAATTAAGTTATCTCTAGCTCGAGCCCAGCCCTAGTCCTAAAACTATCCTTAGCTTTTAGCTTAATGAAAACCTTAGCTATATCCTTAGCTTTAGCTTGAACGCTAGCTTCAGCCCTATACCTAGCTTCCATTTTTTCCTTATTTTCCTTTTTCTTATCTTAGCTTCATCTAAACATAATTAAGCCTTAAACTATCCTTTTAACAACTCTACCCCTAATTTATTCAAATAGAAATAAAAACAAAATTTTCCGCCAAAAATTTTCAAAAAAAGTCTAATTTCTAAAATGTATTTTTAACTCAGCCAAACTCAAAAGCACAAAACGAACGAATCAAATTTCGAACTCTGTAAAATCAAACAAAAAGAACTTTGTAAAGCAGTATTGTAAGAGTTTTCTTTTCAAAGTAACCTTCTTCGTTTTCAAGTAATAACAACTCAAGTTGCAAAAAAAAGTTTAAAGTAAGAAAGTAATAGTTGAGAATCAATCACAGGCTACTGTAAGAGCTATTTTGAAATTGTTTTCTATTGTAAAACAACAAAAGGTAAGAGATGTTGTGCAGAATTGCTTTGGTAAACGTGAGAAATAAAAAGTAATCAAAAATGTTACAGTATCTAAAGAAAAACCGCCACCTATACCGCCAAAAAAAAAAAGATACCCCCGCCATACCTAAAAGACTCACAGTTCTAATCTAAAGGAAACACCTAGAAGGCTACCGCGCCTTCACGCTACAGACTGTTCTCTGAACGTTTATAATTTATTTGTTTTGGCGGTTGATTCACGGCGTTTCAAGGAAGCTCACAAAGTTCAAGCCGTTCCCATTCTGACAATTATCTTCGAATTTTAAAATCTGAACGTAATGGGGATAGCTCGGTTAGCGTGGTTATCATGTGATATCTTAGCTCGTTTTACTATATTACAATATCCAAAACATACCCTAGTTTATCCTAGCATACGCTACTCTATTCTACTCAACCCTACCTTATTCTACCATATTATATCCACCCTACCCATAATAACCTCTTTACCTTACCCTACTCTGCCTAAAAGCCAACAGTATAATATCTCCTACCGTCCTTCTTAAAATCTCTATTTTATTACATAAATATAATAAAAATTTGTGCGGCATTACCCAATTTGATGCTACAATAAGGTGTCTGAGAGAAATTGCAAGAAATCCTATTACGAACCCTTTTCTTATAAAATATTAAAGGACCAGCTTTTTGCGACAGAATGCCAATGATATTTGAATGGGCGAACTGGTCCTTTAAGGGTTTAAACAATATTTGTCTCGGTGTAAACGACCCAACATATTCCTGCGAGTGCTGGGAGTTGCTTCGGTTTTAAGTAGTTAATCATGTTTAGTTGCAGTATTATATGAGTATTGAATCCACAGGTAGCTCTGATTGAAGCCTATTACTACTAAGACCGGGCCTACAAAGCCCAACCCTTATACGAAAAAGCCTATGCTTACTAAGCCTAAGCCTAGAGATCCTGTGCCTACTAAGTCTAAGCATGCTAAACCCAATTCTAAGCGTTACAAGCCTATGCCTCCTTAGCCTAAGCCTACAAAGTCTATGGCTACCAAGCCTCAGCCTGATAAGTCTAAAAATAACACGCCAAAGCTTGTTAAGCCTAAGTTTACAAAGCCTAATGAGTAAGCCCAATAAGCCAAAGTCTGTTAAGACTGAACACGATAATTTTAACCTTTCTCATACTAACAAGGGGAGTGTCTCACCTCATTCCGGAGATATGAAACGGGACTAGGCTCATTTGAAAGCCTACTTGAATAAAAATTTAACAAAAAAAATTTAGCTGCCGAAGAAGCCACTAAGGCAAGTTATGACGGTTTAAAAATTTGCAGTGCTTTCCTTGCTTTGAGTTTGAAAACGATTGAGAGCGAGAAAGAAAACAAGGGGAACCGATGATTCGGTAGTTCAGTGGTTAGGTGTTGGGTTTAGGGGTAAAAGGAGAAAGGTTCGATCCCTGCCAATTCGTTTTGCTTTAACAACTTCCAAAAAAAAATTTTTTTTGTTGTTTATACTATTCAACAGTCAATAGACTAGTTTTAATCATTTGAATACAAAAATTAAGCAATTTGACAAATTATTAAATTTTAAAATTTTTTGGAAATTTTTCATGTTCTGGAAAAAAGTTGAGCAACCTATCACCTGGAATAACAGAACCAACAGCAAAAGAAAATTAAACAGCTTCGGCGTCGTTGTAAGACAGCTGATAATCAAGGAAGAGATAAATGTCATCAGGCTTGAATATGTCAAACCAATCACCATTGGTGCGTCTACTCAATATACATATTCGAAAAATTTCCAAAAAATTTTATAGTTTAATAATTTGTCAAATTGCTTAATTTTTGTATTCAATTAATTAAAACTAGTCTATTGACTGTTGTATAGAATAAAAACCAAAAAAAATTTTTTTGGAAGCTGTTAAAGCAAAACGAATTGACACGGATCGAACCCTTCTCCTTTCACCCCTAAACCCAACACCTAACCACTGAACCACCGAATCATCGGCTCCCCTTGTTTTCTTTCTCGCTCCCAATCGTTTTCAAACTCAAACCAAGGAAAGCACTGCAAATTTTTAAACCGTCATAACTTGCCTTAGTGGCTTCTTCGGCAGCTAAATTTTTTTTGTTAAATTTTTATTCAAGTAGGCTTTCAAATGAGCCTAGTCCCGTTTCATATCTCCGGAATGAGGTGAGACACTCCCCTTGTAAGCTCAAGACGACTAACAATAAGGTTACCAATACCAAAAGTTCTCCCAGCTGCTATCAATCAGCCTTTACGCCAAAAAACCAAATTTACACTTTAAAATACCGTCTGAAACCCCTTCAAAAAGTCTTAACAATCGCCTTTTTTGTTGAAACGTTTCGACTGTTCCAAAAAGAAAAGGTTGCAACAGAACCCCCATTAGGTAAGGGCTCGTGTAAACTGCGCGAAACATTTTGGAAGAAACAATTTTGATGGAACTGCGTTGTTACATTGTAAAGTACAATCTAAAAACGACCGACCTTTCATTGCACTACGTGATAGATCATGGTCGTATCTGCAGACATACTTATAAAGATTGTTTTGTGACATGGAATGTTTGTGTTGGTTTTACTTTTTTGCTCATTTTTTTGTTAAACGATGATTTTAAGTGACTGTTAGGGTAGAACTTGTCCTACCTACCTTACTTCACCCTACTTTAAAGTGAAATCCCTGCCCTATCCTTTCCTGCTCTTCCCTGATTTGCCTTTCCTTGCCTTGCCTTGCTCTGCCCTACCCTATCCTATCCTATCCTACCGTATCCTATCCTATCCTACCCTGCCTTGCCTTGTCCTTAAAACTAAAAGACTTTTTAAAACATCTTAATGTAGGTGCTGTCTTTCTTAATATTAACCTTACATTTTTAATTACAAACCGCTTTTTATTTTAAAAATTAATATTTTTTAAAATTTAAATTTTAAATATTTTCTCAAAAAACTTAAAATGCACAAAGTATGAGCTTGTTTTGAGCAAAAAGAGGCGCGTGCCGGCGTAGCACAGTGGTCAAAGAGGCAAATGCGGACAAACAAAAAGCCGAGTTCTATGCTCGTCGGCGGTCACAACGTTCATACGCGTCACATGTAAATTGTTGTTGGCCGTTGGTGGGTAGATGCGATTCACGGTGAAGCGATTTATTACCAATGCCTTTTTCTTGGGCTATTTCGTTGACTTTATATCTGTTTTGTGGATTGGGCTATTTTATTTAGTTTCCTGACTTATTTCTTCACCCTACACTGCCCAACTTGATCTACTCTCCTCCCTTGATCCTGCCCTACCCTAGTTGTTCTAGTTTGATAAAAATTTTTTTTTTTTGCAAAAAAAGTTGAAACCACAAAAATTATCGACCACAAACCATTAAAAATGTAATCAAAAACTTCGAAATGTACTTGATTTTCAACATCATTTCCGCCCATTTTTAATAAACATGGTATTGGGCTTGTATTTCTACATATAAACACAAGATATGCTTGATGACTCAAAAACCTCCCAAATATATTGTTTGTCTTCTGGTTTTTGCGATAAAAACAATATAAATATTGTTGAAACTTACGCCAACTTTGAAAAATTATTTCTTTTTAAACTTTTTTTTGGAATATTATTAATTATTTATTTACTCTACTAACTTGTAAGATTAATATATATTGAAAATGTACTCAGCGATGATTTTATCACTATTATTCGTTGCGCTTTTGATTGAAAACGGTAAGTTGTTAATAAAATTTGTTTACCTTGTCTTGCCCTAATACTACCCTACCCCTGAAACGTCCCTACGAATTTTCTCTGGGAGAGGAAGAACCTTATCCTACTTTACATTACCCAGCTCCACAATACCCTTATCTTAACTTTCCCAACCCCCACGTTTTCCAAACTTAAAAACTAAAACGTACCTTTTCAAGTAGCCTCCAGGACAATCCATGCATGTGTCCCAAGTGATTCATGTGGTGATCGTCTAAAGCATCCAGTCAAAGGCATCGAAATGGAATACCATTGTGAGTGCAACAAAGGTTGGGAAGGTGAATATTGTGACAAAAAATCGAATTCCGCTCCAAAAATGAGAAATCACAGAGTCGAACGAGGTGCAACATCATTAAATCAACTGTCTTGGTGTGATGACATTGAGACCAAGTGTTCGGTACAAGGTGTTACTGTGGTCGAGAAGAAGACTGCTGTGTGTTGAAATTTGGCATAATAAAGTTTTTTTGAACAGATTTTGCAGGAACTTCGTTTACAGCTAAAAAAAAATTTATAAAAATATCTAAAAAGACAAATTTTTCAAAGTGAAAGATCGGTGGAAGATTTCTAATGTAAGTTGCACTAAAAATCTTCCACTCAACTTCCAGTTTTATTAAAATTTAAAAAAAAATGTAAGATATCATTCTAAGATATCAAAAGACCTTTAATCCTTAAATTTGTCAAAAAAAATTAGCTAACAGATATGATAAAAACTTTATTAAAGTATAAGAATCAAAGACTATTTTAATATGACATTCTTAGTGTAACATAAATCACATTCATACTATAACATAAAACCGGTTGCAATTTTTGCCTAGGTATTTGACTAAAGGTTCGAGTTTTTCAGCGAGTTCGTCCGTCGGTTCCACCTTCTCAAAGTTTTCGAATTCGTATTTGATCGGTTGCACATCTGATAAGGTTCCGTCGCGATTGGCCGCTGGGCCGTCTACGAAGGTCGTGTAGCGACCTTCGTTTTGGTCCAGCATTCGAAGGCACTCTGGTAGTGAGACCTGGAAATAGCAAAAACTTATTAAACAAGCTTCTACCAAGGCGCATATTGCCAGAAACATAGCCACAGTTTTTCTTCTAGGAAGGGGAGGAGGAAGACATGTAAAAATAAAAAAAAAATTTTTTGGTCCACAGGCAGAGATGAACCTCCTCTCCTTCACAAAATAAAGTTCAAAGTCTTACCCATTGATGAGTTTTGTTGCATAGCAGTTCGCTTGGCCTGAATGCAGCCTTGTAACGCATTTTGCGGCAGTTATGTACGTAGTATCCCATATAATAATATCGAAAATGTGGGTTGTAACGACAGATTTGGCGTGTCAGCTCGACTTCTCTAAAAAGTCATAATTATACCTAGTGTCAAATTACTTTTGATCAACTTATCAATATTTTCTTAAATCAAAATTTTAAGAAAAGTCTTGTCGTTGATTTTTGTTTACTTGGAAATAAAAAAGCGACAAGACTTTTTAACACCTTAAAACCAAATTAGAGGCTATTCCAATACTAAATTTTTTAAAAAAAAAGTTTTAATATAAAAATACACCAAAAAATCTATCCCTAAACCACATAAATCATCCAAGCCATACCTCAAAGCCGAATAAGTCCCAAAATTCAAAAACTGATAGTCCGGATCGTAATAAAAGTAGGCTGAAGACAAGCAATAAGGCAATATGTCCACCACGCCCACTGCCACAATCTTTCCATCAATTAGGTATTGAATATGTTGTCCGCCTTCCGACGGACCTCCTGGATATAGTTCTCCGTACTCTCGTGGAACAAACGGATTATCAATGAGGAAGCTTTGAAAGCCCTTTCTGGTGCAATCGTGATCATTGTGAATATGATTCTGGTACTTTCTGTATACATTAAAGCTTTCTTCGAACGATTCGGAAAATTCTTTCGTTCCTTCTGTCACTATTCGTAGCTGAAATGCCATAAAATAGTAGAGTTTGTTAGTAAAAACTATGTTAAAATACATTTTAAGACTTTTTGACATTTTTAAAAAGAAAAATAGTAACATAGATATATATGTATTCTTTTAGACAGTATTCGTCGTATAAACCATGCCAAAAAGCCCGGTCTAAAATTAAATCATCATACTCACTTCAAGTTTATGTCTCCATCCGTCTTGATGATTACATAGGTAGTCTTCCAGCGTTCTCTGGCGTGCGTTTTCTTGCTCCAAGCGGCTTCTTTGGTACTGCAAAAGTAAGGTTACTTATAAATACTTTTATATGTAAACTATAATAACTCGAATCATTTCAAATAAGCCAATTTTATGCTCTGTTAAAAAAGTTCTTGCCATTTTTTATTTCGTAAAGAAAGTTCTTGCTATTTATGTTTTGTAAAGAAAGTCCTTGGCATTTTATGCCTTAGAAAAAAAATTCTTGACTTTTTATGTTCTGTAAAGAAAGTTCATGACATTTTATGTTATGTAACTAAAGCTTTAAACACCCCTACCTCATCAATATTAACACCTTTCTCCCGTAGCCTGTTAATCGCTCTCTCCTTTCGCATTTCCTTTCGTTTTCGACCAGCCGTCGGCCGGGGCTCCGTCCGCCGCGGCGTTGGCGCTTTCAGTGCTCTTGGACCCGCATAAGCAGCTGATTTGCCTTTCGAAAATGGCGTTTTTGTTGCGACTCTCTTGTCGTATTGTAAGTAATCTCTCCAGATTCGTAGTACCCGTTTTTGTGACCTTGATAATGCAAATTTCGGCGCGTCTAGTCTAAAATTTTTATTTTTATACATACTAAAAGGTCGCTTTTGACACAGCAAATTCGAGAAAATTGACAACAAGTCTTTTTTTCAACCTTAATACTTAAAATTTCTTAAAATATCGACTATTATTACCTAATAGTGTACAAAGGGCAACAAGTTCGTTCCATTTCAGGCTTGTAGAGGTATCGCCCGGACCTGAAATTATATTATAATAAGTCAAAAAGTCATTTTATTTCTCCAAAAACTAAAATTTGAGTTTCAAAAAACATTTTTAACAAAAATCCGCTAACCTCCTCCATCCATTATCACAAAAAACTTGATAGTCATCTGTAGTCATTCGAAATCCCCACAGGCCTGAAAAGTTGGCAATTAAAAGGCTACATTAATATAATTGAGCTCTATATTAATATAGTTTCGCTTAAGAATGACTGTTCAAGCCTCTGGGGACCCTCGAATTCAATTTTTAGAATTTTTTACAAACTTTGACACATAACCCACTGTATTTGAACAAACAAAATAATTACCAGCTCCAACCTGTGTTCAGTAAGACTTCAGCTTCATGGGAATAGACGCGTATTGCGCCGAGTCCTAAAACAAGATAAGTTTTTTTAAAAACCAATCATAAATTAAATTCAAAAATTTTATACTTCATAACAGCCAACATATTTTAATTTTTCACAGTTAACACCCAAAATATATTATATAAACCATGACAACATAACCAAAAATCATTAAGAATGCCCCAGAGGTTTGACAGCCTTCATAATATAACACTTTTTTCGTATTACATATCTAAACCTTCCTCTTTTGAGTATTATGTATCTAAACATCATACACAACAAAAACGTCAGTTCTTACCAAAACATCTCGACCGGTTTTCACTTGGATCCGCGTCATCATCTGAATCCTCACTGTGAACTATTGGTGTTTCCGAGTTTCTACAATACCCACAAGTGTCGGCCGACTTTCTCGAACTCGGCCCAATATACTGAATAACCGACCGTTGCGTGAGCCAGTCCATTTAACCCTAAAGCCATAAAATATTAGTTAAAATTTTAATGTCAAAGAAGTCTTGTCGTTCCTTGACATCCAAATATAGTTTTTTAACATTCAAAATTAACGCTACAACTCCTTTTCATACGGTAATAAAATCTAGAAACTTAAAACCATCCTTTAATCCCATAAAGCTCCCATTACTTCCTTATACTCAACGTATAACATTAGAAACAAAGCCATAAACCTTTTCCTTTACCAAACGCGAATATTCACCTACATATAGAACGTAAAAAGCACGTATAACCTTGTTCCTCTTCAAATATATTGTCGACTGAATAAACAGCAAATTAGGAAAATAAATTGGACGATTATCTATCAGTTTATCAACAACAACAAAACAACTTTACAAATATAACATAAAATATCATCTAAATTGTCAACAAGTAGAAAAGTGCCACTGGCTAATGAGTAACAGTTATTATTCACTAGTCTGTGAGACAAACTAACCAGTCAAACATAACTTACTCTTTTGGTCAAAAAGTTTGTAGGAAAGTAACAATCAACTTTTTTAAAGAAATGAGACAACATATCTCATCTGTCAACAAACTTAATACTCAATTCTAAAAACTTTTAAACCAAAAAAGTAACCTAAAACAATCTAGCTAGTAGCAGCCACTGTTCTCCTTCGTTTCTCCTCCTTCTTGGCCATCTTTTCAGCCTTAGCCTCCTCAGCTTCTTTCTGTTTTAACATCACTTCGAAGCGAGGATCAGTTGGATCAATCCAGTAGCCAAAATACTCCTGAATTTCTTGTACTCTCCTTTCATTCGCAAGCTCTTGTGGCGTCTTCTCTGGTGGTGGCGCATTCAGACCTTCGTAGTACTCGGCCAACTGCTTATCGTAGTCCTTGAGATTCTTTTCAACCTTTTCTAGGCTAAAACAAGATAAAGTTAATAATTTTCATAAATATACTTAATCCCACATCTAAAAAGCTTTAAGATTATGATATTATAATAGGTATCAACTGTAATGTTTACAATACCGCCCAAAAAAACTAAACTTTTAAAATATCAAAGAAATAGCTTCTTACTGTTTCCTCTGTCTTTCCTGCTCCTCCTTAGCCAGCTTTTGTGACAGTTCAATCGCTTCTTTAACCGGTCGATAAAACTTCAATTCGTTTATCTCTTGAATCTCCTAAAATACGCAAGATCGTCGAAAACAGTAATAAACATTATAAAGTCACATTTTTGGTGATTTCTTATCAACAGATGGTAATTTCGTATCATGTTATCGAGTAAAACCACTAATATTTGTTTTTGTTCCAATACCTAAACACAAAAACAAAAAGTGTAGATCATACCTCAACAGTGGGCCATAATTTGCCAATCTCGACATTAGAAGCTACTCCATATTGACCAAAATGTCGACCAAGCCAAACCTTATCCCGTTGTTGATCATAGTTCAAAGGCGGAACTCCTCCTTCGACTTGTGTTCGATGTACTTCATTCAATCTATAAGAATGTCCTTGACCAAATATTCTTTACTTTTTTAAACTTTTTAAAACGTCATATAATCTATTTTTTCTTTTTATATACCAATTAGAGATTCCAAGTAATTTACAAAAAGAAGATTCAGACAAGCATCGTCGTATAATAAACAAGAGTCATATTAACATACCCCTTTGTAATATTCTTCTTTGCTGATGAAGATTGTTGTCGAATTTGAACGACTGAACGACGTAACAAAGTCATGAGGACAAGGTTTTATCGAATTCAAGTTGATCGAACAAATAATTTTACAGATTTTCAGAAAGAACGGAAAGCCAACATATTATTTTCGCTGTGGGACCAAATCCATATTTTGATGTAACTTTGCATTTTTAACAGCAAATCAACATCATGAAAGTTTGAGTAGAAAATAAAATTTTTACTCGATAATTCATAATTCATTCACCAAGTGTACAATAAATTTATTTATGTTCAACTACATTTTGCACAAAATTATGTTGCGGGGGCTGCTGGTGCAGAAGGTGATGGAGTATCGGCATTTTCTGTCTCATTAGTTGTTCCTGCCGCACCCATAACAGTACCCACGTCTTCAACGCTCTTTCCTTCATCTTCGAACATAAATTCAGGCTGAAATTTTGAGATTAGTATTTTGCTTTTGTGATTTTTGGAAAGAAAAACGTTAGACTTGGCTGGACATTTTAAAATTACTATAACTTTGTCATACCTGACTATGAGAAAGTAAAAATTTCAAGAAATGCACATCATCACCCGCTTTACAAAACGTATAATTTTAAGTTTTAATAACTTACGTATGGACCCCCCTTTAGAGGTGGTTTCAGCCATCGTTGACGGCCAGCCTTGTAATCCTCCATGTCATTTGCTTTTAGTCTGGCTAGAATGGTGGGCGAAGGTTTTGATGGTGCTGACAAGCGTGCTTTGATATAAGCGATCAGAAAAAATATGGCATTCAAAGCCAGAGGAAAAAGGCACGATGCTGCGAGACAGTACAGTTCGTACTCTTTGGTTGAGAACGGAAGATCGATGGTTTTATATTGAGCGACCTGAAGTTGAACATTAAAACTTGGTTATTTTTTAGTATGAACACTATAAATTTAACGAAAGTTGATTTCAAAGTTAATTTATTACCTAAAAAACATTTTTTTTACCTAAAAATCGAATAAACTATATTTTTGTTATTTATATTAAAAACGACCTATTGATACAAAAAAACCAAAATCAACTTTTAAATAACTCACATTTCCACTGAAGGGTTTTGTAGAGCGCACGGTGCTCCGGGTCGTGCTACGGACCTCTGAGGAACTTAAAGAACTTTTTTCCGAGTCTTCCCCATTGACATTCAGGAACAGCGAAATCAGAAGAAACAAATACAGCAAACCGACCAGTCGGTTCATGGCTCTTGTGGTAAAACTAACAAAAAATGAATTTTTAAGGTTCAAAATTTGTTAAAATGCGTTTTTAATTTTTAAGCTCCTATTTTTTGAATAATAAGTTTACTAGAGCATATAAGTTATCATAAGCTTTACAAAACAATCATATTCTCCGTGTCGACGTAACATCTAACGAACAGTACGTCTTCTCTAACATAGTTCTGCATATCTTCTATTGGACAAAACTTTTGGGCCCCAAAAGCAGAATTTCTTTCGGCTTTTGGTCGATTCAAGTAATTGTCATCTTCTCCATTCGGTGAAGGTTTAATCACATAAACCATGTGTTCACGATCGTTAACTTCTGGATTCTGATCCATCATGGTGAATGTGACTTTATGGACAAATGGCCATGGCAAGAGAGGATCATGTTCTCCACGAAGAATTGATAGGTATACACTCAAGTACTTGCCACTGGCTAGGATTTAAATTTTAAAATTATTCTATAAAATCTGTCATTTTAGAAAAAACGCTAATTTATATCGTCATAATAATGAAATTTTTGAATAAAAATAATACTATAGTTCTTATCATAATTTGATACAATACCACTTTATTCTTACCTAATCCATCCCCATACAAAGCGGCACTCATCATAAGTTTGTAGCCATGGCGGCCTGACAGGAACGGCGGAGAATAAATAACAGGCTTGGAGTTGGACTTGGCGTCCTTAAGCCGTTTACTGTAATCATCAATTCTCCAAATGTATTGGGATCCATACAGTTTTTCGAGAGCATCAACCTGAAATCAGTTAGGCAGATATAAATGCCATAATGATGCTTAACAAGCCGTTAACGACCAGTTAAAGACGAGAGGGATGACAAGCTATAAGTCGTCAATGAAAAGTTAAGGGTCGCCAATGACAATTTAAAGTGGAATACCCCACCACCAATATTTACTAGTATTAGCACCTTTACAACATAAAGTACTATACTTACTAACAAAACAATAATTTTAAACTCAAAAACCTACCCGACTTTGTAAAACAGTGACATTTCTGTTAGTCCTGTCCATATTCAAATGCACTTGTGTCAAAAGTATTTGCAGCTCCGTAGCTCCATCACACAAATACCCTAGATGGTTTATCAAGTTGTCCTTTATATGCTTTTGTAAGTTTTCTCGGCCGCCAGTGTAATTGCACCCAAATTCCCCAAATGGGCATACGGAACCCTTTTTGGGACAATCTGGCAAATGGGCATTTATCTAAAGGTTCAACTTTGAATTTTAAGTGATTTTGTTACCTAAAATACATAAATAAAGGTTTTTGTTATCTAAATACACGTAAGTTATTACCCAAAGCAAAAAACAGAGTAAATAGTTTTATTACTTCAAAATCATGTTTTATCTCATGTTTGTCACATAAAATCCAAAAAGATAGTTCATTGTTACCTAAATATTTAAAAAGTAAAACAATGGTTAACCATTTCTAATCCCAAAATTATTTCTGAATTTTTAATTTATCCATCAACAAAAGCTTATAATTCTTTCCAACACTGTGCCAGAAACCCAAAAATTCAATCCTTATATCGAGAATAAAATATTTTTCTAAAAAACATCAGCCCCACCAAGCCTGCCTACTTCCTTACGCAGGTCGCAATCCGTTGACTTTCAAAAGAACCGCCAAAAAAGCCCGTTTGAATTTTGATTGCACCGTGCAAAATAATTTCCTTTCTGCGAAAACCTCCTTTTGAAGATCGAAGGATTTTCGACAAATTTGGAGCTCTCAAAATCCCAAAAATTGGCCGTTTTTGTTTTTCTCAAACCTTCTCTAACAACCCTCTCATGTCGCAACGATCTCTACTTGTCGCTGGGTGAACCTCTCTTCTTGTTTACACTTGCGCAATCAAGTTTCGCGATCCCTCTCTTTCTCTTCGAAGTCTCTTCATATTGCATTCTCTCTTCTTTCTTGAATGATTGCACGGTGCAAGCCCAAGTTTGGTCGCAAAAATCGCTTTCCGAAATTTGCAGGATATCCAGAGCGAAAAATTGAAAATTTTGGCAAAAACCGTCTGCACCGTGCAATCAAATTGAAGAAGGAAAGAGAGCGCGATATCAGGAGACGAGGAACAGAAAGAGACAGATCGCAAAAAGTGATTGCGCAACTGCAACCAACAACAGAGGCAGGTTTGCGACAACAGAAAGAACGTTGCGACATGAGAGGGTGGTCAGATAAGGTTAGACGATTGCAAGAATTTTGAGATTTTCGGAGCCCCAAATTTGTCAAAAATCCTTCGATTTTGGAAAACGATTTTTAGTGGCTGAATTTTGGCTTGCACGGTGCAATCAACGGAAATTTAGCTTGCACGGTGCAAATTATCGGGAAATAGAAAGAGAGTGCACTTTTAAGAGACGGACATAGAAAGGAAGTGATCGGAGAAATACATTGCGCGACTGTACAAAACAAGAGACCCAGAGCGGCGATGACGGAGAGATCGTTGCGACATGAGAGGGTTGTTAGAGAAGGTTAGAGAAAAACAAAAATGGCCCAATTTTTGAGATTTTGAGAGCTCCAAATTTGTCAAAAATCCTTCGATCTTCGAAAGGAGATTTTGGTGAAAAGGCAAATTATTTTGCACGGTGCAATCAAAATTCAAACGGGCCTTGTTGGCGGTTCTTTTGAAAGTCAACGGGTTGCGGCCTGCGTAAGGAAGTAGGCAGGCTTGGGGCTGATGTTTTTTAGATAAATATTTTATTCTCGATACATGGATTGAATTTTTGGGTTTCTGGCAAGGTGTTTCAAAGGATTGTAAGATTTTTTTGGTGGGTAAAATGAAAATTTAAATTTTAGGTAACAAAAGTTTTTGTGATAACATTTTTTTAATTTTAGGTAATAAAACTTCTTGTGATAACATTTTTTTAATTTTAGGTGATAAAACTTCTTGTGATAACATTTTTTTTATTTTAGGTAATAAAACTTTTTGTCATAACTATTTTTATAATTTTAGGTGACAATACCATGTTTTTAGTGACTTTTTTGTTATTTTAGGTAACATTTTAGGCTAATTTAAAAAAAAATAAAAAACCTGCCTCTTCTCTAGTCTTCCTCAGCAACCCACATCTGTTGGGACAGTCGATGATCATCAGTGGGCACATTTTATTGTGCAATTTTAGACCTTTTGTACTGATTTCTTTGCCACAAAATTCACATTCGACCATCTTTTTGTTGCAATTCTTTAAATGTTCTTCTTCGTCCTTCTTCGCATAAACTTTACCACACCCACGTGGGCATACAGTGTCGGCATATTCACATCCAATGGCATGTGCTTTTAATTCTTTGAGGATTCCGGTCCATTCACAGCCATTTTCACTGTACGAGCATTTGACTCCGAGCTTCTGAATCTCTTTTGTCGTGGCTTTGTTTTCAGTAATCTGGAATTGGGTGTCATGGGTTTATGTTATGATTACAAGGTGTGATTTGTGACTTAAAAGTTCTTCATTTCAGTAAAAGTTTTACCTAATCTGTTCTTTTTTGATCTTATATTAAATCTTATATCCAAGGTCTTGAAAGGCCCTGACTTACATTCTTAGGATCACACTCAGCTCCACAAGTAGGGCATTCAGTGACACTATTCAGACAATCGCTACAAAACATGTGTTCACATGGCAACTTCTTAGGTACTCTTAATATCTGGCCACAAACTTTGCATTCTAAATGGGCTGGGACATCTTCAATGAATATGATGTCCACGTCATCTGGAGCCGGATGATTAGGCACGGTGTTCAATGGAATGTCAGAAGCTTTGATTTTCACAGCTGCTTCTGCATCCGGATCTTCGGCCGATTGAAGCCAGTCGTGTACTGGCGATGGAGATAAAGTTTCGGCTGGGGGAGGGTTTTCGGTGGGGTAGATCTGGAACATTGTGGTATGGTCAGATATTTTGATTGACCCTAAGGTTGAAAAATTATACTGTAAGTAACAGTATCTCTTTTTACATACTTATACGACGTATTTAAAACTAAAATTTTACCTTATTAGAAGAAGGAGAACGAGAAGGTGGTCGAGGGGACGTTCCAAGCTTGTTGTTCTCTTTACCGGTCGTTTTTGGACGGCCTTCTGAAGCTTGTGTTTTTGGTCTTCCAGAAGCTGTATCAGGACGATCTGTTGAGTCAGCTGCTTTAGTCTTAGGCCTGTCCTCGCTATTAGCTTTTTTAGTTTTGGGCCTATCTTCACTACTAGCCTTCGTAGTTTTAGGCCTAGTCGTCTGTGGTCGATTTTCTACTTCGGCCATTTCTAAAAAAATCGAAATTATGTAAAAAAATATTTAAAAATGTCTCAAAAAGTCAAAAATGGTTTGTCATGTATAGGCATTATTGAAAGAACGTATTATATACATGTATTTTTTCTGATGTTGCTATGGAACTTTATTCATGGGACCATCCTTAAATTTATGACATGGATTCTGTTGCCGTGAGAAACAACAGTCTAAACGGAAAGAATAATATACAAAAAGTGGCAAAAAAACCTAAATTGATTGTAAAACTATAATAGAAGATCTCTAAAAAATAGCATCTTAAATACATAAAAATTTTTAAAAAAATAAATTTTTTTTAAATTTTAAATTTTAAAAATTAAAATTTTTTCATTTTTCAAGATTTTATTCCCAAAATTTTAAAAAAAATTTCCAAAATTTTGACATTTTGTAAATCAAAAATTAAAAACTAGTCGGTTCTGTAACTGACAGTATGAATCGTGATGTCTCGTCTCATGCCAATAAACGTGAAGGACCACAGAGTATCAAAAAGAGATGCATCTATGGAAGGTAAGGTGATTTATATATTTTTAAAAATTGCTGAGCGGGTTTTGAATTGAGATAGACTAGACGTAAAAGAGGTTATGCTAGGCCTAGCCCGGCTCGGTCGAAGTAAATTTGAAAAGAGCTGGGCCAGCACATGCGAGCCTTGCGCCGGGGCCCAAATCTAGTCCCCAGGGGCCCACCTTAGGACTGAAGATTTGAATTGCAAATAGACCTAAAAGGTAACCCACTAGGCCCGGCCTCAAACCGGCCCGTCCGGTTGAAAACAATTTTTATAAAGTTTCATTTTCAGAACATACCAAGTGACGACAACAGCAGATGGTACAGAATGGTGCCGAATTGGCGGTGGATACCAGCGACTTGTTGATCTCGAGAATCGCATGCTACAGCTTCGTCTGAAACGTCAAGAGCCGCTGAATGGAATGACAAGATGGTCGAGTCAAGATACCTACATCTTGAGCACAGATGAGGGTATGTTATGTCATTGTATGTGTTATGACCAGAGTTGAAAATTGAAATTAGGTTAAAAATTGAAAAGTTAAACGTTTTAAAAGTAAGAAAATTGAGTTTTTGACCAATTTTAGATTTTTTTTTCGTCTTTTTTCGCTTTCAAATTTTAAAAAATGAAAATTTTTTAAATTTAAAAATTTTTGTTTCAGCCACACCTAAGCCAAAACCAGTTGAAGCCAACACCCGCTCAAATTTTGAAGCCAAGTTTTTCCCCATCAACGACACGCTAGTGGATTCATCGCCAGAAGCCATGACGGCCAGAAGACCGACAGTCGGCTACTATGACAGGAATGGTGACATCAAGTCTCAGAGGCCTTCGCTAGACTCAAATTCAGCTCTGACTCAAAATTTCCATGATTTCGATTCAGAGAACGACATAATAAAAGATGATATTCAAGAATTTACCGTAATGGATGGCCTACAGAATCTTGCCTTCGAAGATCGTCTAAAAAATATCACATTGAGAGACAGTTTCCACCATTATCAGCTATCAACGCCAATGTTGTCGAAAAGCCAAAGAACTGAAGCCGAACAGAGAAAATCATTGGATGAAACTTATGTTGTGGTACCCAGAGTCTTCTCTCCAACCAAGAGAAGACGGTACTTGCCTAAAATTCCTGACCTATCTCCGAGAAAAACAAAGAAAGCTTTGTTGGGCGAGCTAATGAATGTTATCAAGGAAAAGACTCATCGTGCTTTCTCCAGAGAGTCGCCTTTAAAGAACGATTTAAAGGAAGATTCTCAAAAAGCTCATGATAACAATGAAGACGACAAGGAAAATCAACCGCCATTGACAAGTCCGGTCGAGAAAAGTAAAAGTTCAAGTTCTGGCTACCAGACTGTGAAGATGTCGACTTCCAGCATAGAGCGTTCAACGTCCGAAGGCTGTGAGAGCATGAAGAAGATTGAAGATGGCCCAACCAGCTCAAAATGTGATACAACCAGCTCTAAATGTGATGCTACCAGCTTTAGACGTGAGCTCATCAGCTCCAAATATGATCCCACCAGCTCTAGATGTGACCCCACCAGCTCCAATTGTGATCCCAGCAGCTTTAAATGTGATCCTAGCAGCCCAGTTGACCAAGAACAAGACTGTTTAACTCGCATTTCGTCCTCAACTGCTCAATGGATCCGAAGTGACGAGGCTTCTGAAACCCCAACTGCTAAATCAATCTCTCGTACTTCTGTAGTCAGCAGCAAATCTCATGTTTAAACTCATATAACTTTTGATTTTGGTGTTGAAATAAACAAAAAAACTGATTTTTAGGGTTGTGTTACATCTTTATGGAACACACTGTAATATAAATTACATATTTTTTCAACATTTTAACCTTTAAATTTACGTTCACTTTTATAGTCCCGCAACGAAAACTATGAAGTGCGAAAAAGTTTGGCGTAATGTCAATATCATCAAAAGACTTGTATTTTATTTTCTAAAATTTACATTGGCGATAATTTTTTAGTAAAATTCAAATTTATCGTGTTATTTTTTGGTAAAAACCCTTTTACTGGTCGTTATTTTCTCTTTTTAGTTTGGTTTTAACTTTTTGGATCAACAGTACTAAAGATGCCGGACTATCTTGGAGATGATATGCGCAAGAACAAGAAGGATCCTACAAAGGAAGAGGAGGAAAAGACTTTTCAAGGTAATATTTTGTCTTTTTGTTTTTGATTTTAGGTGATAATTGGGATTTTCTTAGCTTTTTTTGTATTTTTGAGTCAAAATGGATTCGAACGGCTAAAACAATATAATTTTTAGCACTGGACGAGGGAGATATTGCCATTCTGAAGAGATATGGACAAGGCCCTTATGCCGAACAGTTGAAACAGTTAGAAGGCGACATTGATAGCTGTTTGAAGCGAGTAAACGAGCTTTGTGGTGTAAAAGAAAGTGACACTGGGTTGGCGCCTCCAGCTTTGTGGGATATTGCGGCTGATAAACAAGCAATGCAACAGGAACAGCCTTTGCAAGTCGCTAGATGTACAAAGATTATTACTGGTGAGGGTCATGATCCAAGATACTTGATCAATGTCAAGCAATTTGCCAAGTTTGTTGTTGACCTTGCTGACACCGTTGCTCCGACTGATATTGAAGAAGGCATGAGAGTTGGTGTTGACAGGAACAAGTACCAGGTATTTTTTGACAATTTTTTTGTTTTTCTTAATGTCTTTCTTAATTTTGGTATAATTTTGTTGTGTTAAGTTATTCAAATTACTATAATATCATGAAGAACATAGTCTAAAATTCTTTCTCGAAATTATTTTTTTTTTTTTAATAGTATATGTTGTTTTACAGATTCACTTACCACTTCCGACCAAAATTGACCCAACTGTTACAATGATGCAGGTCGAAGAGAAGCCAGATGTTACTTATGCTGATATCGGTGGCTGCAAGGAACAGATCGAAAAGTTGAGAGAAGTTGTTGAAACTCCATTACTTCACGTAAGTTTTAAATAGCTTATTTTAAAAATATTTTTTAGGAATTATTGTACTTGAATATATCCTTGAAGCAGTGTTTATATAACCTTCATTTTTTAGCCAGAACGTTTCGTCAACTTGGGTATTGAACCTCCAAAGGGTGTACTATTGTATGGTCCACCTGGTACCGGAAAAACGTTGTGTGCTCGAGCTGTAGCCAACAGAACTGACGCTTGCTTCATTCGTGTCATCGGCTCGGAGCTGGTCCAAAAGTACGTAGGAGAAGGTGCTCGTATGGTCAGAGAACTGTTCGAAATGGCAAGAACCAAGAAGGCCTGTCTAATCTTCTTCGATGAAATCGATGCCGTTGGTGGAGCCAGATTTGACGACGGTATGGGCGGCGACAACGAGGTACAAAGAACCATGTTGGAGTTGATCAACCAGTTGGACGGTTTCGATCCAAGAGGAAACATTAAGGTATTGATGGCCACCAACAGACCCGACACCTTGGATCCTGCTCTAGTTCGTCCCGGTCGTCTGGACCGTAAAATCGAGTTTGCATTGCCAGATCTGGAAGGCCGAGCTCACATCTTCAAGATCCATGCCAAACAAATGAGTGTGGAACGAGACATCAGATACGATCTCTTGGCCCGTCTGTGTCCCAATGCTACTGGTGCCGAAATCAGATCCGTGTGCACGGAAGCCGGCATGTTCGCTATCAGAGCTAGAAGAAAGATGGCGACCGAAAAGGACTTCCTCGAAGCCATCAACAAGGTCATCAAGGTCTACGCTAAGTTCTCGGCCACTCCAAGATACCTAACACATAACTGAGTTGTTTTGTCGATAAACAGTGTAAATTATTCGAGTTTTCTGATTGATTTGGTGTGTTTTGATTGTAATCAATGTCAATTCTTACATTTTTAGATCTTAAGGATTGATATTTTTGATACCAATGTAATGATTGATATTTATTGTTGTCAAACTGTAAATTCATGATTATTTATATTTTGTGGAACTTTGTTTCATCTAATTTTAAGCATTGTCATATTAACGTGTAATTTTAAAGTGTTGCTACAATAAAAGATAACTAAAATATTTTTTTACGTCAATTTTTTTAAAAAGTATGTTTTTAATTTAAAAATTATTACAAAAGAAAAGAGCTCGTATTTTACCTAACACAAAATGCGGTAAAAATCTAATTTCGAACCATAAAAGCACTTTAGCATTAAATTTATTGAATAACAACAACGAGAACAATAATGAACATGAACAACCGCACTTTGGTTAACAGCCAAAAACATTCGGTACAAGTGTATATCAAATAAATCAACAACGTTTACACAAGAAGAACAGCGTTAATACATCCGTCGTTCTCTGGGTTGTTCGTCACCTGAGCATACTTTGCCCATACCACTTTACCGCCCTGTGTTACCATACCCAATTCGGAGGTATTCACTTCGATAATCGTACCTTTAGTGATAACGCCAAGAGATGTGTACATTTGAGACGATGGGTTCTTCTTGACTCCAACAATTGGTAGGAAGAAGGTGGTTTGAAGCTCGGGATGGGTAATATTGGCCTTCTTGAATCGAAGACCCATGGGCCGGATGAAACGTTCGAATTTGACTGGCTTTCTGGTGAAATTCTCTCCGACGAACGTGACTTTGGTACACATCCTTTTCCATCCCTTTCTGCGCGACTTTCCTGTGTTCACTACCTTGAAGGCTTCGGCATCACTAACAGCTTTGACTTTTGGAAGTGGAACTTCGTATTTACCCTGAAAACCAAAATATTATCATTAAAATACAAACATAAAGGTTTATAAAAGAACTGTAGTCCTTAGAAGAAGCTTTTACAAAAGTTTTGTTAATAATATTGCCAAAACATATAGATTAACCATCGGTAAACGTACCGCCTTTTCCTTTCTCTTCTGTTTGATGGCATTACTTAAAACTGTGCCAGTAACTTGCTTCTGACGATCCAACAAATAAGCCGGCACGGCTCCATCTGGCGCTTCGTCGACTGTGCTGGTTTGTTTCTTTTCTTCGTGCTGCTTTATCAACTTCCTCATCTGCACCTTCTCAGAGTATCTGGCTTTGTTGAACAACTTGGCCTTTTGTCCTCTCAACTTCTTGGCCATTTTAGATATGACCTTTGGCTGACGGGCCAGCTTCTTACGCCTAAACATGATTTAGATAACAGAATGTTTGTACATAGCGTAGTTCGCATAAAAATAGCAAAATGTTGCCTTATAGATAAAAAAATTGTAAACAGTGTGTAGCAAGTAAGTATACCTAAATACCAAACACAAAATAACATAAATAACTTACTTTTTCTCTTCATGATTAAAACGTTTACCGTGACGTTTCTGGTGCAGTTCAATGTGCTCGTTTTGCGGCTGAAAATATTAATGTTTATAAAATAATAATCAACAAAAAATGGTTCAAAATACCCACAAAAATACCAAGATTTTGTAACACAACAAATAATTATCAAAAAAGTTCTTACCATTTTTGTTTAGCCGTTTTATAACAAAGATTATCAAAAATAAGACGAAAAAGTAGAAGTAGGTGAAAGAGAATGCCAAAGAACATTAGCACACATTCGTTTTCGTTGCGGGAGTCAACCGGCCGTCTGGTGTTTCGAGCGCGTCGATCTTTTTCAAACGCATTTTATGGCCGTTGGCCGAACTGACAGAGAACAAAAGTGTCTTTATATTATTTTTCGCATATTTACCTTTTATTATATTTTTTATATGCTGTTATTTATTGCGCCTTAATTACTGTTTTTTAAATTTAAAATTTAAATTTGTTTATCTAAACTGCGAATTCAATGTAGTTGACTCATTGTCGCGCGGCATTGCCTGGCCTGATTGATGGAGGGAAAACGGAGCACCGTGAGTAATATAAAGCGGAATGCCGTCGCGACTTTCGAACGTCCATTGTGGGTTTTTCGGGTCGCGACGAGAAGATGTTCTTGGTTTATGTCTTTCGAATAATCCTGTAATTGTTTTATTGGGCAATTAACTGTCTTTTTCTTGTTTTTATTGGGATTTGTTTCGCTTTATTTGGATATGTATAAAATTACGGATAATATTGTGTTTTTGGGATGGTTATTTAAGGGTTGGCAATGTTAAGGTAGCAGGCGTTTAGCTTTTAAAAATTTTAGGTAACAAATTTTTTATTGTAGGATTTGGTCATTTTTAAGATAGAAGGATGTTTTGGTGATATTATATGTAAAAGCAGAGTGAGTTTTGTGTTAAGTTAAGAAAAAAGTTATACCTTCATTAAAGCTAGTTACAGCTACTTGAACATTTTTTATTATAATCAAATTTTATGGCCAAGGTTTAAGAAATTGGTTATGGGCAAACGATTTTAGGTCTATGAGGTCTATTGTTGTGGATTTTCGTTTGTTTTGGAGTACTGGTTTGAAAGTTATGACCAAGGATTAAGTCAAGGTAAAATTGAGCCAGTGGGGAGAATTCTGATTTTTTTTTGAAAAAAGGGCTTGCAGGGGCTAGCAGTATCGAATTTTGTTTTGATTTTCATTTCCCCTCCCCCCCCCCTAAAAAAAATCAGTAACGACCTCCCTGTCGTCAGAAAGTTTCGAAGCCCTGCTGTTACATTGACTCTAATATTATGACGAAAATACTCTCCATTTTGATTTGCCGCTGGCGTCTTTTAAAGACTTTGTATTTTCTTTAAAACAGTTTTTCGGATTTTCGGTCTAATGTCAGTTTAGATTACTACTTTGCGCGTTTTTACTTTTGAAAGTGAATGTATGCAGCATTATTGTGGTAAATTCGGCGCTAAAGATATTGTTCAATGTGATTCTAAAACTCACAGTAAAGTAGCTTGTCAAGATTTGAATAAAAGTGAATGTAAAGGTTATTCAAATACTTTAACATTGACTGACACTAAATTCATATCGGATAAAAGCGATTATCTAAACATATTCTTCGAGAGAATGACTATTGATTTCCATGTTACGTTGCAGGAGTATAACTGGAAGAAGATGGTTACGGTGCAGAGGGCTGTGACGTTGAGGTCTACTGTAGATTCGATTGGATTCTCGAACTTTCCGAATCAGGTGTTCAGACGGTGTTTGAAGAATGGATTCGACTTTACATTGATGGTTGTTGGTATGTTTTTTATTTTTATAGGCTTTATTGAGAAACATAGCAAAAACTTTCTTTACAAGTTGTGAAATGGCAAAAACTTTCTTTACAAGACTTAAAATGGCAAAAAATTCCTTTACAAAACAAAAAATCGCAGGAACTTTCTTTACAGAACGTAGAATTTTGAGAACTTTCTTTACAAGTCATTATGTGGCAAGAACTTTCTTTACAAAACTTGAAATGGCGAGAACTTTCTTGACAAGTCATTATGTGGCAAGAACTTTCTTTACAAAACTTGAAATGGCGAAAACTTTCTTTACAAAACAAAAAATCGCAAGAACTTTCTTTACAGAACATAGAATTTTGAAAACTTTCTTTACAAAATATGAATTGACAAGAACTTTCTTTACAAAACTAAAAATGGGAGGAACTTTCTTTACAAGTCATGAAATGGCAAAAACTTTCTTTACAAACCATTTTTTTCACATAAATTTTATAATTTCTAGGTAAAAGCGGCCTTGGAAAGAGCACCTTTGTCAACTCCTTGTTCACCGCCGAGATCAACGAGCCTCAGACGGCTCAAGCAGCAGCCCATCAGAAGATCGAGAAGACCGTGAAAGTCAATGCTAAAACCTTGGCATTGGAAGAGGACGGTGTGAATTTGAACGTGACTTTTGTTGATACTCCAGGTTTTGGCGACTTTGTGGACAACAAAAACTGCTGGGAACCGATTGTAAAGTACATTGATGACAGATTCGCCGAGTATTTGAATGAAGAGACTAAAATCGAGCGACAGCCTAAGATTGAGGACAAGAGAGTTCATGCTTTGTTGTATTTTATTCCACCGAGTAGAGGGTGAGTATGATTTTGTTTTTTTGGGTTGGGGATAGACCTAGAGGTGAGAAACGAGTCGTGTAAGTTTGGCTTGACTTTGGGCTAAAGTTGACACGGACCGTACCTAAAAGCTGGGCCTTATTTTGACGGGGCCGGCCTAAAAAATGAAACGGACAGGGCTTAAGCGGTGGGCTTCGGCCTGGGTTTCTCACCCTTAGAACTGAAAGATGGCTTTCTAGGCCCTTTCTTGGGATGGGTTAGGCTAAACAGTATTTTTTTTTGGGCTTGACCGGCATTTTTGGCTCAGGGTGAGAAACGGGCCGGGCTTGGCTTACTTTTGTGGCCTGGAGCTCAATGTTTAGGCCCGGCACGTTTTCATTTTTGCCTCGGCCAGACTCTAATTTTTTATGTGCAATGCGCCGGGCTTGATTTTCAGGCACGGCTCGACCTTAATTTAGCTCAAGGCCAACCCGGGTCTACTTGGCCTGTTTCTCACCCTTACTTTTGTCTCAGGGGTAAAACTAGGGCCTTAGAGGCTCAGCTTATGTGTTTTGTCTTGGTTTAAGGGATGGAACAATATTTTTTTTGCGTTTTTTTAAAAATATTTTTAAAGAAAGTTAACTTCTGGTTACAAGTATAGTTAATATGTTGATTACCAATGATACTTCAGCTTGTCCGAGTTGGATATTATGGCTCTGAAAGCGCTGCACGACCGAGTTAACATCATTCCAGTGATTGCCAAGGCTGATACTTTAACTGCTGATGAATTGACGGACCTGAAGAACACAGTAAGGGCCTTGAGATTGAAGTTTTAAAGTTTTTTTAGCTTATAACAGTGGGCTTATACTGTTTGTTTATATAATATTAGAATATTAAAAAGTTTTGTCGTTAATTTGCAAAGGTTTGCAGGTCTAAAAACGACAAAACTTTTTTGACATTTTAATATTAACGAGAGAGACGTAACTAGGAGCGGGGTGGTTCAACTCCTTTCTAGCCTAAACATGAGCAACGGACCGGGCCCATTTTTCAGGCCACGCCCGTTTTGATTTTTGTCAGCACTGGCCCGTTGTTCATGTCTATTCTAGCCTGTTTTTAAACTTTCTTGAATAACATTCCACTTGTAACCTATATTAATTTAGTTACTGGACCAGTTCACAGAGCACCAAATCAAGTTGTACGAGTTCCCAGCACCGTACGAGAGTGGGAAGAACAAGAAAGAGACCGACTTCCGTGACAGAATCCCATTCGCTGTGGTCGGATCGAATCAAGTGAAGGACGATGGTCGCAAAAAGTGCAGAATCCGACGCTACATTTGGGGCACGGTCGAGGTGGACAACCTGGAGCACAATGATTTCCTGGCCTTGAGGGATATCTTGATCAATCAGAATCTAATGGACTTGATTGATGTTACCAAGGAGATTCACTACGAGAACTTTAGGTCGAAACAGATGCAGAAGAGCCCTAAGGGCTTCATTTCAACTGGAGAGTGAGTTTGTGGAGAGGATGGGATATTGAGGTTATGTTAGGTTTTGATAGTGAAAATAGTGGTGTTTTAGGTAGAAAATGTTAGTATGTGGTAAAAAAATGTCATTATCGGGTTAAAGATGTCAATTTGGAGATACAAAATGTTGATTTAGGGTAGAAAGTGTCATTACCTGGTTTAGAAATGACATTTAGGTTAAAAATGTTATTGTAGGGCTAAGTAGACATGAGGAACGGGCCGGGCCTGGATTTCAGGCTCGGCCCGACTGAAAAAAAATTTGGGACATGTCCGGCCCGTTCCTCATGTCTACTTAGCCCTACATTAACATTGTTAACATAAATAACATTTTTAAGCTAAGAAAAGGTCGTTTTTAACAAAAACTCTTGATTAGAGCATAATTTTGAATTGCTTTCAGAGATCCATTCACGAAAATGGAGAAAGAACAACGTCAGAAAGAGTCGGAAGTTAAGATGCAGCAAGCCAAAAAGGAACAAATCTTTGTGGAGAAGGTCGACCAGAAGATGAAAGACATTCAGGAAGAGGAGAGAAAGGTATCACAACATTTTTAAAGCTAAACAATCTCAAAAATGTGTTTTTTAAACTTAATTTTATGTTTTGTTACCTAAATTTATGGAAATTTGTTTTATGGTAGAAAAATGGCATTAAAATCATATATTTTTAAAATTTTTGTGTTATTATTATATTATCAACACCATTTTTTAGTTAAACGATTACAAGAAGACCCTGGACCAAGAGCTGGCTGAAAAGCGCTGCCTTCTAGAGACCCTAAAGCAACAACTTTCGGAAGTTCGACGTCAGAACGGCCTCAACGACTCCAACTCTTCTCATTCGCCGGACGGAAGAAAAAAGAAGTCCTCCACATTATCCTTGTTCCGCTAACCAACTTACTCTAATTCTTGTATAATATTACTTACTGTTGTTTATTCTGTATACTTTTACAATAATAGCCTTTATATCGGTATGTCTCTTTGTGTACTTACAATTATGATGGTATTTTACCGATTATATTATAAGTATAGTAGTGTATTACTGTTTATGTTACATTTATGATGGTATCTTACTGTTTATATCTCTAAGGGGGGAGTTGTTACTGATTTTTTTGTGGATATGAAAGGGGGGGGGCTGGTAAACCTACCCCTATTTACCCCTTTCTTTATCTACGTCTCCGAAGGTATATTATTGTTTATATTTCTAATATAAGGTAATAATAAAGTCTTGTCGTGAATTTATGTGCTTTTTAATGGCAAAAAGCGACAAGACTTTTTGTGGCCTTTTATTATAATATGGCGAACTTTAATCATTATCCTCTAACTATATCTCATCAATATTGTTTTAACCTTTATATACTTGTAAATTATTGCCAGTAAATCATTATATCATGTTGTTAATAGTACATAGTAATAGTAATGGCACTATTGAAGAACACATTAGACCTAAAAGGGGGCCTACTAGACCAGGACTGAAGGGAGATATATGTGGAGCCGAGGGCCAGAAAATTGGCTCCGGCTCCTCTATAAGCTAGGACAAAGCCAAAGGAGGTGATTATAGAGCTCTTTGTATTATCAAGTAGTGTAATATAGACAAGACTGTCTGCGGAATTGGAAATTAATTTTTATTTTTGGGTTGGGTTCTAGAAGTAAAGGTCATTTATAGGCTTAAAGTGGTCACTTTTGGGCATAAAATGATCATTTGTAGGCTCAAAAATAGTGTTTTATATGCATAACATGCCTAGTCTAATGACCGCAATCATTTTTAGGCTTAAAGTGGTTTTTTTAGGCCTAAAATAATAATTTTTAGGCTTAAATAATAGATTATTTTGGATCTAAACTCATAACTTTTAGCCTTATAATGGCCATTTTGAAACTTAAACTGATTATTTTAGGCCTAAAATTGTCATTTTTAGGTATAAAATGATTGTTTTTAGGCTTAAGCTTATAACCTTTAGGCTTAAAGTAACCATTTTTAAGCATAAAAAAATGATAGTTCTTAGTCATCAAATTATCATTTTATACATAATACATAAAAATGATAATTTTTAAGCTTAAAAGGACGTTTTTGTATGTATAACATGACTAAAAGATAGGCTTAAAATGATGCTTTTGTGTGTATAACATGACTAGTTTAGGTTTAAAAGTACTATCTTTAAGCTTACAATGATGATTTTCATGTATAACATGACTAGTTTGGACATTACATAACTATTTTTAGACCCAAAATTGTAGTAACATTATATAGTATCCATAGTATTCATCTTATCGTACTCCTACTCTTCTTTCCTCTCACTCTCCCCCTCTTCATCCTCTTTCTTTCCATAGCCCGAGGCGTTTTGCGTCCGTTTGTTTTTCATTCGTCGGTTTTGAAACCAAATTTTAATCTGGGTCTCGGTCAAATTCAACTCTCTGGCCAGCTTGTAACGTAGTGGGCGGCTAAGATACTTGGTTTCGGAGTATTGACGCTCCAGCTCCATTAACTGTTCGCTGGTGAAAGTGGTGCGTGGCCGGCGGATTCGGCCCAGGTTTTGCCAGCTCCACACTGAAAATTTGTTAAATATTAAATTTTAAAAATTTTTTAGGATATAAAGAAATTTCTTGCCATTTATTGTTTTGCAAAGAAAGTTCTTGCTATTTCTCGTCTTGTAAAGAAATTCTTGTCAATTCATGCTTTGTAAAGAAAGTTTTCGCTATTTTGTTTTTTAAAGAAAGTTTTTTCCATTTCTTGTATTGTAAAGAAAGTTCTTGCCATTTTTAGTCCTTAGAGAATTTTTTTTCTTGTTCAGTCATAAAAATGTTTTTCTATTAACTTTTGGACCACTAAATAATTTTCAAGTACTAATTGGTCCCCTAAACAAGATCAAACCCAATTGCCGACTGTTTCAAAAATTGTGGCGCAAAAAACAATTTACCATAATCTCGAAGCCCCCCCCCCTCTCGGGATTCGAAAGCACAAAGCGTTTTATGTAAAGTTATATTCGCTTTAATTCGATTATTTCGGCACGTTTTGTGTTAACGAACCCTCAGGGAGTTTCTGGTTAGGCTAGGGAACACTGGTTTTGAAGAGATGATAGAGAAATCAGGGCAAAAAATGAAAAATTCATATATTATCCATAGCTTTTGTGTGATGATTTAGTACTCAGAAAAGATTTTTTATTAAAATGGAGGGTTGGGTAGTAAAAAATGGCAAGAACTTTCTTTACAGAACAAAAAATGGCAAAACTTTCTTTACAAAACATAAAATGGCAAGAACTTTCTTTACAAAAACCAGCAATGCTTAAATACCAGAAAACTTACAAGTAAGAAGCGGATTGTATAACATTCCACTTTGTAGTAAGCTGCTATTGGACAACAATGATGCATTCAGAAGTTGTGTAGTGGGATCAGTGAAGCTTTGTGCAAATTGTTGTAGATCGGCTGAAGTCTGAGGGATCAGGGCTTGGTTATTTGAGGGAGATGGGGTTTGGTAGTCGAGGCAGAAGTTGGTTGGGCTGAAAATGGTAGTATAAATAGGCAGTACGGATGAGAGGTTTTTTGGTCTTAATGGTACTATCCTACCGTATACTACTGTACCTAACGCTACCCTACCATCCTACTCTACCCTACCCCACCTTTTTCCACATTATGTTATCCTAATCTACCCTTTTCTATCTTATCCTCCTTTGCCCTACCCTACCCTACCTTACCTTACCCTATCCCATTCTACCCTACCGTACTCAACCCTATCGTCTCTTACGCTGCCTTACTTTACCTCACTCTACCTTACTATACCCTACTTTGGCCTCATCCTATCCTGGCCCTACTCTACATTACCTTACATTGGTTCTACCTTACTCTAACTTTCCTTATTTACCCTGCCTTCTCTACCCTAAAAATAAAATTTCTACCACTAGCCCTATCTTATTTCTACGATTACTCTACCATACCGTACTCTAACTCTATGTTACCTTACACTATTCTATCTTGTTTATCCTAACCCTACATTACCTTATCGTTACTCGGCCCTACCTATACCATAATCTTAGCCTTGGGTTAGCCCTACGCTTTTCCTACCATAAACGTACTCGAGACCTACCCTACATTACCCTACTGTACTCAATTCCATGTTACTGTATCACGTTTTCCTATTTTTAAAACTGTTTAAAGGCGGTTCAAATTAAACATTTTTATATCTATTACTTTGTACCCTTACTCTACTCATAATACTTATTTAAGCCTTCAAACTCACGTAGCCTCAGGTTCTGCTATTTGCTCTTCCCGCTCTACCGTACTCTTCTTACAGTCGGCCAAACACTCGATTGAACTGAACATTATGTTATGAACCGAATGGAATTGTCAAGCCTGAAACTCTTAAATTGGTTCATTTGGTTTTGGTTTAGGTTTAGTGGGCGAAAAAATAATCGACAATCATTTTTATAATTAAATAGATCAAAGAATTGGCCAAATGTTATTATTCGAGTGGGTTATGGGCCGCGAGAGGGTAATAAGGCCGGAGGAACAATAAAGGCTTGAAATTTTGAAATCAAAATTTTTGAAACATTGAAATTAAAAAAATTTAGGTAGCAAAAACTTTCTTTACAAATCAAAAAATGGCAAGAACTTTCTTTACAGAACATAAAGTTTTGTTTATAGTATAAATTGTCACCCACAGGCTGCACCGGACTTACTTTTGGATTTTTATGTAAAAATGGCAAGAACTTTCTTTACAAATTAAGACATGGTAAGAACTTTCTATACAAGAGAAAAAATGGCAAGAACTTTCTTTACAGACAAAAAACGTTAAAAACTTTCTTTACAGACAAAAAACGTTAAAAACTTTCTTTACAGACAAAAAACGTTAAAAACTTTCTTTACAGACAAAAAACGGTAAAAAATTTCTTCACAAAGCATAAAATGGCAAGAACTTTCTTTACAAATCAAAAAATGGCAAGAACTTTCTTTACAGAACATAAAATTTTGTTTACCGTATAACTTGTCACCTACAGGCTGCACCAGACTTACTTTTGGCTTTTTATGTAAAAAATGGCAAGAACTTTCTTTACTAATCAAAAAGTGGCAAGAACTTTCTGTACGAAACAAAAAATGGAAAGAACTTTCTTTACAAAACAAAAAATGGCAAGTACCTTCTTTACAAAACATGAAACGAAAAAACTTTTCTTTAAATTTTATAAAATGGCTAAGATTTTCTTTTCGAAACAAAAATGGCAAGCAATCATCAAAAGTTACAGTAATCCAAAAAGTAATCACTTCCTAGAAAGTCATTACATACAACGGCCAAACTTGTTACCCAAAAATATGGCCGAATAAAAGTTGTTCATCTCCACCTCTAACAAACACTGGCAGCCAATTGGCTCGACAGTTATGATACCCATATTCGGCTCCTCCTCACTGAATTCCCCCGAGGCCGCGAATCCGAGCGCTGTTTGCGCGTTTTGATCGAACGAAACCGGCGCCGCAAAAAAAACTAATTTGTTGAGATGACATATTCTAACTGACTCCGGCTGATGTCGGCGAAAGTTTTAATAAACTGTCAGCAGTGTCAAGCATTAATAACCATATCACATTTGATGGCGTTTCGTTACGGTAGTGTAATATTGGTTTGGACAAAGTGTTTTGTCAAGATAGAGTATAATAGAAAGGGTTCTTCTCTTCTATCTAGAGTTATGGCTAATAACCATACATAATTATGGCGACGAGCCGGTGTTATTGGTCTATAGACGTCCAATCAAACAAATAGCTTTTGCAGCCTGCGCTGCTCGGGCGCAGCAATTCACCTTCGAATATTGTTTCAGTTTCTCGACATGTTTGAATTAGTTTTCTTCTGGATTTTCAATAATTTTTGACTAATTTTGCATAAGTGTAGTTCAACACGAAACTGTATATTCTGTATTTTGATAGTTTTTAAACAAATTTCTTTTATTCAATGAATTTTGGCAACAGATATAAATTGAGAAGATTTTCCATCTAAAACAAGGTCGCTTGATGTTATATTGCGCGTTGCAGGCTTGTGAATCTGTTGAATGATGTAAAATAATATGCTGAATGTTTTAGAGCTGGTGAACAATATTTTAGGATTTTGTAGCTTGAAGTCTTGGACCAGAAATGAGCGCTGGAAGTTATGATACCTGACCATTTTTTGGACAATGTTTATGACGTTGAAACTGAAGTAGATGAGTAAGATGGGTTGCTTTTACGTGGTTTGGTGTATTTTTTGAATTTTTGTTTTGTAAAAATGAAAAAAAATCGGTTTAAAACTGAAAAATAGTCTTTTTTCTATTTGACGCGAATATGCGGTCGCTTTATTTTATTCTTGTTTGGTCGATTTTTGTTGTCAAAGGCTATGAAATTCAGGAAGGAGAAATCGAACATTACCTGGAAATCGTCAAAGTAAAAGGGCCTCTGGGGATTCGAATTGAAGCTTACTTCTCCAGTAAGTTTTGATAATTTTTTAAAAATTTTTGTTGAATTATAATTTTTTTTTGTTTTAAAACCATTTGGTTGCCTTTTTTACATACTGCCAAGACTTATTAACATGACTTTGTTTATTTCGCGGTTTAAGCCTACAATGAATCGCTTGGAGTACGATTTCTTTTGGTACAGTATCCGGAATCTGAACCAGATGATTGGAAAATAATACCATTGGGCGATGCTTACCAAATCCATTCATTTGTGTTGTTGGAACGTCAAAAGGTCTCTGTTTTGTCGTCAGCCATGTTGTAGGTTTTTAAATTTTAAACTTCGGCGAGTTAGACCAGCTATAGGTAGTGGAAAGTGTAGCTAGGAGTGAGAAACAGGCCGCGCCCACTTTTCAACGTTTTAGGGCTGGCCCGCTTTAATGTTTTTTTCAGGCCGGCCCGACTTGTTTAAAAATTTCCAGGCCCGGCCTTTTTTAACTTATCAAGAGATACTGTCATGTTTAATTATACTATTTGATATGAGTGTACACTTTTGATTGTTGGTTGATTTAGTAAATAAAGTAAAGTAAGCTCAAGGCCTCCCCGATCGTAGAGCCGTTCCTACACGGCCCGTTTCTTACCTCTAATTACAGCTGAAGTAAGTTAACAAAACGTAGCAAATAATTAGCAATAAGAACAGTATGTCTAACTGTATAGTAAGGTAGGTGTAGAAAAAGAGATGGCTTATATAAGCTAAAAAAATGTAGAGTAGAGAAGGTTAGAGTAAAGGTAATAAAAAGTTGTGGCGGAAGTAGGGTAGGGTTGTGATAGAAGCAGGTTTATTGAGGATAGAGAGATCCTTTTCAAGCAAAAAATTTGAAGAAAATTTTGAATACTTGTCCTCCTGTTGATCTTCAAAAAATGAAAGTTGTTTATGAATATCAACAGTATAATAACTTTCAAGTTTTTTTTTCAATTTTTTTTTGAAAGTACTCCCCCCTCTCTTCAATAAATTTGCTTCTATCATAACCTTACCCTACTTCTACCGCAGATTTTTATTATTTCTGCTCTAGCCTTCTCTACTCTACATTTTGTTAGCTTATATAAGCCATCTCTTTTTCTACCCCTACCTTATTATACCGTTAGATATACTGTTTTTTATTGCTAATTAGTTGCTACATTTTGTTACCTTGTCTCAGCTATACTTTCACTAACCTCTACCTTACTATACCATTAGACAAACTGTTTTATTACTGAGTATTTTCTTTTAGAGAATCCTCAAATTCGCTAGAGTACGGTGTCTTCTATCCCCACGCGTTTGCATTTCGGAATTTGATCTTTTTGGACAATGCCAAATTCATATGGTCACAACAAGTGATGTCGCTATATCAGAAGGTGCATGATTTGTGTGACAAAACAGTAACAGCACAATTCGACTGGTATTTCCAGGAGAATTCGACGATTTGCGACATTAAAAAACTGTGCTTTGAGGGAGATCAGGTGTGTCGAAGATGATGGTTATAGTTTTTATGAAGAATAAGGGAAGGTAGTAGTATAATTAGTTCTTTGGTACTTCTAGGGCTGGTTAGTTCTTTAATCTGTTTGTAGGAAAGGGGAGGGTAACGGCATGGCTAGGGTAGGTTCTTTTCTTCGCTAGGGTAAGACAAGTCTTTAGGTTGCTTAGGGTAAAGTTAGGATTTAGCTGTTGGTAGGGTAAGGTATAACTTTAGCTTTGATAGGGTAAGGAAGGGCTTTACGTTGGCTAGAGTACGGTAAGACTTTAGTTTGGTTAGGTTAAAGTTAAGATTTAGCTTTGATAGGGTAATGTAATGCTTTTATTTGGCAAGAGTAAGGTAAGAATTTAGTTTGGCTAGGGTAGATTAAGGTCTTGCTCTGGTTGTTTAGGACATAGTAAGGCTTTAACATGACTAAGGAGGATAGTAAGGCTTTAACATGACTAAGCATAGGATAGGCCAGACTTGAGCATAGCTAGGATAAGGTTAGGTTTTAATTTGGCTAGGGTAAGATATGGTTTTTGCTTGGTTAGGGTAAGCTATGGCTATAGATTGGCTGGGGTAAGGTAAGTCTTCAGCTTGGCTGCGATTAACATCTTGTTATGGTCATGTCGTGGTAAAGATTTGAGATGGCTAGGGTAAGTTCCTATGTAGTGTTTTTAGAGTAAGGTAGACTTCAGCATGGCTACGGTAGGGTAAGGTATAAAAGCCATTTATGGTTAAGATAGAGTTATGATAAGGCGTGTGTTAGTGCTCGGATAGCATTAGTATGGTAGGTTTATCATAAAGCCCAGTTTAAATTTATTAATTTAAACTTTTAGCGTTGTGGAATCGACCGTGACACTGGTGAACTAGAACTTCTGACCCCGGAAACTCAATATATGTATAAAGTGTTTAACTTTACCATTCCATGGAATTGTGCTTACACATTCTGTACATTTAAAGACACTGAGTAAGGGTTTTACTGTGACTTTTGATTTTTTAACCGAAAATTGGTCTAAAGGAGGGGTAATATCGTAAAAATCATCACGAAACCTAATATTTTTTTTTGGACTTTTTGTAGTTGTGAAAGATTAAATGATGATGAAAATGCGAAAAAGTTTTCTGATTTATATAAAAAGGCTTTGAAGTGTACTTTTTTAATAATCTCAATATATTTTTAAATATATTTGCTTTACTGATTAACATTTCTTTCAGTGACAACGAATTTGTGATCCCAAAGGACCTGCGCACCTCGTCAGACTCACCAGCTGAAGGCGAAAGAATCGGCCTTGTGCCATTATTAACCACACAGTCCAAATTCGTCCGCCGAAAACTAAGATGGCTGGTCGATGACAGCTTCACCCAAAGGCCGGCTATGTTAATATCAATTGGGTTTTTGATTGTTTTCTGGTTTTTATAAGAAAATTTGAATAGAATATGGATATTGATGTTTGTTGGAGCTGTTTTAATTGGTAAAAGTGCTGTATAAGTTCATTTTATACTCGGTTTAATTTTGCAACTTCTGTTATAGAAAACGGTTCTGCATCTTGCATCGCTTTGGGATAATGTTATAGGCTTGTTTAAGAATAAATGTGATGATTCTAAGCGTGTAATTTGATTTTTTTCTTTTTTTTCGTTTCTTTAAATTTGAGTGGTATTTAACGTGAGGTTCAGGCTTAAAGTTTTAATTTATGTTACAATATAAGATTTGAATTTAGATAACAAATTCGATTTAAAAATTGTTATTTCACGTCAATTTACAGTGCATTTCTATCATATCAAGTGTAACTCGTCCACTTCAAAATGGTCCTACCACGAAAACAAACCTTGGCATTGCGTGCCAGTGATTGCCGGAAGAAGTCATTTCAATTGAAACTTTGAACCTTGCGCGTGCGTGAAATCGCTTTTCCTCCTGAAATTTTAAACTTTTCTGTGATTATGAATGTTACTTTTCATTTTTCTCTTAAAATATTGTTTTGCAGGATATTCACCATGTTCAACATGAAGATCGAGCATTGTCGCAGATGTAGAATGGTGGAAAAGATGGAAAACGCATCAAACGGAGGCTAAACTACTGATGGTGGATGTAGAAGACGCTAAAAGGTATGTGTTTTTGTTTTTTGTTCTGTTTTTAGAATTTTTGAGGGAAAAAGGAGGATTTGATGTTATAATTGATGCGAAACTTAAGTTTAGTGTTATATATGTCGTTTTGGGTTAAATATTGGAGAATTTTGACTTTGTTAGAAGGGTTTGGGTTTGAGGAAAGTGTAATATCGGCTAGATTTGTTAATTCTTCAACAGTTTTTGATAAATGATCAATTTTGGATATTACACTAGGCATCAGGTGATAAATTGCGACTTTTTTGGGTTTCAGCTATATTTTGAGGTATTGTAAGACCATATTATGCTGAACAGTAGTATTTTAGATATATTTAGCTACATCTTAAGCTATTTTATCTTTAAGGATTTTAATAATTTGGTTTTGTTTTTTTAGAGAGTAAGGTTAACTTAGACTAATCTTTCTGATGTTATATTGCGCGAGATTGATGGTTATAAGGGTTATATAAAGCCTATTATAATCTATTTGTGTATTTACCGTCTTTTAGAGCCGTTACCGATCAAGAAACGGAGAATTTGAAAGTTATGGCCACAAGAACATCTTCATCTTACCGATTTCATAGGGACCTGACCAAATTGGATAGAACGGACAAGATGTTACCTTAAACACCATATAATACGGTTAACTGGACCCACGACAAGTTGTTTTGCATGTAAGTTCTAATATTTATTTGTTTTTTGTGATTTTAGGCCAGTTTGGAAGGTTTTTCATTAGGTATACATATCCATCTGATGGGTAATATACTTTTGGTAATTTTTTCATTTTTAGGGGCTGTAGATAGTGCGACCGTCTGGAATTGGAATAAGAAGACTGAACGATGTTGTTAGCATCAAATCAAGGCTTGGCAAGCACGGTGGCGTCTAGGATCGACGTTCTAAACCTTGTCTGGTGCGAACTGTGGATGGGTGGATAAGCGTAGCCAATTGTGGATTCTACGGCTTTTGTAAGTTTCTTTTCTTAATTATTTATCGTTAACAAGGGATTAGAGTTAAGGTATTTTATATGTTATCAATTGAGTTTAAATTTTGGGGTTTAATTTGATGTTATCCATGGTCGTTTGTTGTCATGGATAAGTTATGGAAGATGTTATGATAACTAAGCAATCCTTGCTGTCGTTGTCACATTTTAACACTGAAATATTAAATTTTATGATGCCTATTTGCAAAATATTAAGCTTGACGTGAGATGTGTCATGGATAATATAAAATTTGGAAATTTTTCAATGTTTTTGAGCTTTAATATGAGATAATAGATGTGTGTTTCAGAAGTTGCTCCAAGTTGGCGTTAATGTGATATAATGTCCAAAATGACTCAAACGTTGGTCATTTTCAAGGTAAAGATGGCTCAAGTTCAGTGCCCAACCAAATGCCAGATTAGATCATCAAAGAAGCTGAGCCAAGCTGTCATCAGCCCGTAATCTTTAGGGCATAGAATCTCTAATGTCATTGCTGTATATTTTCTTGTATTTGGCGTGTTATTACCTTTATTTATCGCGTTGTTGAGGTAGTCTCTGTACGAGCTCTCCCTTCTGATGGATTTGGGACTTTACTATGTTAGAGGGAGGTTCAAGAGCAAGGTTGGAGTGGCAGGTCTGATGAAGAGATACAGATGATCGTTACTTTAGAAGTTTAAGAGTTTTGACCTGACTAAATTTGACTTTTCGGCCGAACTTTGAATTTTTCAAAACTTTATGAAGTGCCACTTTGGAGTGGTAAAAACTCTTTTTTTGATTCTAAAATACGTTTTTTTTAGTTCAAATTGAAATTTATAAATTTTGGCAGTAAAATGTAATTTTGAAGGGTGATTTGAATTCAGATCTTGTCATACCTCCTTGCACTGTGCCTGAGTGTAGCTTTGACTGACACTTTCGGCCGAAGGCTGGTCGGAAAATGGATGAAATGTTGACTTTAAAAGATTTGGCAGGAGTTTGATTTTAAATTTTTAAAACTAAACAAAGTGACACTTTCAGCTGATAAATTGCTGTCGTAAAATTTGAATTAGAGCCTTTTTCTGTCACAAAAACGTCATTTTTACGTTTTCTAGTAAAATTTCGTTTTTTGTTCGCTGAAGCTTCAACTTCTGTCCATTTTTTGACCGGTCTTCGGTTGGATTTGCTTGATCTCTGTCTCCTCTGGTACGCCTTGGATGTTGCTCTGGCTGTTCGTAAGTTCCGGAGAAGTCAGAAGGCATCTCGGCAGAAACTCCACCTCCTCCCCTTCTTGGAGGGGGGACTTAATCACCCCGCCCTCCATGAAAAAGAATGGGGGAGCTTACTGGAATAAACAATACGCAGGCATAATCGGTTATTTAATTTATTCAAAGAAAAATTTGGCATGGCCCCGTGTTCTAGGAGTGGGTACCGAGTTCCACCTTCTCGGTGGGACCAAGCAGGGACTCGGTCCCACACCCACGGGGAAAAGAAAGAATTCCCCTCCCCCAAGGTGAGTCTCTGCCAAGATGCCTTCTGACTTCTCCGGAACTTTACGAACAGTTAGAGCAACACCCAAGCCGTACCTGAGGAGACAGAGATCAAGCAACCCCAACCAAGCCTGGTGGGAAAATGGACAGAAATTTGTTTTTCAGCGGAAAAAAGGCTTTCAAACGAAAAAAGTCAAGCTTTGGTATCGAGAAACCGAAAATTTACAACTTTTTAAAGCAGAAAGGTCTTTTATAAACAGTGAGACAAACAACGGTACACTTTACGAAAATTTAAATTAGTTTTGTAAAGCATTTTTTCAACTTTTTCAAATAAAAATCAAGTTTTAGCCAAAAACTTATAAAAGCTGAACTTTCCATCCATTTTCCGACCAGGCTTCAGCCGAAAGTGCCAGTCAAAGCTACACTCAGGCACTGTACAAGGAGGTATGACAAGATCTGAATTCAAATCACCCTTCAAAATTACATTTTACTGCCAAAATTTATAAATTTCAATTTGAACTAAAAAAAACGTATTTTAGAATCAAAAAAAGAGTTTTTACCACTCCAAAGTGGCACTTCATAAAGTTTTGAAAAATTCAAAGTTCGGCCGAAAAGTCAAATTTAGTCAGGTCAAAACTCTTAAACTTCTAAAGTAACGATCATCTGTATCTCTTCATCAGACCTGCCACTCCAACCTTGCTCTTGAACCTCCCTCTAACATAGTAAAGTCCCAAATCCATCAGAAGGGAGAGCTCGTACAGAGACTACCTCAACAACGCGATAAATAAAGGTAATAACACGCCAAATACAAGAAAATATACAGCAATGACATTAGAGATTCTATGCCCTAAAGATTACGGGCTGATGACAGCTTGGCTCAGCTTCTTTGATGATCTAATCTGGCATTTGGTTGGGCACTGAACTTGAGCCATCTTTACCTTGAAAATGACCAACGTTTGAGTCATTTTGGACATTATATCACATTAACGCCAACTTGGAGCAACTTCTGAAACACACATCTATTATCTCATATTAAAGCTCAAAAACATTGAAAAATTTCCAAATTTTATATTATCCATGACACATCTCACGTCAAGCTTAATATTTTGCAAATAGGCATCATAAAATTTAATATTTCAGTGTTAAAATGTGACAACGACAGCAAGGATTGCTTAGTTATCATAACATCTTCCATAACTTATCCATGACAACAAACGACCATGGATAACATCAAATTAAACCCCAAAATTTAAACTCAATTGATAACATATAAAATACCTTAACTCTAATCCCTTGTTAACGATAAATAATTAAGAAAAGAAACTTACAAAAGCCGTAGAATCCACAATTGGCTACGCTTATCCACCCATCCACAGTTCGCACCAGACAAGGTTTAGAACGTCGATCCTAGACGCCACCGTGCTTGCCAAGCCTTGATTTGATGCTAACAACATCGTTCAGTCTTCTTATTCCAATTCCAGACGGTCGCACTATCTACAGCCCCTAAAAATGAAAAAATTACCAAAAGTATATTACCCATCAGATGGATATGTATACCTAATGAAAAACCTTCCAAACTGGCCTAAAATCACAAAAAACAAATAAATATTAGAACTTACATGCAAAACAACTTGTCGTGGGTCCAGTTAACCGTATTATATGGTGTTTAAGGTAACATCTTGTCCGTTCTATCCAATTTGGTCAGGTCCCTATGAAATCGGTAAGATGAAGATGTTCTTGTGGCCATAACTTTCAAATTCTCCGTTTCTTGATCGGTAACGGCTCTAAAAGACGGTAAATACACAAATAGATTATAATAGGCTTTATATAACCCTTATAACCATCAATCTCGCGCAATATAACATCAGAAAGATTAGTCTAAGTTAACCTTACTCTCTAAAAAACAAAACCAAATTATTAAAATCCTTAAAGATAAAATAGCTTAAGATGTAGCTAAATATATCTAAAATACTACTGTTCAGCATAATATGGTCTTACAATACCTCAAAATATAGCTGAAACCCAAAAAAGTCGCAATTTATCACCTGATGCCTAGTGTAATATCCAAAATTGATCATTTATCAAAAACTGTTGAAGAATTAACAAATCTAGCCGATATTACACTTTCCTCAAACCCAAACCCTTCTAACAAAGTCAAAATTCTCCAATATTTAACCCAAAACGACATATATAACACTAAACTTAAGTTTCGCATCAATTATAACATCAAATCCTCCTTTTTCCCTCAAAAATTCTAAAAACAGAACAAAAAACAAAAACACATACCTTTTAGCGTCTTCTACATCCACCATCAGTAGTTTAGCCTCCGTTTGATGCGTTTTCCATCTTTTCCACCATTCTACATCTGCGACAATGCTCGATCTTCATGTTGAACATGGTGAATATCCTGCAAAACAATATTTTAAGAGAAAAATGAAAAGTAACATTCATAATCACAGAAAAGTTTAAAATTTCAGGAGGAAAAGCGATTTCACGCACGCGCAAGGTTCAAAGTTTCAATTGAAATGACTTCTTCCGGCAATCACTGGCACGCAATGCCAAGGTTTGTTTTCGTGGTAGGACCATTTTGAAGTGGACGAGTTACACTTGATATGATAGAAAGGCACTGTAAATTGAAGTGAAATAACAATTTTTAAATCAAATTTGTTATCTAAATTCAAATCTAATATTGTAACATAAATTAAAACTTTAAGCCTGAAAACTTTAAATCGAAAATCTACCCCTGCCTATCTTTAACCAACTCTAGCTTACTCTAATTCACCATACTTTATCCATAGCAAGGTAGGGTAAAATATAATACTATACTGCAATCAATATTTTGCTTCTGAGATGTTTAAAAAAGTATTGTCGTTTTTTGCCGTGTTGAAGAAGGTCAAATGACGACAAAACTTTTTTAAAAGCTACCATTACGCTTATTTTTGGCTGGGAAGGTTAAAAGTCCCTATACCCAATCCTAACCCAATAATATAAAAATACCAAAAGATACAGTACCAAAACCTTCGATATTAAAATTTTAAAATTTCATTTTAAAACTTTATTATACATGAGTAAAAACAACAAAATTAGAATCAAAAGAGGAAAAAACTGGCATTTTGTCAAAAGAAGAGTTGAATGTTAGACAGGAGCGCAAGTGACATACCCCCAGGCTTGGACGTAGGGCGTTGCCCCCTGTGCCCGACCCGGCCCCAGGGCCCATTTTCACGATCAGTTACAGGGCCGGGCCGGGCAGGGCACAAGATTGTAACCGGGCAGGGCTTGCTTCGTGCCCGGTAAAGCCCTGTAAATGCCCGGTATAAAATTTTTTCATATTGTTTAAAAAGAAATAAAAATCTGTTTGAAATTGTTGAGCTCCGAACAAGTAATGTTACCTACCCCACTTCATTTCTGAACATTTGTTCTCTACCCGACCTCACCTCTGACCCTTTTAGCCCTGCCCGACTTCATCCGCACCTATTTTAACCCTACCCAACCCCACCCCTGAGCCCTTTAACTCCACCCGACCCTACCCCTGACCTTTGTCGCCCTGCCCGAGCGTACCCTGACCTTTCTACCTTACCCAACCGTACCCCTGATCTTTAGCCCTGTCCGATCCTACGCTACCAGATTGTACCTAATATGCCATATACTCCCATACCCTATCATATCTATCATTCCATAAACTATCTTATCTACCATGCCTAACTCTACAATACCCTACCGTATTATAAAATGCTATACTCTACCGTACAATACTATATCCTACCATACCATAACGTACTATACCATACCATACTGTATCATATCATACCTTATCCGATCTTATACAACACTACTGTGTACTACTCATAAGTAGGGTAGAGTAGGTAAATAAGGCAAGTTATAAATGGTATAATATAGCCAGGTATAGTATGATTGGGTATGGTAGAGTATGGCAGATAGGATAGGTTATGGTAGGGTATTGTAGGGTTTGGTATGCTTTGTTTTGTAAGATGGGTATGGTATAATAGGGTAGAATAAAAAAAGTCAGGGGTAGAGTAGGGTAAGGCAAAACAGGTCAGAGGCAGACTTGGATAAAGCTAAAGAGGTCAAAAGTAGGGTTGGGTAATGCTAAAAAAAGTCAGAGGTGAAGCCGGAAAAGGCTAAAAGGGTTAAGGGCGAGGTCGGGTAGGGCTAAAAAAGGTGGGAGTGAGGTTGGGTAGGCCTAAAAGGGTCAGGGGTGCGGTTGGGTAGGGCGAAAATTGTCAGGGGAGAGGTTAGGTAGGGTTAAAAAGATCAGGGGTGAGGCCGGATAGATATAAAGCAGTTTATATCACTTGTTATTAAATTTATAAACATAATTTATAAATGCCCTGTAAAACCCTGTAAAGCCCTGTAAATGCCCTGCCCGACCCGGCCCTGGGGCCGGGCCCGGAACCTAAAAGCCCTGCACCGGGCAGGGTCCAAGCGGGCCCGGTGCCAGGGTCTCAAACTGGGCCCTGCCCTGCCCTACGTCCAAGTCTGAACACAACTCATAGGCCCGACCGTTTCAATTTTAGCTAAAGTTATGATTACCATTAGTGGTTAAATCCTAACTAATCACCTATTTTTTTCAAAGTTCAAGATTTATTTCAACAATTAACATTTCAAACCTATGATAATGTTTGTAGCCTAGTGCCATTTTTACCAATTTCTTTCAATCGGGCTTTCCAATGGGTACCCATTTGCATTAAGGACCAGTTTGCCTTGTTGCAAAATGCTTGGATTACTAGCCACCAGTTCATAGTCTAAAAATGGAAGTGCTAGCTTTCTGTGCAAAACCATGGTTTTTAAATTGCCATTTTAAATGTTATATAAGAACTTTTTAAAAAATCCTCGTTTCTTATGCAAAGCGATGAAAAATACTACCTATTTTTACAAAAATTTCAAAATTTTAAATTACAAAATTTTTTCAACCCCCCCCCCCTCTCAAAAAAACTTTAAAATTCAAAACCCACATTCCCTGAGGACATCACAGTTGTTTTCAGCCGTCCTCTGCGCATGATAACAATAATTCATAGTCCAACCAAGTTGCGCGATCCCAGATTTCAGTCCAATCGCTGCTGCTCGCGTCGCCCGGGCTATTGTTGCCACCATGCCAAGCTGGGCTTCAAGGATGTCGGCCAATGCCACTTGAGTGTAATAGTCGGTTTTCAGTTCGACCGCATGCTTTACGCAGACCTTTTCGAGGAGACGCTCCAGACGGTAGGTGGAGAGCTCGAGGTCGCGGCAGAAGGGCTGGAATTTGAAATTTTAAAAAGTAAATGTTATACGGTACTTTACTCTACCTTATGTCTGTTTACCTCCCCCTACTATAACTCACCCCACCGTACCCTACCCTACTCTACCCTACCCTACCCTATTCTACCCTACCTTACCCTAACCTACCTTACTCTACCCTACCCTACCTCACCCTACCCTACTGTACCCTGCTTTATTTCACCCTACTCTACCTTAACCTAACATACTGTGCCCTGCCGTACCTTGCCTTCTCCTACTCAACCCTACCATACCCTATCCTGTCATATTTTACCCTGCCCTGCTCTCATTCATTCTGACCTATTCTTCCATGCCCTATTTTACCCCACTCTACCCTGTCCCCCCGTATGTTACCTTAAGCTAACCCACCCCTTATTTCCAAAGCAAATTGGTCCTGTCCTACCCTAACATACCCTGCCTTGTTTTCGTTTCTAACCTGCCCTACCCCTACAGTCCCCTACCCTATTCTTTCTTAATCTACGATACCCACCCCTTATCTCCAATCCAAACTTCCACCCCTACCTCAAGTTCAGGATCAGCTCGTTCGGCCAAGAAGTGGATGGCTTTGGGATCTTTGAAGTCCTGGTTCTCTGTTGGATTGAATAACGTATTCTTGAGGGTTACGAATTTGCTTTTGTTCAGAGCCTTCTTTGAGTTCATCACATAAGAGTCGATGGTAGGGAGGGCGATCGCTCTGACTATTGTCAATTCGGGGAGCTGAAATGTAATTTTTACAAATATAAAACTGACTGAGTACTGTAACAAAATAAAAAAGTTATTTTTTTAAAAAAGTTTTTGCAATTTTTTGACTTGGAAAGAAAGTTCTTGCCATTTCTTGATTTTGTAAAGAAAGTTCTTGCCCTTTTTTGCTTTGTAAAGAATGTTTTTACCATTTTACGTTTTGTAAAGAAAATTCTTGCACTTCTTGCTTTGTTAAGAAAGTTCTTGCCGATTTTTCGCTTCTTAGAGTCTTTGCCATTTTAAGCTTTGTAAAGAAAGTTCTTGCCAATTCTTGCTTTGTAAAGAAAATTCTTGCCATTTTTACTCAAAAGTTAAAATCTTTCGTTGCAGGACCTAAGCTTGGCCTTGTTTCGGACTCGGTCCTCCGGTTCACAAGTGCCAATCCCTTTCAAACTTGCTTTGGCATAGCCCGAAGCTGAGCCTAGTAAACCGTTTTTCAAGTCTAGTACTAGTTATATTAAAACTTTTTAAAAACTTTTTTTAACCCACACTCAAGCTCATGACAGATGTGATGTCCTTGATCAGTTTGGCGTATCCAAAGTCGGTATCGACTGCCTCGAGTCCAGCCACTTCGCTGATGGTTAATATAGCTTGCCGAAGGACTTTGTTCGCCATTCTTTGACAAATCATATTCTCCACGTCATTCAGTTTGTACAGACTTTCGTCGGCCATACCTGCCAGATAATAGACGAGGGTTTCCAATGGAAACAGGTCCATCGACAGTTTGTTGATTGTGGCTTGGATCGACGGGTTGTTGGCCAATAAATTGTTGCCAACGCGTTTTTTGTGCGATAACTCGACTAGATTGGCTAAAACAACATAGCTAATTATAAAATTTCAAAAATTTTGAATTTAAAACTTTTTTCAAAAATCAATATTTTAAATTTCGTACCAAAAGTACCAACTTTAGTACAGAAAGTACCATACAAACCCAAGTTTAATACCCAAAGCGCCGCGAAAACCCAAGTTTAGTACAAAAAGTACCATAAAAAATTGAGTTTAGTACCAAAAATACCATAAAAGCCCAAGTTCAGAAAAGCAAGTAACATAAAACCCAATATTTTAGTACCGAAAGTACCATAAAAGCCCAAGTTGAGTGCTAAAAGTACCATAAAAACCCAGTTTTAGTATAAAAAGTACCATAAAAACCAATATTTTAGTACCAAAAGTACACAACAAGCCCAAGTTTAGTACGAAAAGTACCATAATAAACCCAGCTTTACTTACCAATAACCTTTTTGACACACCCAATAGCTGCTGCTGCATGATTGACTCTGTTACTTGTGGCATAATCATTGATCATATCGTGCGTTTCCACCATCGTTCCACAAACGTCTTCCAGACTCACTGGAACGTCCACGAACGTTACGTCGTTAACTGAAATAACATTTTTTTAATAAAAATTTTTAAAATTTACGTTGATATAGCTTACTAGAGGTATCTTATATTACATTACGTAAATTGATGCGTCCGTATTTTACAAACATAACATAATCTACCCTACCTTGACGTACCCTATCTTACTCTATCATACCATAATAATCGACCCTAAATCTACCTTAACGAGGGGGGGGTGGATCCCCCCCCCCCCCAGAGCCGATCCGAAACAATACCTGTACGCGAAAAAACGAAAAGAATTTTTTTTTGAAAAATCGGTCCACAGTTAGACCTGTGGACCATCTGGGTCTCTCTCCACACCCCCCCCCCAGAAAAAATCCGTAGCGACGCCCCTGCCTCACCCTGCCTTACCTTGCCGTACCCTACCATACCTTCCTCATTTCCTACTTCCAGATCCTCTACCCTATCATGCCCTCCTCTTTCCCTACATTCAGCTCCTCTGCTTAAGCCTTAATTACTCAGTAACTAAATTTTAACCCACTATCCCATCTCATTATACCCTGCCCTAAACAACCATATACTATGCTCTGTTAAAACCCCTAAAATATTGATTTACCCTATTATAATTTTAAACTTACACTGAACATTGTTGATTCCTTGTGTTTTCTTTGCTTCACCGACGATAATCTTCCCATAACCAACTTCGGTCTTGTTCGGTATAATGTAACAGTAGAGTTCTTGCTGAAATCAAATAAAGTTAAAAAAATATAAAAAATATAAGAATCGATTATCACTAATCAATTAATAGAAGGAATAAACTTTAGGTAATAACGCTGGTATAACAGCAATATGTTCGAAATGAACAGTAATTCTCAAATAGACTATATTTGCAAACTTAGCAAAAAAAATGTCAAAAACTTTCAACCGCCTTCGCAGTCAGTGAGTGAGTGGTTGTAACCACGGTACCTTCATGGTTGAGCCAACTAACGGCTTCGACAAGGCGCTAGCCGATCACCGATTCTACATTGGTCCGCAGACCACACAGGTGATTTGGATAGTCGAGTACGATGAGGGCCTTGTGCAAAGATTACGGACCTTTGCGGCGGGAACTCGCAAGTTCTACTCGGCCGCCGGCTCCGGCTTCCAGGCAGAAATCATCGCTATTCTGCCATCGTCAGACCATGTTATGGCCCATCAAGCCATCCAGGAGCAAGAAGACGCTCTCCCCTACGTCCATATACGTATGATTGACCCTGAAATGGTTCCTGAGCATTGGATCGACAGAAATGCCGAAAGTTTGTACGGTCTGTGGAAGATCCAGAAAGCAGTTTGTGGACTGACTGAACCCCGACCCACAATCGAGGTCCAGTCCGAGCACATGCGGGCATTTGGAGGCAATTCACCGTCCCTTGACGACGAACCACAACACCACCACAAGCATCGTCAGGACGACGACAATGACTAGAATCCCGGACCGTCCGGCCTTCAAGCCGCCTGAACCTTTCTCCGGCCCCAGTGTCGCATCTCCAGCGACTGACGATGCGAATCGTCGAAACGATCTCTTTTGATCTAAATTATTTATTTTTGTCTTCTTTCGGCTGCGCCCGACATTCTTGTTCGGGTGCGCCCGACTTCAGCTTATCGAGTTCCTTTAGAACTCTTATTGTTTTCGTCTTTCTTTGGTCCTTAGCCGTCCTGGCAAGGGATGATTATATTGTAAAGGCCCCTTTTTGGCCTCTATTTGTGACTCGTTAGGATTGTTATCCTGAGAACAGGTTGACCACCGTTCATGTTATTGTATTGTGTCTATTTTGACATTTTTTTGCTAACAGGGAAAGTACCCAACCTGCAACTCTCAGAATCAGCTCAAAATTTTTATACGGATTCTTTGTAGTACCAATAGTACCTATGAAAAATTTTAGCTTGCGCTTTTGAGTTTTAAATTTTAAATATTTAAATTTCCAATTTGGCAAATTTGGCATTGTGTTTCAAGCACTTTTTTCGACTTTCCAGCCAAGCTATGCTTACAAATTTAAAAATGTAGGTTCATTTAAAGGTTTTTTACTAGAATATTAAAGAAAAATGATTAAAAGTCAAAAAATGGCAAAGTTATAAGCTTGAAACATAATGCCAATTTTTTGGGAAATTCAAAACGCGATTTTTCGATCTCGATTTTCTCAAGACTGGCCGCAAACCGCAACTTAGAATTTTGCATAACATCTTAAATTTACGTGACCTTTCAATAAAAAAAGTTTGAATGAAATCTGAGCGTTGCAGGTCGGGTACCTTCCTTGTAAGTTTGCAAATAAACTCTATTTGAGAATTACTCGTTGTTCATATTATTTTGACCACAAATCGATTTCTATGAATTTTCCGACTAAAAATCCCATTTCCATGTATTTTATGACCAAAAGATTTGTAGTAAAAATAAAACTTACAGAAGTGACAAGCTGAGTTCTGGCTACGACCAAAAAGTAGTCGGCTTTCTCGGCTTCAATCACATTTTGCTTCTTTCCGTTCAGTAAACCCTTTTTGGTAGGCTCCAGTACAACTTTTGTGTTTGTCGAAGTGGCATTGCTAAAGTAATCGAAATTAAAGTTTTTATTTCAATTTTTTTATTTTTTAAAATTTTTTCAGCTATTTTTGTTATAATTTTAAAATTTTTTGAAAAAATTTCACAAAATTCACCCTAACGTTTTAAAAACTACCCACTTGCTATAAAATCCACCCCCTTATCATAAAACCCACCTCCTATTCATAAAATTTACGCCCTTCCCAAAAAATCCACCACCTACCCATAAAACCTACCCCCTTGTCTTAAAATTTATCCCCCCCCCCCACTTGTCACCAAACAACCAATAAACTCCATCCCATAGCCATAAAATCTACCCCCTTGCCACAAAATCTCCCCTATTTCATAAAATGAACACCATTACTATAAAATCCACCCCGTACCCATAAAATCCACCCCCTTGCTATAAAATCCACCCCCTTACTATAAAATTCCACCCCCTTGCCATACAATTGATTCCTCTTGTCATAAAATCCACCCCCTACATAGCAAATCCACTCCTAAATAAAAAATCCACCCCTCCAAACAAACTCAAACCTACTTGTCATCCAAAAAGCACAAAGCAATATTAACCTCTCCACTGGCCAACAACGGCAAGAACTTTTCTTTCTGTTCGATGGTGCCATAGTTTTGGATGAGTTGAGCGACGAGATGGTCGTTGTTGATTCGAACTGTCAAAGCCAAGTCTTTAGCTCCAATTAGTTCATTTAGTTGTACTTGATCCTTCTTTGAAGCGTTGAGACCACCAAATAACGTTGAGATTCCTAGAGCATTCACTGAGTTCGCCTTCAGGCATTCGTTTATCGCTGATTTTCGTTTGGATTCGTCTTTTACTTTCACTGAAAGACGAAATTTTTTACTTGTTACTTTATTTTTTAATAAAAATTTTCATTTTAAGAATATAACATAGGATAAAAAAATTTTCGATAAGATAAGCTATAGTAAAGGTCTAGAGTAAGAATAGAAATAGCGGGGGTAAGTTTATGAGTAGGAGTAAGAGTAGAACTAGTCTAGGAATAAAAGGCTTGATAAAAGGGCAGTCTAAGCTGAGGAGTAAGTGTAGGAGTAGTGATAGGGGCATAGGGTAAGGGTAAACGTAGACGCAATGGTAGAAGTAAAGATAAGAATAAAACTAGAGACAAGGTTAAAAGTACGAGTAGGGTAGGGGTTGACGTAGGGTAAGGGTAAAGTCAGAAATAGAGATAAGATCAAAATGGAGGTAAGAATAGAGGTAGAAGTAAAGGTAAGTATAGGGGTGCCTTTTAGATAATAATTTCATAAAATTTCAAAATAAAGTCAATATTAAACTCACAAGCAGAGTCGATTGAATCTCCAAGCTTGCCAAGGTAATTTCGAACATGTTCAAGTTCGGCATCATCATCATAGTCTGGGAATACCAAATAGTTCTAAACACAAAATTTACCTTAAAAATGTTCATAAAGGTCAACCATCTCTATCAAAGACGTTGCTACAGATTTTTTCTAGAGAGAGTGTATCCATCCCGATTCACCTTCCCCTTGCAACGTCCCTGCTCCCTATACAAAATACAAAAATATTACCTATTCTCCTAAAAAAACCATCCAATTTTAATATTTTTTCTACTAAAAAATCCTTGGAATTGGAAAACATATTTGGAAAAGTGGAAAACATATTTTTAACTGCAATTTTAATAAAAATCAAAGTTTAAAACCTCTTAAACAATTTGAAACCCTTACATCATCAACTCTGTTCAATGCCAAGCCTCTGACAATAGATTTCTTTTCAATAGGTAACGTTTCCTCTTCAACTTTCTGTTTTTCCAATTCAGGTTCAGCCCTTCTAGCCAATGATCGACTCAAGAATCTGGCCTGATTTATGACTATTATCCGACGCATTCAGAAATCAATGTATCTATGTTGTAAATCAATATAACATCGTGAAACTAACAAAACATATAAGGAGGCGCTAGGACAAATACGGGTTTTGGACACTTGCGGATTTTTTAAAGAGCTTTTTATTTTTTAGTTAATTTAGTTGTAGTATGGTACTAAACGGCACTAAAGTTTAAACTGATACGGTTTTAACATGACAGGTACCATTTTGGGCTTTTAGTACAATTTAGCAAGAAAAAATATAAAAACAGTAGCAATTTAAAATTTAGTACTATTTAGCACCAAAAAATATTAAAACAGTACCAATTTAAACTTTAGTACTATTTAGTACCAAAAAATATAAAAACAGTAGCAATTTAAAATTTAGTACTATTTAGCACCAAAAAATATTAAAACAGTACCAATTTAAACTTTAGTACTATTTAGTACCAAAAAATATAAAAACAGTACCAATTTAAAATTTAGTACTATTTAGCACCAAAAAATATTAAAACAGTACCAATTTAAATTTTAGTACCATTTAGTACCATACTACAACTAAATTAACTAAGAAATTTAAAAAAACCTTTAAAAAACCCGCAAGTGTCCAAAAACCGCATTTGTCCTAGCGCCCATATAGAGAATGGGTAAGTGATAAAGTAAGAGTAATGGCAGAGGTAAAGTAGGGGTGAAAGCAAAATTTAAAAATGTTTTAAAAAACGAGATTTAAAATTAATCAGAACTTCAAAAAATTCTTAAAAATCATATATTCTCCACTATTAAAAAATAGTCCATGGCTATAAACCAATGTATTACATTCAAAACACCATGTTCAACAAGAAAAAACCAACAAACTTTATTGCTTCAACAAAATATAATGTAAAATATAACAAATCCTAATGTTTACAAGTCTAACGTCGAGCTTCCTGCTTCATTTCATGACCTTTTGCTTGCTCTTTCTCTACTTCTTGGTCATTATCACGTTCTTTCCCTACTTCTTGGCCATTATCATGTTCCTTCCCTACTTCTTCTCCATTATCACGTTCTTTTTCTAACTTTTCACCATTCTTCTTTTCATAATCAACATGATTTTCAAAATGGTCATCTGAATCCGCCTTAACTTCATCTTTTAAATCATCCTTTATCTTATCTTCACCATCTTCAGCCATTGTTCCTTCAAAATCAAATTCAAATCCTCTTTCATCTTCCACAGCCTTCTGAAGCGCTTGAGGTAGTTTGAAAGGGTAAACCTTATGAACAACCGGCTTATTGTAGTCCTTCATCTTCCACACATGCCACAACTCTCGGATATTCACCCTGATCGACCGTTCGAACTTCAGTCCATATTCATTTGTCCATTGGAACTCTACATCACCATTCTTTAGACCAATCGAGTAGCTTCTTGATGTTCTTGCCAACAGAGCAGCACATAAAACTTGTTGTACTGTCATTTCAGATATGATGTTCTCGATCTGCCTCTCTTTACCGGTCGGAATTTGATATTTATTCTTGCCCAGAGTTTTGTAGACAGCTTCTTGACATTGTCCCATCCCGAATTCGAACCTGGTGGCACAGTTTTTGAGAGAATAGTGAACATGTTCAGCTATGAAATGAGTCATTTTGGTGGGTAGAGGCTTGAAAGTTGAGGATTGAGGTACGAACATGAACATAAGACGTGATGCAGGGAAGTGCCATTTCATATTCTCGTCTTTCATGTTCTGTACGACGTGTTTTGTGATTTCGGCCGATAGTTTGTGCTCATTGTTGAGGAGACAAGAAAACGTGGCCACATCTCGAAGCCATTTATTGTATGGAAGGTCCGAATCCACCGATGTTATACCCATAACCTCTGTCAAACTTAGAATGGTTTTTCGAAGAGCTGAGCATACTAGCTTCTAAAAATTGAATTTAATATCAGTACGTAAAATATAAAAAATATATTTTTAAGTAACAAAAAAAATTAAAAAATCAAATTTTAGGCGACAAAAAGTAAATTTCAATCTCTAAATATCAAACGTAAAATTAAAACTTTTCAGTTAAAAAAAGTGGAAAAAAGCAATTTTTATTCGACGAAAAGTCAAACTTTAACATTTTAGATAACAAAAGAATAAAAATCAATTTTTAGGTAACAAAAAGTAAAATTTTTTAATTTTAAAAAAAAAAGTGAAAAAACGATATTTTTGGTTACAAAAGGTAAAATTTTTTAATTTTAGGTAACAAAAAACAAAAAATGAATTTTTAGGTAGCAAAAGTAAGATTATCCTACTTTAAATTTAAACAAAACAAAAAAATAAAATTTTAGGTAACAAAAACAAAAGATTTCAATTTTTAATAAAAAAAATATGAATTTTACAATTGTTAGGTGACAAAATGTAAATTATCAATTTCTAGGTATAAAACGTACATTTTTTAGTATCAAAAAGTAAAATTTTTAATTTTTAGATAACACAAAGTAAAATTTTTTTATTATAGAGATAAAAAATCAATATTTTGGGTAACAAAAAGTAATATTTTCTAATTCTAGGTAACAAAAAGCAAAAAAAACTAATTTTTAAGTAACAAAAAGTAAGATTATCCAACTATGAATAAAAAAAAACAAAAAAAGATAAAATTTTAGGTAACAAAAACTAAGATTTCCATTTTGAATCAAAAAAAGATAAAAAATATAAATTTTTAAGTAAAAACGAAAAAAAAATAAATTTTTAATTAACATCCTCTAAAAAAGCCAAAAATCGCCTATTAAATGCCATATAATAATCCCTTCAACAAAATATAAGCCCACCTCAACAATCATGCTTTCCAAATCATTAACAACAAAGAGTTGTTCATCACTCAACCCATTAATGTAGTATAGTACACTTTCGATGTAGTGAATCTCTCTGACCAAGGTGTTGACCACTGATATCACAGCAGAGTTTTGTGACAACGTTTTATGTCTTCCCGACATTGTTCTATTGGCTTTTATGGATAGGTCGGCCAGTACTCTCTTCATTGCTCCTATAGCGCCTGAGGCATTGAGTGAGCGATTCATTTCTGCTATACTGGCGAAGATTTGGTCGCCGGTTAGGTTGTTCTCCAACTTATCTAATGGCGACAACTCGACGTTCGAGAATTTGATGTTTGAAACTGAAAAAGTAAGCTTAAATTTTGAAATCTCACTTCATCAATAAAATTTTTTAAAAGTCTTGTCGTAAATCAACACAAGTTCACAGCTTAAAAAACGACAAGACTTTTCTGACATTAAAAATAAAAAATATTTTTAAAAATAAATTTGCAGACTCAACTTACATTTAACATTCTCCAAACCCATCGTTTTCCTCGCACTTTCAATCTTCACTTTCCCCTTGATATTATCCTTGTCCACAATATAACATCCGATCGTTTCTTTGCCTTCATCGTTCTTCTCCAACGCAAAACACAAAAATATGTCCGCATCTGCTCCATTTATTAAATTCTCAACTTTACCATTAAGTAATAACTTGTCATTAAACGTTGACACTCTTAAACTCCGGCTTTCACTAAAGAACTCATGGTTAATATCAAATTTTTTTATCAGAAAACATGTAAAACACAAGTCAAAACCAAAAATAATTCAACATCCAATTCTTCTTGCTTTAAAACCCTCACCTAACGTTATCCGTCCCCAAAGCGACTCGAATTTGTCCAGTGCCAACTTTGGGTAACAGTCGCTTAACCTGCTCTTCATTCCCAAAATTCTGAATCAGAAACGTAGCCAATTGAACAGAAGACACATTACAAAATGAAGACAAATCTTGATTCCCAATAACTTCATTTACACACATGATTTCTCGCCTATTCATCTCCATACCACCAAATTCCTTCTTGACATAGGCAGCAAAGACATAGTTTTGAAGCAAAACTTGATTTACTGACGCTATTGGATCATTGCTTTTTACTGAAATTAAAAAATAGACTTTGGAAACTGTTTTGAAATTAATTTTAATGATCTGAATCTAAATTTTGAGAAATTAAAGCTTGTTTTTTGTTTACCTATCAACTTTGATGTCTTGATGTACTGACGATATAAAACAAGCTTAAATTAAAAATATATCGCCACTTCTTTCAATCTCAATCTAAAAATGTTCTTTGGCGTCTAACTAATTAAAAAAATTGACAGTTACAATGCTAAAAACCTTTTCTTCACCAAATTACTCGCTCATACCTCCATCTCAAGCTAAAAAGATACATATATCCGCTAAAACAAAATAACTGTGCTTTCTTACATTACATAATGTAAAAAATAGCACTTATTATAACTAATAAAGTATAAAGATCCATATTTCCTATCCAAACAACCTTGTTCTCCATTAAATAAACTTCTGATCTCGACCTAAACATAAAACAACAAAAGAAAAACCAACTTACATGCAACTTCCAAAACATATTTTAAATGCCGACAATAAGCTTGAATGTTGTCTGCTGCCTTCTTGTCATCTAGCTCTGGATAGATCAAGAAATCCTGAAAGTAACACAATATCATTCATGAACCAGGTATACCAAGTCAAGTGTATCCTTCAATATAAGCAAGACTTCCAACATAAACATATCAAAAATAAGCCAAGAACTTACCTTTTCAAACCTATTAAGCATCAACCCTCTGGAAATCGACTTCTTTTCGACAGGAACCCGTTTATCTTCCAAAACTTGAGCATTCGACAAGAATTTTGGAACCTCTGGCTCTTTTTTGACCTCTCGCTGAGCTGAATCAGTCTGGATTTCAGACGAATATCGACGACATTGTCGTAAATGTCTTGTGGATAATCTTAGAACTCGCATTGACTAGCATTTACATTAACTTTCCGGCATTTGAAGGGGATTTTGATCAAAATTAGCGAAAAAAAATAAATTTTCTTGATTTTTTAGTGCGGCTCGCGCCCGTCTTTTTGCAGGCTGCAGAAAGGAGATTGTTAAAAGGAGTTGGATTAGCCAAGAGGCTAATAGAAGGTAATTTATATTGCTGATAGTTAATCAATAAACATTAATAACTGCTCAAAAAACAAATTTTAGAAACTTAGGTATAAAGATTTTGACAAAGTTTAAATATTTGAAAGTTTATTAATATTAACAGTGTTCCAATGTAAAACATGAAGTAAAATTTGAAAAAAACAATATTTATAACAACTTTTAGTAAAATTATGTATATAAAAACCCGTATGATTAATGTTTATTACAATAAGCACGCTCTATTCGTCGATAATCGAATCGCCACCTCAGGGGCGATTTGGCATTGTGGACTGCTATACGAATTGGAGTGCCATCTGAGCCGCAGTCACGGTTTTGGCTTAACTGAAATTAAATTTCATTTTATTTTTAATTTATATAAAGTTTGTTTTTTACATAATTTTTGTTCAAAAATGGCTTTAAAAATTTTAAAAATGCTAAAGGCCAGGTGATGTTAGTGTCAAAATTCGAATACAGCATGTTACAGTAATCTAACCAAAAAGTTGTCAATTACAAAAACGTAGAGCATTTTCAGAAGCCTATATATAACAGATTTTGGATTGTTGTGAAAGCTCGTTTTAGGTTATAACGAAATGAAGTTCTGAATCTGTAAATACGTCTAAACCTAAAAAAATCATAAAATTTTAAAATCAGCTAATAGGTAACGATTTCTTAGTCAATGCTGTATCAAAAACACTTAGTTTGACATGCCATGTATCATAGTAACCCGTTTTGACCCATCATTTGTCTAGTTATGCCGCTTTGTATTATAGCTTTCCTCTTTCCTTACCGATGGCACAACACCACTCCAATGAATCACCGGAACGTTGGCCTTTTCCCTCATCACGCCCGTGAACATCACGTCGTCCATGTGCAATAACTTTGTTTCCGGCGTAACCCTCAACAAGGCGTCGATCGTATAGTTTGTAGTAAATACAAAATAGCCATAACAATAGGTGGGCCAATACTTTTGTGGCCACTCCTCGTGCGAAATGTACCATCGTTCATTGTTTTTGTCTCTGACCGGTCGAAAGCCGCTCATTTGAGGACAAATAAAGTATTCGTTCAGGTCTTTGGTCTTGCCGTCAAAGTCTTTGTCCAGCCAATGGAATAGTCGAGTGAAGGACACACTAGTGTCGTCGTCAAGTTTTAGGTAATAAGGTACGTTGGAACAGTAGGACATGTGCCAAATGTTCATAGAGTGCCATTTTATAAAGTTGTCTCGGTAATAATCGACTATGTTGTAATAGACAAGATCGTTGTAATCTTGGTATTCTTGAGCTATCAGGTCTAGTCGAATGTCGTCTAGCTTGCCGAAGAAGAAACGAACTATTATTGTGCCGCCAAAGCTCTACAATAATATTTTTATTTTGAACGTAAAGTACCTTTAGTATTCTACCCTACCCTACCCTTTCAGCCCTACCCTCTAAAACCCTTACCTGATCCTTGACCAACCTTCGTATAGCCTGCCTTTGTTGATATGACTTTTCATTAGCCATTGTCATAACATAAACCACCATATCAACCCCATTACACACGTTTTCAGCCGGTCGTTGTATCAAATACGATGCGTTATAGTCTAACATGGTCAAGTTGACAACGTCGTACTGTAGGGCTTGTTCGAATTCGTTCATGCTCAAATGTTTCAAATCGCCGTACCCAAAGAAGGGGGCGGATCTGTTGTCGATTTTAAGGCCTGGCAGCACTTTTTCTGGCTCTTGAGTGTAGTAAAGGTTGTCATTTGGGGATAGTACAACTAAGATTGTTCCCACAACTAAACCTGAATGGTTTTTAAAATATTTTAGTAAATCTTTTATTGACACAAAAGTTTTTGCCATTTTGAATTTTTAAAAAACAATATGGCATAAACTTTCTTTACAAACTGAAAAATAGCAAGAACTTTAGTTACAAAATTCTTGTCGAGTTTGATTTTATAAAAGAAGTTATTGTCTTTTTTGACCTGTAAAGAAAGTTCTGGTCATTTTATGACTTATAGTTTCTTCTATCTTCTGTATAGAAAGTTCTTGGTATTTCAAGCCTTGTAAATAAAATTCATGCCATTTTTTGCACTGCAATGAAAGTTATTGCCATTTTTCATTCTGTAAAGAAAGTTCTTGCCATTTTATGTTTTGTAAACAAAGTTCTTGCCATTCTTGGTTTTATAAACAAAGTTATTGCCACTTCAAGAACGGTAAAGAAAGTTCTTGTCATTATACGTTTTGTCAAGAAAGTTCTTGTCATTTATGTTTTGCTAAGAAAGTTATGGCCATTCCAGGCTCTGTAAAGAAAGTTCTTGCCATTTTTGAGTTTGTAAAGACAGTTCTTACGTTACCAAGTTATCAAAACCAATTTTAACCTAATTCTAACCAAAATTTTACTTTTTGCTATAAACTTTATCAAAAAACTAAATTAGCCTAACTTACCCAACAAAACCACCAGCCCAACCTTTCGCCTCAGCCACATTGTCGAAGATAATATTTAAAAAACGCTTAAAACTGTTCTAAAACTGTGAGAAACTAGCCGGACAAATCGTATTTTGCCTACTAATACCCGTGGATTTGAATTTTGATTAAACTTGACAGAAACATAGACTATCAAAAAAACCCCATCACAGTTGTTATAGTGAGGTCAGGAGGGGTTCATGTGAAGTTATTCTGACTTCAATTCACTGTAACTCATTTGCATATATGAGGTTTTACTTGTCTTTTGAATTCTAAATATATCATAATCTCATAACTCTGTCACCACCAGTCGTACTGTATAGTACGTTGAGTATATAACGGTTTTACAAGCTTTATAATTCATAAATACTTTATCAATACCAATCGTACTGTACAGTACATTAAATTAAACGTTGGCTTAAAATGTATATCTCATAAACATTGTCACTACCAATTGTACTAATCAGTACGTTGAGTATATAATGGTTTTTCAAGCCGTATATCTCATCAAATACTCTGTTACTAACAGTTGTACACTATCATACAAAGTACTAAATATTAAGTTGAGTATATAACGGTTTCCCAACCGTATATCCCTTAAAATGGGCTGTCACTACTAACAGTACTGTATAGTACGCTGAGTATATAATGGTTTCTCAAGCCGTATATCTCATAAATACTCTTTCACTACCAATCGTACTCTATAGTACGTTGAGTATATCACGGTTTCCCAAACCGTATGTCTCATCAAATACTCTGTCACTACCAGTCGTACTCAATAGTACGTTAAGTATACAACGGAAAACGTGGTCGATCGCTGTCACTATCAGAAAATCAAAGGGTTTGATAATCGGATTGAATTTTAATAATTTTAAAAACTTTTAGTCTCTTTTTAGATTTTTAATAGTTGTTTATGTTCGGCTTAGCCAAATTTAAAATTGAAAACATTTAGTTTAAAAGGTGTGTTAAAGTGAAATTAAAGTGTAACTGCTTGACGTAGCACCAGACTTTGTCTAAGACATAGCTTTTGAACCAGCCCTAACACCAGGTTTTGCCCTAACCTTTGACCTTGCCCTAGTCTTGGCCTTTCTTACATTTAGAGCCCTAGCCATACTAAAGGCATAGACATAGTCCTAAGATCAGTCTTAGCTCTACTATTAATCTTATTTCTCGATCTGGCAATCATAGTCATAGCCATAAAACCAGGCTTAGGTCTAGCCTTGTATTTAACCTATTCACATCCCTAGACCTTGATTTAGCCCTAATCTTAGTCCTAGCACTCCCCTAAACCTAGATCAAGTCTTAGCACAAAGCTCCAACCATTGTCTTGTCCTAGCTTTCTCAGTAATACTCAAAAGCGTTATAAAAACATTTTATTAATGCTAAATCTACAATATAGGTATGAACTGTCCACACAGATTCCTTCTGGCTTGTGGCCTTCCAGCTGCTGGTATTTTACAATCAAAATTGCTTGACACAAACCTATGCAATGGAAATCGACCATAACGACATTCATTATCCGGGTCATCGGCCGAAAACTCGGACAATGCCAATCCAGCCACTCCAACCTGACTTAGCCATTTGATTTTGGTCAAAGTGGCTTTATTGTAGGGCGCATTTAGCGAAAACCAATTCTGATTTCTGTCCAAAAAGTAATTGGATACTGTAACATTGTCTGTGGACACTGGCACCAATAGGGCTGGTTCACAAATTTCTTGAAGTGAAAATCGACCGGTCGGTTCTTCGTAAACTTTTAAGGTTGAGTTTGTTTCGGTCAAAAAGTCTTTGCCACGGTCGAAATTAGTCTCATTGTTAGCGATTACTCCGCGTGTTATTGTAGAGAATGACATGATTAGTCTGCTTGGTTCTGATATGTTGGCCATTTGTTCTACTACTCCTTTTATCGTATCTTCTAGTGGTATAGTGTCGTCTGGCAATAGTGGGTCGAGCAGTCGGTATTCGTCGAAAAGTGTGTCGTTTTTAGGGTGAATTCCTTTGTCTACTGAAAATTTTCACAAATTTTTTTAAATTAAAGATTTAAATATTTAAAAGTTTCTAAGCGAAAAAATCATTTTTGTCAATTTTAAAATTCAAAAATTAAATTTTTGGCCAACAACCTCACTTACAATTGATATAGAACGAATCCACCACCACAGAAGCCTTCAGCAGCCATTCTGAACTCTCAAAAATGGTTTTAGAAGTCACTTCAACGTCCACTTGAGTATCACTAAAATAGTCCCGAAGCTTTTGCAAAAACAACAAAAATTCATCGTTGGCCACATTTTCCGAAATTTCAATTAAAAAACCATCGAAAATAAAATTTCCATCCAATTCCATTCTGAATTGACGTAGGCTTTGTTGTGTTACAGTATGAAGGGTTTCTGGATGAGTAAATTGCAGGTATAAGAGGATCTTTAGTGATATGGAACGAGAGTTCAGGCTGAAAATATTGATGGTAATATAAAGGTTATCAACAGCCCTACCCTACTTTAACCTACTTTACAATACCCTTCCTTACCCTACTCTAAAATACCCTACCCTAGCTTACTCTATCCTACCCTACCCCCACCTTAACCTACCCTACTTTACCCTACCCTGCCCTGCCCTGCCCTACCCTATCCTACCCTAACATGCTCTAACCTACCATTCCCTACCCTATCCACGCCCTACCATTGCATACCCTACCCACTTCAGCCCGTCCTACCCTTCTCTACCTTAAAAACTAATAGTACCTTATACGGCCTTACCCTACCATGTCCCGTCCAATTAAAAGAACTCACCCTCTGGCACTGATGACAGCTTCCTTCCAGTCATACTTGATATACCGTTCATCGAATTGTGGTTTCATGTTAGCATCGACGGTTATTGGACCTTGTACAGCGTGTGAACAACCTAACCGTCGCATCCATGCCATTACAAATATTGGGTCGTATTTTTGTTTTCTCTGTAAAGTAGGCCAATATTGTACTGTTTTAACAAATAAAAAGGTTCCTTTGAGTTTTTAGGTAATAAAGTATGATATTAATACAAATAAAAGTTCAAAAACTTACATGACCAATAGAACAGTAAAAAGAACAAGATGGCTTAGCATCAAGAATATTGAATAGTATAATATAATAGAATACAATAGTCATTACAGACAATACTTTAGACATAACAGCCTTTATGACCTTACTGTGCTCACTTTAACCTACTATAATGTAAGCCACAGTACCAAAAGTTATCCGTTTGTACTAATTACAGTACTAGAACATAGAATAACAAAGTAAAACCTTGTCTTTGAAAGACAATGTTATGCCAAGTAAAATAAGCTTACTGAAACAAAATTCTACTCAGTAAAACACAAAATATGGCTTATTTTCGACAGTAGATATACCATGTCACATGTCAAAGATCTATGGCCAAAGGGAATCAAATATTCACGTAGATTTTGACGTACAGCGTAAGTAAACAGTAAATAAACAACGTAAAAATTAGATATTCGAGTGAAGGATAAGGGCCAAAGCCTGTAGACAATGCCTCATTTACTCTCGATTTTCGAACAAAAAATGCAAACGAATTTGGATAAATTACCCTCATTAATACATACCCAACCATCATTGGACATGCTGCCGATCGAAAAAAAAACAATAAAAATGGCAGTTTTGTTTAGATTTTGGGCAGGTTTTACAATGTAATGATTAAAAAATTTTGTTTCACCTTTTGTAAAGGAAGTTATTGCCGGTCTTTCAATTGTAAAGAAAGTTATTGTCATTTTTTGTCTTGTAAAGAAAGTTTTTGCCATTTTTTGGTTTGTAAAGAAAGTTTTCGCCATTTTTTGGTTTGTAAAGAAAGTTTTCGCCATTTTTTGGTTTGTAAAGAAAGTTTTCGCCATTTTATGTTTTGTAAAGAAAGTTCTTGCCATTTTTTGTAATTTTTTTTGCGATGTTCTCTACGTTTATTTCGTCATATTTCCTTTTTAAAAAATAAAAATCTTTCAAAAGTCTTGCCGTTTTTTCCTACATTCGACAAAACAACTCAACGACAAAACTCTTAAAGCCCTTTAAAATTACACAACACGATTAATTAAACCCAAAAAGTTATGTAAAACTAAAAGAGTTCGGAATCAAACCCTCTGACACATTAACAACAACAATATTCAGTAGTCAGTTTATTTCAACCACAAGTTTTAAAGATTTTCGTAGTTTCCATCAGCACTACCACCGCCTGGGGCCAAACTGTAGGATTTGACGCCACCTGTTTCTGGCTTTGATGGATCAGCGGTTTGGGAAACAGCTGAAAATTCAATTTTTTTATCAATATTTACGAAGTAATTTTAAATTTTATTAACTTACCATACCTTACAGTCTCCTATCTTATCCTACCCTACCCGACTGTAACCTTCCCTACTCTACTTTATCCTACTCTATCTTACTGTACCCTACCTTACTCCTGCCTCCCACTGTACTCCCCTCCTCCATAAACTTGCAAAAAATTTAAAAATAACCCAAATTTCGAATTTTTTTACTTAAAAAATTTTAACTTACCGCTGCTCTTCTGACTCATCTTGCTCGTCTCCTTGTTACTCATCTTGCTCTTATCCTTCTTGCTCTTTTCGTTCTTGCTCTTACCACTACTCTTCTTGTCCTTCTTGTTTTTCGAGTCCTTATCGTCGCTTTTTCCCTTCTCCCACGTGTACTGAAAACATATTATTACTTTAAAATCACTACAAATTAAAGTTTTAAGCCGAAGATGCCATTAAACATTAACCCAAAGTCGCTATAAAAACAGAAAAAAAAAATCTTTTTTTCCTCTTTTAAATTTAACTTTTTGAAATAAAAAATATAAATTTCACAAGCTATTTATTACAATATAAGAAATAACCTACAATACTCCACCAACAACATCTGACAAAGCTGTAAATAACACAGAACCCAACAATCAATCCTCTGAAAAACGTATATCATTAGAAGCAAAATTAAAATTTAAAAATGCCCTGCCTTACCCTAACTTATCCTTTTTTAGTCTAACTTATCATTTACCTTATCATACTTATCCTACTTTACCCAACGCTGCATTACCCACCGAACATTACATTACCTTACTCCACAATGCACAACTGTAACCTACTCTTCTCTGACCTTAACTTAACCCAAAACTCTTTTTACTTGACTTTATGTTACTCTTTCCTTATGTCAAAGTTACCCTGCTATCCCTGCCCTTTAATATCATCATACATTAGCTTATTACACACACCTAAAATAACTCTACCACACCCTATTCCACCCCAAAACAATTATAAACCTTCCCAATCTTACATGATCAGAGGAATAACCAAACTCAAGTAAACCCATATTTCATTGGAGTATGTTGGTTCGAATGTTCCATTAAACGAAGCTGAGTAGGCTTCAGACGGGAGTCGACTGTGTCCTGAATATTGTCCAACAGCGTCTTCATAGATCAAAGTGAATGGTCGACGAATAAACCTGTCTGGATACATTTCCTTGATCGAGACATTGGCTCCATCGGAGATCTGCAACAAGGATAACATCAGACCGAGAAACAATATAACATGTTTTAAAGACATATACAGAATACACTTTCTTTACAAAACGAAACTTGACAATAGCTTTCTTTACAATACATAAAATGACAATAACTTTCTTTGCAAAATGAAAAATGGTAAGAACTTTCTTTACAAATCATAAAAAGAATGTCCCTTACTAAACGTCAAACAGCAAAAACTTTCTTTGAACAACAAAAAATAGCAAAATCTACGTTAACATAGCGAACTCACACAAAACCTATATTAACTAGGATTACTTTCCCTAAATAATCCATCAAAAACTCACCGTAAACATCAGCGGATACACATCAAAGCTTCGAAACGCTTCGAAGGCCAAATCGCAATCGGCATTTGGAAAATGCTTGCCAGATACCCACAAACCATAACCTGGAGCATAACGAAAGAAGATAAACTTCTCGGCCTTGAACATGTGCGTTGTTGACTCTAATGTAACCGCAATTGTATTTTTGTCAATAATGGATATATCCATAAGCTCACACATTGCCGTTTGAACGAGAACATTGCCACCTGCCCTGAAAATATGCCATTTATTATTCGAGTAAAAGATAGAAACGTTGAAAAAAAGTAAAATTGAAACATAAGGTAACGTAGAGAACAAAGTAATGTATCTTTTCCCGAATTTTGATGTAGATTTAGTAGTTCGTAACAAAGTTATGGCCAAAGAAAGGCAATATAGTTGGAATTTTCTGAAAGAATTCGAACTCTTGGCCTTCCACCAAACATAACTTTTTCATAAATCACGACACCGAAATGAAAGTCAAGGAAAATATACTTCTTTTCATGCTTAACAAAATTTTTTATTCAATTTTTACCCAAACTTTAAAAACTTGGGAAAAAATCAGTGAACAACAGATGCAGCTATAACAACAACGCGAAGCAGAGAAAAAAAGAATTTTCGCCCATTTTTGACACTTCGTCTCAACTTTTTTGGAAGTTCAAGACTTGAAAAACTTAAAAATTCAAGTTTTCAGTGCTTTTTGACTGGTAAATTAAATGTCGCTCGAAAAGGAAACACCAGCTATAGGCAATGCATAACTTCCGCTCTTTGTTAATAGTTATTATAACACAATATATTATTTCCTTACTAATTTTTAAAACAAAGGAACTTCTCGCTTTATTCATACATACAGCAGCATCTTCAAGTTTATTTAAAATTTTTTAAAATTTAAAAGATAATGCTAAAAACGGAAATTTTTTTAAAAAAACTCACGCTTCCGGTTTCAACGCGAAATTGACTTGTTGATAGGTCTTGCTGCCACTTTGAATGTAGATGACCGTCTTCTCCTGCACCAAATTGATCTCTTGAAAAGCGTTGGGGAACTCGCTGACATCATAGCCCCAGTGCCTGACTGCACTTAACGGAACGTTGCCAAAAAACAGGATCAGTAACGACCAAATCAGTTGCTGACGCGACATCCGACCAGTCACGAACGCGAAGGTGAGTTTGAAGTATCTTTTTCGAAATTTAAAAATTTCTTTTTGATTTTTGTTTCCCAAAATAAATCGTGAAAAAAAAACTCTTGACACTTTTAAACAAGGGTTTGCACGTAAACAGCGACAAAACTTTTTTACTACCTAACAAACCCAATTTTCCATCAAAATAACGTTAAAGATAAATTTTATAAATTTTAAAAAAACCTAAAATCAGATTGAAATGTTTATCTTGATAATAAAAATGATAATTACAGACAAGTGTTAAGAGTACGACAGGTACAATAACCGTTTCATTGTGAGCAAACAGTAAAAGTTTGGAGCTCAAAGAAAATATTTTAACAAACTAGCCAATTACAATAATGTAATTGTGACAAATTAGCTGATTATAATAGTGTAACTTCAACGTAAGGCAATTTTAACGATGGTTGTGACAAAAGAGTCAAAAACACAATAATAATATCGTAAGCTTGACAAAATAGTCAATTGTATTCATATTGTGACGCTTTTCAACCTTGAAAAATAGGTTTTTTACAATTTTAACCCTTCTATTTTTGAAAAATAGTCAAAAATCGTAAAAAACATAAAGACAGTATCAAAAAAGGTATAAAAACTACTAAAAAAAGCACCAAAAGACACCAAAATTTTCAAAAAAATCTTTGGAAGAGTAAAAACACTCAAATTCCCATTAAATTTACAACAAAAAACATTGTCAAAATTATAAATTAAGACTGTAGAAGTCGTGCCATTGTCTTGAACTTTCTTTCCAATGCGTCAATCCTTCCTTCCAATGTAGCACACGTCTTTTTCATCTCTCTGTTATCCTTTTTCAGCGCTTTATTCTGTTCTTTCAGCTGTTCCATTTCCCAATGTAACTCATCTCGATTCTCAATTTGTCGCTGTTCTAGCTTGGACACGGTAGATTCGACGAGGAAACTGTCAAGGCGTTGTAGACGTTGTTGTGCTGATAATTTGCATACTTCACTCATTCGTTTCTCCACCTCTGGCTCGACAAATCGACGATAATGTAGGGAGGCGCGTTTTGAGAGGATCGAAATCTTCTCCCAGTTAAGGGGAATGAGCTAGAATAATGTCGTTTTATTATAGATATAGGTAAAAGTACATCTTTAAGATAAAAATGTGTATTTATTAATTAATTTTCCAGCTTTGTAAAATCAAAAATGACAAAACGTTCAATTAGTAAAAAAATTTCTTTACGTGATATGAAGTACAAAAACTGTCTTTACAAACACCAAAAAAATTTACATCTCCATCGTCTTCGCACAAATTCATAACTTCTTCAATTTTATCCAACAAGCTGAATGATGAATCCAATATTTGGCCATAAGGGAAGCACAAAACGCCTTCATCCATCGCTGCCCTTAACATATCGACCGGATTCAAAACATGAACTTGTAGGTTCGTCAAAACCTGTAGTGGTCGTTGAAACTTGCCATCATTTATGACACGACGTTGACATTCTTGCATTAAGATATCTGCTTTGTGAATGAGTTCAAAATAGCCGGAATTCAAGAGTTGGCCACATAATTCGTCCCAGTGCGGATGCACTCGGCGAAGCCGGGCTAGCTAAAAAAAATAAAAAATGTTTTTAAATCTGTTTTAGAGATAACTTTCTTTACAATTAGAGAAATAGAAAGAACTCTCTTAAAAAAATAAAAATCGAAACTTTTTTCCAATTTTCAATATTAACTTACCTCCTTATAACTAATAGTGCTCAAAACCAGCTGTAGAGCAAAGACAGGAACATTAGACATTCCTCTGACTTTGATTTCATTCTCCCTATTCGGCGTTGATTTCGCTCGTTCCACTTTTATTTTAGGAGCTTCGGACATGGTCAAAGTTGATGCAAACGATAAATCATCAGCTACACTCAAGTCGGATTCTGGTTCTGCGCTAAATCTGTTGCCATTTTTAAACGTCGACAATTCACTGGTAATTGTAGTGGCACTTGATAAAGGATCTGCCATAGACAAGGTCGGTGAGATGACGTTCGGCCGTGTTAGTGGGAAAGTGGTTGTTGATGGCATTGGCCGTTCTTTTGGCAATTTTTCGGCCAAAGATGAGGTATTCAACACTTTTTCAAGGTGTGATACGGTGCGTTCTAGAGCTGTTTCTTCTAGAATTGGGTCGAGAGAACACTTCTGGAAATAGGAAAATGTAAACTTTATTTACACGACTTAATTAGTGTAGACTTTTTCCATAAAGCAGTTTCCTTACTTACAATAAAAATTTTTTATAAAGCTACATTCTTAAAAGTAAACGTCCTTTACTCCATTAATTCTTAACCTTTTTTTACAAAACCAGACAAAAAACGTTCTCTAAATCCCTCCAATATCTCATTGTAAAATCAAATCGCAAACAAGCAAAAGTCCCAATACAAAAATTAAAGCGCTAAAACAAGATTGAAACAGGAGGGAAATCCGCAAAATTAAACACAAACTCAAATGTTTTCCCGTCTTTCAAGCACTCAAAAAGCCGGAAAATCGCCTCATTATCAGTCCCTTACCCTTTCAAAGTGATGGCCGTTCGTACGACACTCATCGTTTCGTATCACCTGTTGCGATGATGTCCGTCTTGACATTTCGATGCCATTTTGGTGTCCGGTTTCGAGACGAGACGACTGGTCAAATTTACTCGTCGATAGGATGTTATTCAATGTGGTCAATGGTAAATCGATTGATGACGAAAACTTCTAAAAATTCAAAAAAAAATTAAAACTTACGGAACAAAGTAAAAATTCAAAGAGGATCAAAAGGGTTAAATATCTAAAGAACCTAAATCTCGAAATTATTATAAAATACCTAAAAATAAGGAAACTGCCAAAATGAAATGCAAAAAAATTACTATCTGTTTTACCTAAACTATAACAAAACGGCACATTTTCCGAAATAAGACAAACCTTATAAAAAAATCTTTTTTTACCTAAAATTATTGAAACACAAAGTCCAAGATAAAAACGTCAAAAATGTTACTTAAATTCATAAAAAATATTTTTGTTACCTAAATATTAAAAACCAAAATAATTTTCAATCCACAAAAACCAAAATGTTCCTCCAGTTTCTCTAAAATCAAACCCTTTTCCCAAAAAAATCTTTGCACAGTGCAAAACAAAAATTGCACGGTGCAATCTTTCCTTTACAAGATTAACTAACTGCTTTTTCGTCCGCCAAAATCCGCTTTTTATTCGACGAATTTTTCAAAATATTCAGAGATTATTGGCCGCACTCTGCCAGAAACGTTCGCAGCCCGCACGAAAAGAAGCAAAACAAATAACAAAAATTTTGCACTGCGCAGTCTCTTAAAAGTGCACTCTCTCTCACTTCCCCGATAATTTGCACCGTGCAAACCGAATTTCAGTTGCCAAAAATCGTTTTCCAAAATCGAAGAATTTTCGACAAATTTTGTGCTTTGAAAATCCCAAAAATTGAGCCATTTTTGTTTTTCTCTAACCTTCTCTAACCATTCTGTCATATTGCCATACTCTCTTTTGTCGCACGCCGAACCTCTCTTCCTTTTCATTGTTGCGCAACCACTTTTCGTGATCCACCTTTTCATTTCCCCGTCTCCTCAAACCGCACTTTCTCTCGCCCTTCTCTTTTCGGATTGCACCGTGCAGAACAAATTTTTGTCGCCCAAAATTGTGTTCCGAAATTCGACCGAATTTTTGCGATTTTTTTGGCAAATCGATGAGAGAAAAATCTGAGATTTTGGGAAGCCAAAAAAGGTTAGCACGGTGCAAACAATCAACATTGAAAGAAAGAGAGAGTGTGATCAAGGGAGACGATCAGAGAAAGAGAGAGGGACGAAAAGAGATTGCGCAACAATAAAAATGAACAGAGGGCCGACGTGCGACAAAAGAGAGTATGGAAATATGAGAGAATGGTCAGAGAAGATCAGAGAAAAACAAAAATTGCCAAATTTTTGGGGTTTTCGGAGCACAAAATTGTCGAAAATTCTTCGGTTTGGAAAGAAAAACTTTGCACCGTGCAAAATTTTTGTTATTTTTTTGCACGGTGCAAAGGTAATGTTTTGGGCAAATCAACTGGGTTTCGAAGAAACTAAGAGAAATATTTTTGTTTTTGTGAACTAAAAATTGTATTGGGTTTCAAATTTTAGGTAACATTTTTTATATTTTGTTTTGAAATTTGTGTTTTAATAATTTTAGGTAACATTTTTTAAGTTTAGGTAATATTTTTGATTTTTTTGAAAATCCGTTTTTTAGTTAGTTAAAGTAACAGATTTTTTCTGAGCCTTATATGTGTTATAATAATATTTGTATTGAACAACTAACTCTACCTTATTTTACAGTTTTTATATGGAATGTAATCAAACTTACGAAATCATTGTTGATTTTGCTGCTTTCTCCGTATGCAACAGAAAATTTGTCAGTTGAATCTCTATTGTTTTCTGCGTTATTCGATGATTCGGTAACATCGTTAAATTTTTTAGTTATATTTGTATTTACACCATTGATAGATGAAGATTCTGATATGTTATTCACTCCGTTTTGGGTGATTTGCGTTTCTGGCGTGTTTGAGCCATTTCGATCTAACACAACATCGTTTTTACATGACTCGTTTGGCGATTTTGATGTGGAGGATGGTTCGAGGGATGTAAATGGTGTGTTAGATGTTGTAGATTGGATATCTGAGTTTATGGGCTTTATTCCGTTGATCTCAATATTGTTTCTCTCGTTTTGAAGCCCGTTAGGAGCCTTTTCTACACCATTTTGAGCAATTTCATTGCAATTTTGACTTCTTTCTTCAATATTTTTTCCCTTTTCTTCAGCCAAGCTTATCCCATCAGCGGCAGGAACCTGACCTAGCTTGATAACGTAGCTAACAGAAGCCGGATCTTCTGCCACTTCTTGAACAACTTCATTAGTATCTTTAGCCTCGGTCTTTTTCACAACCTTTTTCTTGACAATCCTCTTCCTCGGAGTACCATCTGGATTAGTACTTTTAACTTTTCGTACCACTTTCTTCTTTTCTTCCACCATTTCTCCGTTCTCCTCGACCTTCGGACCTTTGTCTTGAATGATTTGACCAACAGGGAAAAGCCAAATGTGTCCTACATTAAAGGGCCGGCCGGTCGGAGTACCGTGGTTAAGCAGGTGAACTTGCGTAATGTCGTTGACTACTTCAAGGCAAAAGATTTCCCAAGGTTCGGTGAACTTTTTGGCCATAACTTCTTTCAGAATAGGCTTCCAATTGTTTGAGTTGGAAGTGCTGTTATTGCGAAGAGTAATACGCATTCCATTGGCCGGTGTGGTATTGGATAGTACTCGGTAACCCTAAAAGTAGATTTCTTTATTTTTGTGTCGTATGTTATCTGAAACAGTAAAAAAAGTTTGGTATTTTAACTTTTAAAAATTTTTGGCTTTACATTGTCATTCAAAAAATTTCCATAAAGGTGTTTTACCTGGTAAATTCCGAGCAGATTTCCATCATTCTCACTAATTTTTGTGTTTCGATCGTCAGGTATTAGCTGTAGATTAGTACCAATAGTACTGAAAGATAGATTAAAAGGTGGAACGGACAAGTTTGGGCATATATTAAGCTGGCATTCCACTCCATTGAATTTGTGACTCAAACTCGATAGAATTCCTAAAATTTTTTTATAAATTTAGGGTTAAAAAATGTCACTTTTAAAAAACTTGTCTTTGACATTTTTGAAATTTAGAAATTTGTTTTGTAGCTAAAAGGTCATTTTTAATTTAAAGTTTGATTTCCAAGAAAAAGTTCATAAAAACGAATAAATAAATCAATAAAACATACCGGGTAATAGCTCAGGGAACGTTGGGGTTCGAGGGACAGTTGGCGGTTGAACGGCCGTTCCGTTTACTTTTTCGACCGGTTGCGAAACATGATTTACTGGAGACAAACATCGTCGTGGTGTGCTACGTGTAGGTGTGACTTCTGAAGTAGATGTGATCGACTTCTCTGGGCTTTCCGATGACTTTTTGGTCGATATCTCTCGCTCTTCAGTAGGACTTTTGTTTTGTGATACTCCGTTACAATTTGGGGCTTCTGGAGTATTATTGGTGCCATTTACAGGGGGTACGGTACCGTTAGGGATAGGACCGTCAATTTTTTCAACTCCATTGAGTTTGGGCTTATCTGTGGATTCAGAAGTGGGCCTTGTAACCTTGGCCAGCTCTTCTTTGACCGTTTTTAAGTCCACTGAAGCTTCCATTGGATTCACACCATTTACCTTGACTTCAGAATCTTTCTTCACACTGTTGAAGTTACCATTGACATCCGGATCAGAAATTTTGTCATTTTTCACCAATCCATTTTTGTTTTCTGAACCATTTTCATCAACAGTAGTGGTACCATTTAGTGAGGTTGAAATTCCGTTGACACCTGATTCAGAAGAAATGCCATTTACTGCTGATATTCCATTCACAGTGCTTGATGATGGCTGTGAGGCTGGTTCGGCCTCCGGCATTTTAGTAAACGCTTGCCGAAAGCGCTGGAATAAAGATTTGCCGGTAATATTGGTGTGTACGCAAAAAATCGTCAAAAAATGAAATGTAGAGAGTGAATTATAATAGCTAGGGCGCCAAAGGCTTTAAAAGGCCTTTTGCGATGATTATATAGGGGATTTGAGGAAAGTTACTGCGCTTTATAGGTATCTTATCGCTTTGAATTTTAAAAATATATAATTTCAATTTAAGAATCTTCCTTAGGATTAAGATGATTTTAACAATGTAGCAAAAAAAATAAACCACAATATAGTTTAATATGCCCAGTAGAAAAGCAAAAAATCAGAATATAATACCAAACTCTCAAATTGTAGCAATACACTTAACCTTTTAATCAAAGATTAATCGAGAAATGTCAGAACAAGCAATAGTGGCCAAAGAAAAAAAAGTCTCAGAAAGCAAATGAGCGCAAAAACCTCAGGCCACGTCCACCCCTTGTCGCTAATAAATCGCCTTCCTGTTAAGTTGATCCTCGGACGGGATATCGAATATAAAAGAACTCGCTGTTTTAAATAAAAGACATTGTGTGTCCTTAAGTTAAAGATCGCGTCTTAACCGCTTAACCCCCGAGGCGATAAAATTTCTGGACCCATAAAATTTGGAGTTTTGGATGGTGAAATGTTGTTTTAGAGGGTTGTTTTTGGTAAGCTACTGACGCAGATGTGACTAAAATTTGGGGAAATTTTTAGATTTAAAAATTTTTTTTTATAAAAATTGTTATTTCCTAAACATAGTTTTATGAACTTAAACTGGATCTACAGAAAAAGTAAGAACATACAGGTAGCTAGTCCAACTGTGATGAATAAAGAAAAAAAACCCGCCATTAACTAGCTCCAAATTTTTTCACTGTAACATAGACAAATCCATAACAATCACAATATAATCCCCAAATAATTTAGAAAATTTAACTATTTTCCTAAATCAAAGGCTGTTAAAAATGTCAAAAATTTACTGAGTCACACTGATCAAAATAACCATTTCCTCCTTTCCCACCCTTACCCAACACATTTCTCTTTAATCTCCAAACTCTATCACCTTTAGCCTGATTAAACGCAAAAAGTCCCGGAGGTGAAGCGGAGGAGGAAAAAAGACAAAATTTATGTTAAAAACGGGTTCAAGGCGGCCGAGGCCCAAAGGTGCAATCGCATCCCCACTTAAGCTTGTCCCCGGATTTGTCCGTACTTCAGAACTCTTCCCCAATTTTTTTATTTTTGGGGTCAAATCGGCCGTTGGCTTGGCCACTAGATTTCGTTTTACAGACTGACTCGACCCCTTCTTCTCTGCAGCTGATTTCTCATCCCAAGTTTTTTTTAACTGATCTACCCCTTCTTTTTCACAAAGGCCAGCTCCCCCTTCTCAAATTCTCTAGTTTTCGGCCGCTTTGCCCCCAGATCTGCTTCTCGGCCGATCCGTCCCCAAATCCAGTGGCCCTCGAGAGGAGCGGCTCCTAATGTTTTTCCGCGGCCATTCCCTCCCAGATCCGAAGATATTTTTAAACTCTCGATCGGCCCACCAGAGAGTGCACCAGAAACATTGTGAAGAATGGCCAGAGAGTGCAGATAGCTTTTGAGAGCCTCGTTTCTACAAATTCTCGAGATTTTTAAAAAAAGTGACAAAATTTTAAATCAAACACAATGTGCAAAATATTTTTTACCAAGGAGCACTTTTGTAAAATAAATTTCTAAAATTTAAAAATAGCTATTGAAAAAAATCTAAACAGTGAAATAATATTTTAACTTTTTTGCAACTCTTTCTTATAGAAAATAATATTGAACAAAAATAATTCATGTTCACATTTTAAAACACGTTAAACAACATAAACCTACATTTATTCGATCAAGACACCATGGTGGTGGTGCACCACCCTTTCTTTCGTATAGACCATTCTCGCAGCCTGCAACATGTCGAGCGCAGTTCGCCATTGCGATAATTCTTTTTCGCGAATTTTATTATTTACTCGGAAATTTTTGTTTCAACGGCCATGACGCTGGCTTTTTCTGTACTATGCTATGCAGTCGCATTTGCACCATCTTTAGCTATTTTTGTTAAAATTGTTTCACACGATGCTTTGAGAGTAATATTGTTCTTTCTCGGGTGAGTTTTAATGGTGTTTACTATGTTTTAGAGGAAGAATTTTATGTAAATTTTGATATTTTAAACTTTTTGATATGTTGTTTATCTTGTTAATTGAATTTTTAGTTAATTCTGATGTTTTAAATCTTTTGTGATGTTATATTAAGAATATTTATTTCAGGTCCTTCTTTTGGTTATTATCTATTCTTCTGTCAGGTGCTATCGCTCTAGTATCACCAACAATACCTGCTGTGATAATATCAGCGTTGTTACAAGAAGCTGCACGCGCTGGATATTACCTCCTACTTCATCGTGCTCAACGAGATCTGGAAAAAGTTGCGACTGGTCGATTTTCAAGCCTAAAGTCGTCTTTGAATCAGCGACATGTTCTGGCAGTCGTGGTTGGATTGGGGTTTGGAGTTACTGCGGCCTTGTTGATGCTGGTTAATGTTTTGGCCGATTATTCGGGTCATGGAGTTGTTGGACTACCAGCTAGTGTCTCTGAGGTAAGGTTTTGTTTTTGTTGTTCTTGGTTTAGAGTGTGGAAGACCTTAGTTTTGTTAAAACAGAAGGTTTGAGGGAGCTTTTAAAAGTAATTTGAAGAGCAAGTGTGACAATTTTGGTTTTTTTTAAACATGAAAACGACAAATTATATTGTTTGTTACCAGTTTTTGCAAAGTTAGTACCTATATTGTTACCCAATCATATTTAGAATTTTTTGGTATGAAAAGATGCGAAAGAAAATAAAGGAATTTAGAATAAGTTTCAAGTACTTTAATGTATGTATAAGTTAGTAAAAATTTCAAATCATGTCAGTTATGAGTTATTTGTAATCACAATTATTTTTCGGTGTAAAACTTCTTTCGCCAGTCTATATATTCTTAAATTGCTTTTTTTAGATAGCGAAGAATCTTCCAATAAAGTTGACGAAAGAAGATGCTGGATTTCCATTGAAGTACTCCATCAGCCAGTCAATCCTCATCCTGGATCATATTGCCTGGAACATTGTTCTCTGGGACGGCTGCCACAATCGTGCCAACAATCTAACACGAAACTGGATTTTTGGTATCGCATCTCCTGTCTTTCTCCACGTGCTGAATAACATCATATCTCTTGGCAAGGATCATATTGGAGCTTTCGTTATTTTGTGCCAAGTTGTGGTATTCGCATTGAGCAGTGTGCATGCTTATGTTGTGGTGAAGAATCCGGCCCAATTCCGAGGTGTGGCATCGAACGAGGCTCATACTGACTAGGACAACATAATTTACTTTAATATGATACATTTTATTTATTTATTACCAGAATTGATCTCATAAATTGCAACAATGTAGTTTTATTATTTGTAAAAGCATGTACACTGGATCCGTTATTTTTTGTCTTTATAAAAAGCGAAAGAATTAATGGATCCGATGCAATAATGATTCAAAAGGCTCTAATATTGTAATCAAAAACCATTTAATTTAATATACTTAGATGTATTTCATTTATTTATTAACAGAATCAAAAATTACAACAGATTATAATATATTATAAAGCTCTATAAATTTACTATGGATAATATTATACGTGATGCAAATTGAATGGAATATTTTCTCTAGTACCTTTGGAAATTGGTTGTTATATATAAGGATAGGATAACCCGAATAGAGAAGATTAAATTAGCTGGAACGGCAACCACTTTGTTAAACGTAGGGTTTTGCTCAGTTTTAGCTGTTTTTGATGTAGGTCGAAACATTGCACCGTGCAAAGGATATTTCTTTTTATTTTCTGTCCAGCCAATCAGACCTTGTAGAACACACAAATATAATATAAACATCAAAATCAAATTTACAAAACCTCGAAGATATACAACACGTCTACACAAAATTAGTTTACTTTGGCATACGACGGAGGTGAGAATTTCCTTCTCAAAAACTTGATCACGTACAACGGCGCGCATGAAATCAGAGTGATTGCCGTGGTTTTGGTGATGAACACCCATGATAAGACGAACTGTCGGTCGAAGAACTTGTCCAGGATTAGTAGTGATGCTCCATATAGGGCCAAAGACAAAGCTTGGGCTACGAGCATGGCCCAGTGCCAGGTGTGGACGGTCATTGCGACCATGATGAGTTCGGTGACGATGAGGGCCGAGAAGGAGATCGAGACAACATGGATAAAGTCGGAATCAAAGGCTACCAGCGCTCCGTACATGATAATCGATCCTTGAATAAAGATAGAAGGATCAACTTTCATATTTAAAATAGCCTAACGTTTAAAAAATTTTACCTTGATAAATACTGATCAATACCCATATACAGAACGTTTTGTAAGACAACGACCGTCCCTTCCCAAGTTCTTTGTACAATTCTGGGTATGTTAGGGCATTTTCCGCTGTGACATCTCTGTCAACGACTAATGAGAACACTGGTAACATGGTATAGGCCGTAGAGTACCTAAAATCAAACTTTTGATAAATCAATATTCACATAAATCAAACGTCAGATTTGATTTTAAAGCCTATTTTCTACCTCTTTTAAATAAAAAAAACTTACGCGACCATCAAAACACCTTGATATAACGAAACGGAAGCAAAATAGAATACACAGGAGAAGATGGCTTGCATTGTCGATATGATAAGACCTCTATGCATGACAAATTGTGACAAGGCGCAGCTTCTTTTATAGCAGAATCGACCATGAACTAAGAGAAGGCGGCAAATGTGGCTGAATTGAGTGATCGAGAAGTCGGCGGCCAATGAAGCTTGTTTTCCTGAAATTAAAAAAGCATTTTTTAGAAGTTTAGGCAACAATAAGATAAATTTCCTTAAAAAATGTAACAAATAATTTAATAAAACAAATCAATATACACCAACAAGTTCTCTATAATTGCTTCATGCTCCCTAGAAGACAATTTGGAAACAAATGCCTACCTTCATGAGCATCGATACCAATACCAGCATGAGCAGCTTGAATCATAGAAACATCGTTACCTCCATCGCCAATAGCAGCCACCCTCAATGGTTTCCTGTACTTCCTCAGCAAATTTACAATTTGTGCTTTCTGCTCTGGTGAACAACGACAACATACGACGGCTGAACAGTTGCAAACCAACTCGGCAACCTCGGCTTCGTAGTATTGCAGACATACGTTTAGTGCTGAGCCTGACATCACCAATGCGACATCGTTCTTCTTTCTCAATGCGTTTAGTTCGTTGTGAGCTTTGATACGGTCGGTTACATTGCCAAACACATGAATGTTGTCAGATTTGGAGAATAATCCAGAAGATTTGGCGATACAAATAGCTGTTTCCAGTTTGTCACCAGTTAACATCCACACCTTGATGCCGGCGTTACGGAGCAGTTCCAAAGAGGTTGTTACTTCGTCCTGAAAAGAATGGCATATAGACAATGCCTTTTCGAAAAAAATTAATTTTAGCAAGTTTAGCTTCAAACTTTTGCTTTCAATAACTAAAATCCTGCACTTACCTGTAGCCTATCTTCAACCCCAGTCAAACAAAGTAAATGCAGGTCAGTTTCCAACTTATGGACGACCGCTGCCATATTTTCTGCTCTGTCCTTGATAGTCAATTTAGCTTGATGATACTGTTTTTCAAATTCATTTAACTGTTCTTGACTTAACGTCTTTTTGGCCACAACCAGAGTGCGCAGTCCTTCTCTGGCCATGTTTGAGCACTCTTCGTCCAACCAGTCATTGTACATGACCATTTGAGACATGACTGTATCGGCTCCTTTCATTATAAACGAGATTTCGTCGGTCGTTTCGTCCTATAAATTTTCAGATCTTAAATGAGGCATAACACAAAAAGTAGGTGATAAAATTAGAGTCAAAACCCTCAAAAATTTTTAAAATTATATAGAAATAAAGTGAAGAATCATTTTTTAAAGTCCCAACCTTTATGATAATTCCCATCCGTTTAGTTTCCGAAGTGAATGGAAACAAATGTAAGATCTGAAAGCTTTTTGTCATTCCATTGGTCAGTAGAAGCTGCATTGAAGTCAAGTCACGATGAGCCAACTTTACTCCAACTTGTTCGGTCCATTGTACTAGGGCTACCTAAAACATCAAAAATTTATTTTTTGTGCAAACAATATGTAAAAACAGTGCTTTACTAATCAAAATACATCTATTACCTAAAAACATCAAAATTTTGAGCTATAAAAAATTGTACCCCAGCAAAATCCTACCTCATCCGGGCTCGCAGCCTGATAACTCAATTGTCCATTCTCGATAATCGGTGTAACATTGTGGCACAGCGCAATTGCTTCAATAGCCGTCTGCAACTTCACTGAAAACGAATTTTTGGCCAATTTTCCTGCATAAGCACTGCTGATATGAGTGGAGACATCGGAAAACGCGTCACATCCAAAGCTGACTGTGCCCAAATGGATCTTCTTAAATCTCATCTGATTCATCGTCAATGTTCCAGTTTTATCCGATAGTAAATACGATATTCTGCCCAGCTCCTCGGGAATGGTACTTGATCGTACTACCGTGCCAGGGATTCGTTTGTCTCTGCCGATTTGCCACGAATAAAACAGTTTTGCCATGTCCAGATTGACTCTCAATGAAATTGGAATAATATACGAGAAGAGTAGTACAAATCGCATCAAGTAGCGATACCAGTTGGCATCGATGCCTTTCATGACAACCATTGAAGCTGCGAGTAAGATGACAAAGGTAAACAAGATCTTCGTCAGATTGTTTACTTCAATATCCAGTAGACCAACTTTGCTCTCGGGCAGTGTGTTGTTCATGACGGACCTTGTTTCATGACCAGTGTAGACTACAAGTCCTATGGCGGTACCACTAGCTAGAACGGTGTTGGCCCAGAGAACATTTTCCGCGCTGAGACTTCCATCTTGAGAGCAATCCTCAAAGTAGATCTTGTAGTTACCCAGAAATGTGTGTATGTCTTTTTGAGGCAATTCGGCGTAGACCACGCAGTTTTGGCGGAGAATGTCCTAAAATGTAGGTATGAGAATTCAAATTTTCATTTATTTGCGCTCAAGTGAAAGGTCTATGCAAAAGATCTGTAGCTACTCCACTGAATAACAGATTTTAACTTCAAATTGCTTTTATACCTAAAAACAAAAAAAATAACGCACCATTTCATCAGTCAAATTCTGAGTACAAGGCATGGCAATTCTTAGCTTCCAATCAGTTTCACCGTCCAATTGATCAGTTCTTATAAAGCAAGCTCCTGACTTCTCTGTTGTCCTCACTAACACCACATCAGCTGGAATTCGGCGGTCCTTTTCAATTACTATCAGATCTCCAACTTCAATGTCACTAAAAAAAATTTAAATATTGATACGGTTTTTAAAAATTCCATAGAACTTTAAAAAATTTAATATCCAAATTAAGAAAAAGTTAAATTTTTCAAAAAAAAAAACTTAAGATCTAAAAGACAATAAATACGTAACATACGCGCTTTCCACATCAACTCGGCCATCTTTTGTCAATTTTTCATACTTCTCACCATTCAATTCACGATCTCTAAGGAACCGAACAAAATCGTCAAACGCTTCTCGAATCAACGTTATCGTCAACACAAATCCCTGAAAATTGTCTTGTTTTTACGGAAAACTATTTTATTACCAAAAATTTTAAAAAAACATGATAAAGTACGTTACCTAAAAATTCAATAAAAATGTTTTTATGATATTTTAAATTTTTGTTAATTTTAAATTAGCGAAAATTAGGAAAAATCATTCTTTCGTTTTTAAAATTCCAAAAAACCTGATCTTTAAAAACAAAAACAACAATTTTTAAAAATCCAAGACCTTACCAAAGGTCCCCAATAGGTAATGGGTGCTCCAATTTGAATGGCCGGAATGAACTGCGAGCATGCCATTAGCAAGAAGTACAAATTCAAAAAGAACTTGAACTGTTGAAACAGGACCAGCGGTACGAATGTGAAGATGTTGTACTTTTGATTGCACACCACATTGCGTGGAAAACTATGGCCATGCGAGTTTATTGGGCCGTGGCCAATCCGCAGAGTGCGCGAATGCAACGGCCGTCGCCGTTGAAACATGCTACGACAACACCTAAAGCAAGGTTTTTAGAAGTGACAAATTATATTTAAAATTAAAATATAAATAAAAAAGTAACTTTTCTTAACCTTACCACAACTGTTTCTAATTTATAAATTAAAATTTTGCGTTCTAAGCTTTTTTAAAAACAAAATGACTTGCAGATGCGACATTGCTAGCTAAAACAAGTGAGAAACCATCGATAGCAAATAGAAAGTCATCTAGAGCAAACGAAAAACTCTTCCTCTCTACAAGCATCATAATTTTCGTTCTAACCTAAACTTTTGCCGTCTTCCCCCAAATTCAAAGCGTTCTTACGACAATTCCGAATTACTTTCGGAATTTTATTTTTGCCCATTTTTCGAGCCGAAAAATGTTGTGGATTTCCCTACTCGATTCGTTAATATACAAAAATACCTCAAACTCTAATCGGATTATACAAAAAAAATCAATCCTCGAAAACGAGACGCAAGAAAATCAAAAATGAAAAAATTTTTGATAAAATCTTGAGGTGAAGATCAAGAGTAATGTTGCTCGATTTTGCGCGCATTCACCTTTTCTTAACATTTGAATGAAACCTTTTATTTTTAGTTTCTTTTTCTGTTTTTATTCGTCATTTCGTTTTGGAACTGACATTTTTATTGTCCGCAAGGTATGCTAATGAAAAGAAGCGTTTCTAAACTTTTTTTTATAAATTAAAAATAGTTTAAATTTAATTACAGCACGTTGAAAACCACACAAAAACCTATATCACATAAATATGTTACTGCTTCATCGATTTGTGTTAACTTTTATATTATCATAGATATTATATGTAACACATATTTAGCATTTTCATGTCCCAATGTGTTTAACTTCAATGTCTTAAATAAAAAATATGTTATTTATCTATTCTTTATATAAAAAAGATCCAATTTCAATAAGATTCTATAAAATTGTTATTAAAACTTAACTCATGCCTATAACTATATCTGGTCAATATAAGCTATTCCAAGCTCACGACTGATGACACCGCATTTTTTCAATGCCCAGACCCTTTCAGTATCATCTACCTTCATTTTACAACACCTAAAAACCAAAAAAAAAAACCAGAAAAACATACCGAAACATCCTTTGCACCTGCTTGAACAAACTCCGATGTGCAGAGCTGGTGCTGTTGTTGGGCAATAAATGCACGTCGTCGTCGATTACAACTTCACCCATCAGTGGGGTGTTCTCGCCGGGCCAATCGTCCTCGTCGCGCTCCAAAATCGAGCGATATCGCATACAATTCGCCGGGACTTTGTTCGGACAAGTCCGGGTTGAAGGAAAAAGCGAGTCAAACGGAAAATCAGTCGATTTTCGCTGTTTTCAACTAAAATGAAGTTTAAAAAGTATTTAAATTTTATCAAAAAGCACGTGAGTAACACGGTAAAAGAAATAAATTATTGACATGACTCGAACACCTCACGTTCTATTCCATTTCCTCATCTAACACATCTTATTCATTCTAGAGGAACAGTCGGCTCATGAATGAGTCAACTGTTTCATTATTTGAAACGGGGGAAATGGGCAAGTCTTGACGCATCCTTCTTATTATAGAGCCAACTGTTTCTTTGTTAGTTTTTCTGAAAATGTCGTTGTGCAAGGTTTTTTTGATTTTTCGGAGACATATTTAAATATTTTTTTGTTTTACGGATAATTTTGTTTTATATTTTCTTTTTATTGACAGTTTTTATGTATCTTTTAATATTTTAACATTAGTTTCATTGCAGCTATGGCTAACAAACTGAATGAGAATGTTGAGACGTTGGAGCCGCTTATCCGCTCTCCAATGGTCGATTATGTGAGTATTGTCAACACGAGACAAGGTAAGATTATACATTTTTTGTGACTTTGGTGTTTAGGTGACCATTGTGGATTCTTTGAGGCCAACTTTTTCAAATGTATGGAGGCGTTTGGGTCCAAAATGGGAAGGAAGTACTGTGATTTGGAACATCGTGACTTCCGTGAATGTCTTCACGAAGAGAAACAGGTATGTTTACTATAAAGCGAGCATGTTTTTAATAACATTCAAGGTTTATTGGTTTGATTTCAGAGTTGATTAAAGGTAATGATGGTGTACATGGTTTTGTTGATAAGTTTTTTGAAATGAAGGGTATACACATGAAATTTGGGGGAATTATAGGATACTGATTAGGTTAACTATTAGGTTTAAATTTATCTTTGATTTGGAAGTTTATTTTCAAATTACATTAATTAACCGTACAACTCGCTAATACCCAAATTTTTTACTCCAGGCTAAACGGTATCACGCTATTCAAGCTGAATGGGAGAAGAAATACAGGGAAGGAAAGATTGACAAGAAGTTCAGCGATCATGTCCAAGTTGGCGACTGGAAACCGGACTACTTTTCTTGGAACCGTATTTGGTAGATATGCAACGTGTAGGATTTGTAGTTAAATAAAGAGTATTGAAATAACATGTGATTTTTTTGAAGTTACTTGGTTATCTACCACTGTAATGCATAAATTTGTATAGCAAGGAGGTTTTGCTAGAATCTTAGAAGCTTTTTGCTGATCAAAACAGTAAATGTCACTAGTGGAAAGTGGGTTTCTATCCGGTGCGTTTTCTCAGTACGGTTGAATAGTCTACCAGTTTATAATAGTACATTTTTATAATTTTTTTTGTTTTTGGAAAAAAATTAAACGGAAAATTCATTGCGGTAATATATTATATTTTTTCTTGAGTTTTCAGTTTACGCTTTAAAGATTCAGCCTTCAAAATGTTTGTGGAGCTAGGGAATGGATCAAATTATTTAAAGTTTTTTAGTCTCATTTAAATTTTACTGTAGCATTAATTTAGATTTTAGCCAACTGTACATATATATATAAAATGTTAGAAGAGATGGATGCAGAAGAGTTACAAGGAACATCAAGCCAGATCTATGGTAAAGAATGGTGTAGAAAGCACGTTAAAGCGAGACCTAATCTCCTCAATTTTTTGGAACATAGGGAAATGGAATTAAGGAAACCGGGTAAGTTTTGTCTAAATAACTCTTATATTAATGTTCTGCATCACACGACTAACGTTTTTCTGGTAGCTACAATACTTCTTTTTGTCGGCACAATATTTTATCGTTACAGTTAATGTTTTCAATTCTAGGTACCCAATTCTTGTCGGGAGGCAGAGACTACTATAATTACATAAAGTCGATAGAACAGTCTGGTTTTGAAGCCGTGACTACAGTAACACCGATTAGATATACACCAGATGGCTCGAAAATGATAGGGTTAGATGGGGGTAAACAGGAATTGGTGTGTTATAGGTATAATGGCGTTGGTAATATACGAAACAAAAGGAAGCCTACTTGGGAGGTGAGTTTGAAGTAAAATGGAAGAAAACGTACAGTCATTTCACTTTATTTATTTAGAAATGATATAAAATGACTATTTTTTGATAATTTAAAAAAAAATTTTTTTAAAATAAAAATTTAATTTAAATTTTTCATTTTTTAAGCTGCCATTTACAGGACTTGTACACAAAATTATGGACTTTAAAAGTGAGACAACTGGAAACTGGTGCAACAGCAGTGCGCGACATAATATTGTTCCCAAATGACATGGATCACGTTGTGTTTGCGTATTATATACTCAAACCGGACAATGCGATCATCTTGAGCGAAATTCAAAGAAATAATGAAAGTGAAGCACCAGTTGGGCCTCTGGCGATAACCAATTATGCGGTGGCGGACATGGAGGTAAGGTGGGACAATGGTGCTACTTTTGAATATATCTGTAGATTTTCAATTTTTTTTTCTTGGAAACAAAGTATTGACATTTTTTTAAATGGAAAAAAGTTTTTGCAGTTTTTCGTTTAAGAAAAGAAGGTTTTGCCATTTGCCCTTCCGTAAATAAAGTTCTTGACATTTTTTGTTTCCTAAAGGAATCTTTTCCATTTTCTGTTTGTAAACAAAGTTTTTGACACTCTTTTTAAAATTCTTCCAAACTTTATATTTTCTTCAGACGGGAAAACTAAAGCACCTGCTACGATACTATTTTGAGCACCAAAACTCATTGTCAATATACCATGTGGATAGGATATTCGGAATCTTGTCAATTCAACACCAAACCATAATGATCCTTCGTCTACAAAAGGATGGCAAATTAGCGAGACTACGGGAGGTGGGAAGGATGGTGTACGATGATTGTCGGTTCTTCGTCAAAGATAAAGTACCTGCTCATACTGAGACGTGTTTAATGAGTATGTTTATTGGACAGAAAGTTCTCGCCGTTCTTTGTTCTAAAAAAAATGTTCTTGTCAGTTTTTTGTTTTGGAAAGAAAGTTTCTGATATTCGTTCTGTAAAGAAAGTCCTCTCCATTTTTCCTGGAAACAAACTATTCTTCAAGGTTTTTAAATTGACCATTTCAGGTTTTCGGCAAAAGTTCCTCACCTTCCTATACGACCAGCACGTTCGCCTAGGAACGTCGCACGAATTCCTGCAGTATTTTCAATACTACCGTACCCTCCGAATGAGTAAATTTCAATTCCTTGGGCCCGAAACCTTACTGATTCGAATGGAGAAAAGCCTAAAAGGAGCGATTGGAGGTGATCAAGAGCTATATGCTCGCAGGGCGAACCGTAATGAAGCGACCATTTCTCATTTCATGCACGTCATATACGAATGGAGAGAGCCCAAAATACTGGCTTGTTATAATCGCACATCGGAAAAGCTGTACAATATGATGATCGAGCGGTACGAACAGTTCAGGTTCGGTAATATTGTGGATAACTACTTCCCGACGACGCTGGAACATTGCAATCACTTGAGGAGGAAGCAGGACCAGATTGTGGAACAGTGCACCAGTACTGACAGAGGTAAAAATGATTATAAGGTTGGATTTTAAAAATTAAAAGGCAATTTTCTAAGGTGAATGGCAGAAACAAATGAAAAAGCTTTGCTCACAAAGGAAATAGGCAAAACTTGTTAGCGTTTCTCCAACGTTTTTTAAAAAAACCAAAGTAAAAACTTAAATTATGTGTTTTAGGAGACAAAACCAAAGCCTACAATCAGTTCATTCGCGACCTTCCAATGGCGATTCAAACCAACTACTGTCAGCCAATCATCGCCGATCCCTTCTACTTTAGTTACGAGAACCGTGTGACATTAATTATTGACCGTATCCGCTGCTCACCCGATATGAACATCAAAATTGTGAACCGAAGGACCGGCGATCGGATCGTGGACATTGAATTCGCCCAGCTACCCCTCCAGCCGTACAAATTGAACCCGCCCGTGCTCAGATGTCTCTTTCATCCTATCGAACCAATCGCTACGATCACCGAACGATTCGCGACGGAAAGCAACGTGGTCGTGATCACCTTACCACCAGATCAAACAGAATAGGTCATTAAAAAACATATCTGTATAAACGTAAATGTTTGTATTAAGCTCAGCAATAGTAATACATTCTCAAAGTGTTAGAGAAGGTATTCCATTTACTTTACATTCGAGACAGTATATTATCCATGGTAAACCCGCAAAGCTTTATAATATTTTGCTGTAACTTTGGAAGATGTTTATGTAACAATAACATTTGTCTTACATTAAGGTATTTATCCTAATTGTAAGAGTTCGTTTTTGTACTAATGTTATGCCGTTTGGTTATCAAGGCAACTTCCAATCGTATTTAAAAATACAGTAAAAAATTTTTGTCTCAATTTGATAATAAGATTTATTTTTTAGGATTTGGCACAGTATCGTATAAACTGAGTCTGACTTTTCCCATAAATGGGCCTCTCCCCAGGTGTTTACGTATCACTGTTTCTCGCGCCACTGAGTCGTGGGTAAGGTGCTGATGGCATATAGACTGTAGAAAGTGGGCCCATCGACGGGTTGGAACAAGGTCGACATTTGGCTGTATCCAACCACTAAGTACACATCGTATGCTGTCAGGGCTCTTTGATCTTTGTTCTTCTTGATCAGGTAACATAGTTGTCGTGCCTTCTTTTGGTCTGATTTTGATTGAAATCTTCACTTCTTCAAGGTCGTACTCAAAACAGTACCCCGCGGTCCGTGGCAGCCTCTTAGATACAAGTGCCTGAAAATGCAGTATTATAAACAGGTGAATCATAGCAAAAAAGGCTATATACTACAGATATAATAAACTTACTGGTTGTTTTCTTCTTTTGATACCGTAGACATTTTCCAAAGCCGCGTCCAATTTAATTGAGGCTTCGTGTAAGGGAGCGGCTGTCATTATTTGATTCACAACTAGATTGTAGTTTTTTGTGTACTGTAATTTTTAAGATTAAAATTACAGTCAACTGTATTAATTCTGCCATATTATATAGTACAATTTGAAAGCCGAAAACGCTTTAATGTTACAACTGTTTAACACTGGCACCCTGTCACAATATATTTTAAAATCATAAAAAATTCCTCTTTACTTCGAAGCGCTGGTCCCTGACAATGTGCATCTTCCCCGTGCTAATATTCTTGTTTAAACCGACCGATGATGAAGCTGGAGCACCAAAACTCACTGTTCCGACAGGAGTAAGTTCCTTTTTATTGGTTAAGTCGATTGAATCTTCCTCACTTACCGCTGCCATTCCTGCTGTCAAAAGTTGTTTACTGAGCCGAAGATTTTCCTGTGCTTGTTGTTGATAGGCTTGTTTAAACTCAACCAATTGTCGTTCCAATTCCATGACTTTCTCCTTCTCTTCCGCCAGTTCTCGTTCTAAACGTTAAACTTCGACGCTCTTCTTTGACGTCGTGGCATTCTTGAAGCTGGCCATCATCTATCTGCAATTTGGGAAAACAGTTAAAAAAAAACTTAAAAACGGGTTATAAATTTACATTTCACGAGTTATAACTAAACATAAAATAAAAAAAAAGCACATAAACCCTGAAAAACCCCAAAACTCCAATATAGCGGTCAAAATCGACCGCAAAACAAACAAAAACCAACCACGTAGAAAAATTTCTAAAAAAATCGCAAAATTGTGGAAACTTGAGGTTCTTTTTGGATGAACAGTAGCACACCGCAAAATTTTGTATTGAAAAATGGAAATAGGAATTTTTCTAAAATGTCGGCTGCAAATGGGATTTTCCATTTTATACGACAAAAAAGTGGTCGAATATATGGTTTAAAATGCACTTTATAGACTACCTAAAGCAATATAATAAATGTTTTTTATATTCTGTATGTTTCTATAATACATGGCTAAACTTGTCATAAAATAATTTTTCAACTAAAATTTTACTTTTTTTGCAGATATAAGCCGTTTTGCACAAATCTTGCAAGAACTTTGAAATGCTTGTGACGATTTTTATAATTTTTTGCATACATATACACTAGTATCTGTAACATATTTTTGTGCAATGCCATAATTTGTTCTGCATTGCGGCAATAGTTATGATACTTTATATATTTCAAAGCAGTCATATAAAGACCAGATATTAACTAAGACAGTTTATTATCATGTAAATACTATGTAAAAAATATTATAAACGAAAATTAAATTTCATTTTGTTAAATAAAGCATCTTTTTTAGTAACTCACAACTATGCTTTGTAAAAACTTTGAGATGCTTGTATAGATTCTCCTGATTTTTTCTATGAGCATGCGTAGGTACCTTGTGCACATTCCTGTGCATTGGCATGTCTCTCTCTGCATTCTGCTTAGAGTTATGTCACTTGGCATGCATCGCCAATATAATTCAATAACCGTGTAACCCTTTAGAGAGGAAATCTTTTTTAAGTTGTACAGTACTTAGGTGTCTGTTACAGTATGAAAATGTAGGATTTGAGAGGAAATCTTTACAATACAGTAAGACAGTGAGCTTCTACTGTAGTTTGACCAAAAAGATAAAGTTGGTGAGCAGAATGTTACAGTAGGCTTTCTATAGGTATAGTAAGGTACTTAGGTGTCTGTTACAGTATGAAAATGTAGGATTAGAGAGGAAGTCTTTAAAATACAGTAAGACAGTGAGCTTTTACTGTAGTTTGACCAAAAAGATAAAGTTGGTGAGCGGAATGTTACAGTAGGCTTTATAGAGGTACTGTACAGTACTTAGGTGGCTGTTACAGTATGAAAATGTAGGATTAGAGAGGAAGTCTTTAAAATACAGTAAGACAGTGAGCTTTTACTGTAGTTTGACCAAAAAGATAAAGTTGGGAGCGGAATGTTACAGTAGGGTTTATTGAGGTATAGTAAGGTACTTAGGTGTCTGTTACAGTATGAAAATGTAGGATTAGAGAGGAAGTCTTTAAAATACAGTAAGACAGTGAGCTTTTACTGTAGTTTGACCAAAAAGATAAAGTTGGTGAGCGGAATGTTACAGTAGGCTTTCTATAGGTATAGTAAGGTACTTAGGTGTCTGTTACAGTATGAAAATGTAGGATTAAAGAAGAAGTCTTTAAAATACAGTAAGACAGTGAGCTTTTACTGTAGTTTGACCAAAAAGATAAAGTTGAAAGCGGAATGTTACAGTAGGGTTTATTGAGGTATAGTAAGGTACTTAGGTGTCTGTTACAGTATGAAAATGAAGGATTAGAGAGGAAATCTTTAAAATACAGTAAGACAGTGAGCTTTTACTGTAGTTTGACCAAAAAGATAAAGTTGGTGAGCGGAATGTTACAGTAGGCTTTCTATAGGTATAGTAAGGTACTTAGGTGTCTGTTACAGTATGAAAATGTAAGATTAGAGAGGAAGTCTTTAAAATACAGTAAGACAGTGAGCTTTTACTGTAGTTTGACCAAAAAGATAAAGTTGGGGAGCGGAATGTTACAGTAGGCTTTATAGAGGTACTGTACAGTACTTGTCTGTTACAGTATGAAAATGTAGGATTAGAGAGGAAGTCTTTAAAATACAGTAAGACAGTGAGCTTTTACTGTAGTTTGACCAAAAAGATAAAGTTGGTGAGCAGAATGTTACAGTAGGCTTTCTATAGGTATAGTAAGGTACTTAGGTGTCTGTTACAGTATGAAAATGAAGGATTAGAGAGGAAATCTTTAAAATACAGTAAGACAGTGAGCTTTTACTGTAGTTTGACCAAAAAGATAAAGTTGGTGAGCGGAATGTTACAGTAGGCTTTCTATAGGTATAGTAAGGTACTTAGGTGTCTGTTACAGTATGAAAATGTAGGATTTGAGAGGAAGTCTTTAAAATACAGTAAGACAGTGAGCTTTTACTGTAGTTTGATTAAAAAGATAAAGTTGGTGAGCGGAATGTTACAGTAGGGTTTTTTGAGGTACTGTACAGTACTTAGGTGTCTGTTACAGTATGAAAATGTAGGATTAGAGAGGAAATCTTTAAAATACAGTAAGACAGTGAGCTTTTACTGTAGTTTGATTTAAAAGATAAAATTGGTGAGCGGAATGTTACAGTAGGCTTTCTAGAGGTATAGTAAGGTACTTAGGTGTCTGTTACAGTATGAAAATGTAGGAGAGAGGAAATCTTTAAAATACAGTAAGACAGTGAGCTTTTACTGTAGTTTGACTAAAAAGATAAAGTTGGTGAGCGGAATGTTACAGTAGGCTTTCTATAGGTATAGTAAGGTACTTAGGTGTCTGTTACAGTATGAAAATGTAGGATTAGAGAGGAAATCTTTAAAATACAGTAAGACAGTGAGCTTTTACTGTAGTTTGATTTAAAAGATAAAATTGGTGAGCGGAATGTTACAGTAGGGTTTATTGAGGTACTGTACAGTACTTAGGTGTCTGTTACAGTATGAAAATGTAGGATTTGAGAGGAAATCTTTAAAATACAGTAAGACAATAAGCTTTTTCTGTAGTTTGAGTAAAAATTAAGGTTTGGTGAGCGGAAAGTTACAGTAAGGTTTCTAGAGGTATTGTATTTTAACAAACTTAAAAGATACAGTTAAATAATTTGCTAGTGTATTTATTTTATAATAAAGTTTTTTATTTAGGATTCGGGGCAGGAATCTCATATAGACTGTAGAAGGTAGGGCCATCGACGGGTTGGAACGAGGTCGACAGTTGGCTGTATCCAACCACTAAGTACACGTCGTACGGCGTCAGCGGCTTTTGATCTTTGTTCTTCTTGATCAGGTAGCGTAATTGCCATGACTGCTTCTGTTGTGTTTTTGTTTGAAGGCGTCTGGCTGGCATTTGTTCTTGTACTTTTTCCAAGTCGTAACTAAAACTGTACTCCACGTGCCGAGGAAAAGCTTTAGGTATTGGGATCTGTAAATACCGTGTTAAAGTAGCTAAATTCTAACACAACGCAATATATGACAGATATAATCTTTAAATGGTTCCGCTTTTTAACAAACAATACTCAAACTTACTTTTTCTTTTCTTTTTTTGATACCACACACCTTTTCCAGTGTCTTGTCCAATTGAATTAACGCCACGTCTAAGGGCATGACTACTATGGGTTGCGGCAGAATTATATTATAGTTTTTCGTCTTCTGTAATTTTTATCATTCAAATCAATTGCAGAAAAAATATTTTTAATTTGTTAGTTTTTATCATAACAAAAACAATATATTTTACACTAAGATCCTAAATTACTTCATACCTTGATGTGCTGGCCGTGTTCAATATGTATAGTTCCATTATTGGTACCCGTATTATCCATTACAGCGGTTGAAGATTGAGCTGGCGGCGGGACCACTGGACTGACGGTTGCAACCTTCTCATCAGGTGAGTCGATTGTATGCCGCTGAAATTTTTACGGTTAAAAAACTAAGCAAATTGGACTCCCCCAGGTCAGAGACCAGTTGGAAGGCCCAGATTAAGATAGACAGACGAGTTCAGAAAGACAATAGAACAAAATTGGACGTAAACGCACAATCCCAACCCATGGCTATCCTATAAGATAACATACATTAGTAACAGCGAATACAATAGCTTAACTTATATAAAAATAAATATTTAAAAAACTTAAAAATCATTTTTAAAGACAAGAATTTGCAACAAAAGTTAAACTTACCGCCGCTAGTCTTACTTTCGTAAGTTGTCGCCTGAGCCGAAAGTTCTGCTCCGCCAGGCCTTGTAATTGATCTTCATGTTCTTGGTTCCGCTCCACCATTTTTCGTTGTAATTCCTTGACTTTGTCCTTCTCTTCCGCCTTTGACTTCTTGGAATTCTTGGTGCTGTCCATCATAAAGCTGAAATTTGAGAAAACAGCTAAAAAAAGAACTTAAAAGCGCGTTATTTAATAACATTTCACTAGTTATAACTAAAATAAACATAAAATACGAAAAAAACAAACATAAAAGCCTCAAAAAACCCCAAACCTTAAATATACTAGCCAAAATCGACCGCAAAACAAACGAAAATCGACCGCAAAACGAACAAAAATCGACCACATCAAAAAAAAATTGTGAAAGCTTGACTCAAAGTGTCAAGTCTTTTCCGCAAATCGAGCGAAAAACCTGCGAAACGTTCGGAACTTTTTGGTTCAACGGCCGAGATGATGGCCTTTTTAATGGTATCTTATGCAGTCGCATTTGCACCATTCTTAGCTGCTTTTTTAAAAATATGTTGCACGACACTTTCAGAGTAATATTGTTCTTTGTTGGGTAAGTTTTTATGAATTTGAAGGTGTTTTAGAGTGAAAAGTTGATGTTAATGTTGATTTTGCGAATCTTTTTAACATGTCAAATACTTTTCAGAGTTTAATTTTTGTGTTTTTTAGGCAACATTGTCTTTTTAACATTTTTTTGATGTTATAGTAGGTATAACGCTTTCAGCTCTTCTTTCTGGCTGTTATCCATTCTTCTTTCAGGTGTTGTCGCTCTAGTATCACCAACAACATTTGTTATGATAATATCAGCGTCATTAAAAGAAGCAGCACGCGCTGGATATTACCTTCTGCTTCATCGTGCTCAACGAGATCTGGAAAAGGGAAAAAGTCGCGACTGGTCGATTTTCAAGCCTAAAGTTCGGCTTTGCATCAGCGGCACGTTCGGGCAGTCGTTGTTTTGATTGGGATTTGGAGTTACTGCGGCCATATTGATGTTGGTTAATGTTTTGGCCGATTATTCGAGTTATGGTGTTGTTGGACTACCAGCTAATGTCCTTGAAGTAAGTGTTTTGATTTTCTTGTTGTTCTTGGTTTAGATTCTGGGAGATTTTTATGTTGTTAATATCAGAAAGCTGCGACAGAGCTTTTAAAAGTAATTTGAAAGGCTAATGTACTTATTTTTCTTTGATTTTATGTGGTATTGTTAACCTTCTTTTTGCCGTAAAACTGTTTACTTTGGTGTAGCCAGTGTTTTGCCCGGACCGGTCCGGAGCGTTTTTCACCGGTCCGGTCCGGCGATTTTTTGGGTCCGGTCCGGTCCAACCCCAAAATTTTTGGGTCCGGTCCGGTCCGCAAAAAAATTTTTTTTACTTTTTAAAAAAAGCAAGGAGCGCTAAAACTGCTTTCTTTTTGCTTAAAAACTCCTAAAAATATGTTTTATTTGCAATTTTTAAAACTGTTTTCTTAAAATAAAAAAAAAAATTTTCTTCCGGACCGGTCCGGAGCTTTTTCTTCGGTCCGGGTCCGCAGGTTTTTGGGTCCGGTCCGGTCCGCAAAAATTTCTGTTTCGGTCCGTCCGGTCCGGCAAAACACTGGGTGTAGCTTTTTTACTTTTCTGTTTTACAATTTTAATATTCGTGTTTACCTTTAATATTATTGTAAATATTACTTGTTTTATAATTTTAGTCTAGTTTTATAAGCTTTTTTAATTCCAGAATGGCATAACACTGTCGGCAAAAATATTATCGTTGACATGGCAAGGTCATGAATAACGTGTTTGTGGTGTTTATTTGTTATGTGATGGTAAGATAAAATTCTTTATAATTTTATGTTGCTTTATTTGTGTTTCCGGGTTTGATAATTTAATGAAAGCATTAACGTTTTCACTTTGATGGGAAGGATAATAATATTGGGAAGGATAAATATTATTTAAAAGACTTGTTTAGGGATGAATATAATGATTGAGGTTATTAATTGATTACAGTTTATGTGTTTTAGTTGGTTGAGTGATGTTTAATGTGGTATTTCCGTCATTTTCAGGGTTGAGTGTGACATCGGATAGCGAAATTGGTCCCACCACGAAAACAAGTCCTTTTGCGGTAAATGGGAGAGACTCACGTTTTCTAGTAACATTTCGTTTTTTCGCTGAAACTTCAGATTTCTGTCTATTTGTTGATCGGTTTTTGGTTGGCATGTAAGTTTAGATCGTTTAGCTTACATAAAATTGTAATTTTGCTTTTATTTACAGCGTATTTTTGCCATGGAGACTTTGACATATTTGCGTTAAGTAAGTCCCACCACGAAAACACACCTTGGCATTGTGTCAACGAATTGCCGGAGAAAATCATTTCAATCGCTGAACTTTCGACTTTTCTTCTCGCGCGGCCTGAGGTAGGTTTTTTTGAGTGATGTTAATGTTATCATGTAAATAATCGTGTTTATAGTCAGTTTTACATTAATAATATTGTTTTTCAGGACTTTCATTAAGTCGAACATGGAGATGGAGCGGTGCCGGAGATGCGGATGGATAAGAAGATGGAAATTGCGTGGTCAGATGGACAAATGGATGGTGATAGATCGAGATAATGGGTAAAAGGTATGTATTTTGGTTTCTTGTTTTGTTTTTAGGGATTTGAGGGAGGTAATGGAGGAAGAGGATATTATACTAGATGTGGGAGTTGCTTTTGATCGTTTTGGGGTCATTTTTGGTCTAACCTTACAGAGTTTAATTTTATTAGAAGCTTTTCAGCTCGATTTAGGCGTAGCGCGACTTTTAGGTAGTATTTGAATGTTATTGAGATATACGTTATGTTATCCTTGAGTCTACTGATGTCAAGGATAATATGGGTTTTTGGGTTTGAATATTGTGCTATAAGTTTGAAATCATTAAGAGTTGTAAGTTACAGTAATGCTGATGTTCTTGGTAAACGTTTGTTGTTTTTCTGTTTGTATTGAGCTGATATTAAAATAGAATCGTCTAGATGCCAAGGATAATATCTTGATGGCTTTGATTGAGGGAAATGACCGTTATTTGTTGGGAGAGTGATTAGAACTTGTTAAAGAGTGTCTTGCGTTGCTTTTGAGTAACAATTGGTTTGTTTTGGCAATTGTTCACCAAAGATATTAACCTTGGCATCTAGGTGTTGTGGATAATACTGTGGTCTCTTGAACAGGTATTAAATTAAAATCATGGTTTTGTATGTTAAAGCCTATCAATGTTAGTTCCTTAGTATGTTGTAAACATTTTAAAGTTGAACTTTTGTTTTTGTAAGGTTTGTCAGCTGTGATATTAGAGAAAGCATCAGATGTGACCAAGGATAATATAATTTTTCAGTAAATAATGGAAAATTTAAACTTATTTCAAAATAAAATTAATTGTATTTGTTATCTTTATGTAATGTTAGATCATTTTAGAAGATATTCCATTGAAATGGAAGTCCAGTACTGTTCGTTCGATGGTTCCTGTCAATGTTCCGAAGACTGTCAACGATGAAACACATCGAGATGAAGCAGCCCGTAATCTTTAGGGCAGAGAATCTAATGGCATTAATGTATATTTCTTTGTATTTTGCGCGTTATTACCTATTTACCGCGTTGTTGAGGTAGTCTCTGTACGAGCTCTCCCTTCCGTTGGATTTGGGACTTTACTATGTTAGGGGGAGGTCCGAGAGCAGGGTAGAGATGACAGGTCTGATAACAAGTCGCAGATGGTCACAACTTTAGAATTTTAACAGTTTTGACTTGACTAAATTTGTAGTTTCGGCCAAAACTTTGAATTTTTGAAAGTTTGATAAAGTATCAATTTGGACTGGAAAAGACGAGTTTTTTGGTTTTAAACACGGATTTCAAGTTAAAATTGAAATGAAAATTAATTTTTGGAAATAAAAAACGACTTTGAAGGGTGATTTGGATACAGATCTTGTCGTACCTCCTTGCATAGTGCCTGAGTGTAGCTTTGACTGGCACTTTCGGCCGGAGGAGACTGGCTGGAAAATGGATGGAAAGTTGATTTGAAAGACTTTTTAGACCAAAGCTTTTGTCTTCAGTACTAAAAATGATATTATCCCTGAAAACTGTTGAATTTTAGAAAAATGGAATGTTTTTATCGTAAACCTGATTTTGAAAAAAATTCTTGTTACAAAAATTGTGAAATTTCAAGTTTTCTATCAAAAATTACCATTTTTTGCGCAAAACTTGTTTAATTTTCGTTTTGACGGTACCAAAGTTTGATTTTTGCCGTTTAAAAGCCTTTTTTCGCTGGTAATCAACTTTCTTTCCATTTTTCAACCAGACTTGGTTGGGTTTGCTTGATCTCTGTCTCCTCAGGCACGCCTTGGATGTTGCTCTGGCTGTTCGTAAAGTTCCGGAGAAGTCAGAAGGCATCTCGGCAGAAACTCACCTCTGGGAAGGAGGTACCCTACCTCCTCCCCCTTGGAGGGGGGACTTAATCACCCCGCCCTCCAAGAAAAAGAATGGGGGAGATCACTCGAATAAACAATACGCAGGCATACTCGGTTATAATAATTTATTTAAAGAAAAGTTTGGCGTTAAAGCTACACTCAGGCACTGTGCAAGGAGGTATGACAGGATCTGAATTCAAATCGCCCTTCAAAGTTATTTTTTACTTCCAAAAATTCATTTTCACTTCAAATTCAACTTAAAATTCGTATTTCAGAACTAAAAAACTATTTTTTTCCATTTCAAAGTGGTTTTTATCAGAACTTTCTAAAATTTTGAAATTTCGGCCGAAAATTCAAAGTTAGCCAATTCAAAACTTTTATAATTTTAATAGCGATAAACATTTGCGACTTATCATCATACCTGTCATCCCTACCCTACTCTTGGACCTCCCCCTAACATAGTAAAGTCCCAAATCCAACGGAAGGGAGAGCTCGTACAGAGACTACCTCAACAACGCGGTAAATAGGTAATAACGCGCAAAATACAAAGAAATATATAAAAATGACATTAGAGATTCTATGCCCTAAAGACTACGGGCTGGTGACATCTTGATTCAGCTTCTTTGATTATCTGATCTCGTATTTGGTTTGGTACTTGAACGATCCATACCTTGAAGATGACCAACCTTTGAGCTTCTTTGGACATTATACCAAGTTTATAGCAAATTGGAGCAACTTCTGAAACAGATGCATTTATTATTTTAATATGAAAGCTCAAAAACATTGAAAAAATTCTAAATTTTATATTATCCATGACACAGCTGATGTCAAGTTTGATACTTTAATCATAAAAATCGTAAAACATAAAACTTCTGCATTAAAGTGTAATAAAAACATCAAACATTGATTAGCTATCATCACACCTTAAATAACAAGCGTTTACTCTCTAAATTTTGATATTATCCATGACATCAAGCGGCCATAGATAACATCAAATTAAAGCCAAAAAAGTTGAACTCAATTAATAAACTATCCAACACCTTATCTCTAACATATTGTTAACTATATAATTTTGAAGAAAAAAAACTTACAAAAGCCGTAGAATTCATAATTGGCCACAATTATCCATCCATCCACGTTTAGCACCAACAAAAAGATTTAGAATGTTGATCCTGGACTCCGCCGTGCTTGTCAAAACTTGTTTTGCCGCAAACAACATCGTCCAGGCTGTCATTACCCCAATTCCGCATGGGCACCGTCTAAAGCCCCTTAAAAATCGAAAAATTATCAAAAGGATATTAACCATCAGATTGATATGTATAAGTAATGAAAAATCTTCCAAACTGGCCTAAAATCAGAAAAAAACTAAGAAATAATACTTACATGTAAAACAATTTGTCCTTGGCCTTATCCATCGCTTACGCGGCGTTTAAGCTAACACCTTGTCGGTTCTGTCCAATTTGACCAGAACCCCGGCAAGATGAAGACGTTCTCGTGGCCATTTCCTTCAAATCGTGCGTTTCTCGTTGCAAACTTGACTCTAAAATACAGAAAATATACAAAAAGACCGTGATGAACATTATTTAACTGTTGTAACCTTCAACCACGTGCAATATAACACCAGAAATATTATTTTAGATTAAACTTGCTTTCTAAAAACAGAAAACCCAATTATTAAACTCCTCAAGAATACAATACCTTAAAACCTAACTAAATGTTTCTACAATATCACGATTAAACATAATATCACCTTAAAATACTTCAAAATATAGCTGAAAGCCAAAAAAGTCTCAAATTGCCACCTAATGCCTAGTGTAATATCCAAAACTGCCCATTTCTCAAAAACTTTTCAAGAATTTACAACTCGAACTAACAATACACTTCCCTCAAACCCAAACCCTTATAACAACGTCAAAATTCCACAAGACTTGATCAAAAATGATACCTATATCACTAAACTTGGCTTTCGCACATTATTTATAACATCAAATCCCTCTTCTTTCCTCAATACTTCTAAAAACAGAACCAAAAACAAAAATACATACCTTTTAGTGTCTTGTACATCCACCATTAGTAGTTTGTCCACCTTTTGGTGCGTTTCCCATCTTCTCCGTCATTCCACATCTTTGGCAACGCTCGATCTTCGTGTTGAACATGGTTTATATCCTGTAAAACAATAATTTTAGTAAAAAAGTGAAGATTAACAAGTATATTCACGAAAAAAACTTCAAAAATTCAAAAGGAAAACGATATCGCGCAAACGGTTCAATTGAAATGACTTCTTCCGGCAACCACCCACTGATACATAATGCCAAGGTTAGTTTTCGTGGTGAGACCAATTTGCAGTAAGCGTGATCAATTTATTGCGGCAAAAAAACACTATAGAGATGTAAAATAAGAAGTTTTAAATGAATTTTGTTATCCAAATTGGAATAAAAATTTTTACTTAAATTTATCCATTGTGCTTCATTTTTGAATACAAACTCTACTTTTGTAACTACCAAAATGACCTACAATAATATCAAATAGCGTAAAATACGTTGATCTGTATTAAAATTTAGTCATTTTTGGTTATTTTGAAGGCCGTTAAAACGAGAAGTCAATGAAATATCCGATGGTAAAGGTTCGTAAGATCAGCGAGATCAATTACATTACTCAAGATACGAAATACGACATGATGTGTGATGTCTTTATACCGAAAAAGATATTTCTCGTGCCTTTTTGATTTAAAATTCATTTTCACTATAAAATTTTACCATGTTACTATTCCTATGCCTTGTGATTTGTGTTTTGATCGCTATATCTACTTTACTATTGGCCTAAACTGCCTATTATAACTGATATATCTGACCAATCTTTGTCATAAACTTTAGAAATAAAAGAGCATATTCATATGCGTCATATTCATCGCTGTAAGGCGGAGTTACTTGCACTCAAAAGGGACTCGTATCATACTACATACGTCACTCTTTTTCGTATATAAAGGTTGGCATTGAGGTTAGTCTTATCTACCTGATCTTAGTATACGAGTCAGGTAAGTGGCTTTGTTTTATTTATATTAGACTTGGTGGTATCGATAGCTTTACATTGCCTTTTCATCAAAAAACCTTGTTCTAGCTTGATTTTTTAGTCATTTTTGGTCGTATATTTGTTATATTATATTAAAAATTGATTTTACTTCAATTTTACTATCTTCTCTAATCGTATCTTTGTTTTACTAACATAAAACATAGTCGTATCTTGGCTATATTTAGTGATATATTAAGTTTTCTATCGATTTCTAGGCTAATTTAACCGTTTTCTTAATAATAACACCATTCTTGTCCTTTTTTGGCCGGTTATTTAAATCAAAAAAGCTTTTAAAATAACCGTAACACTTTAATATTACATTTTTCACACCTAAACTACTGTAATTTTTGAGATTTTGGTCTAAAACACGTATTTTCATGCCTGAAACTGTTGAAAATGAGCTGTTTTTGAAGAAAAACGCCTATTTTTTGCCATTTTAGATGTTATACATAAACAAAAATAATCCATAAGTGTCTAAACTGATCTTAAAAGTGTCTAGACTACATTGAAATACCTTTTTTGTACCTAAACTACCTCAATACTTTGATATTTTGATCTAAAAAACTTGTTTTTGGCCAAAAATCTTGATTTTTGTCCATTTCAGCCTTCCACAACACCCCTTCTTCCTCAATATATACATCCTCTACCTCAATATAAAGCAATTCAACCTCAACACAAACCTCTTCTACTCCTGTAAATACTACCCAACCATGAACAAGCTTCTCATTCTCCTCCTAGCCATCACCAGCCTCACAGTAACCGCCGAAAACCGCGCGAAACGCCAACTTTTGAGCGTTCTAGCGGCCGAGAACGCTGCCCGCCGTGCCGAAATCAATTCGGCCGTCGCCACCAACTTGGCTATGGCAACTGCGAATGCGGCCCGGATCCGTGCCCAAAACACGGCCCTGATCGAGCAGCAAATGATCGCGAACAATGCTCGGCGAACGGCGTTGGCCGCGCAGGCCAACGCCAATTTGAACGCGGCGGAGCTGCGAGCTGCGGCCAACACGGCTCGAATGGGCATGGGATATCCATTTATGTATGGATAAGTACTATAGCTATATTATATAAAGTATAGTAATTATACCTATTACGTTGTTCGCATAATTTTGAGCCATCTTTCAAAGCAAAATTGTTCAAATAATTCTGAGCCCCCTTTAAAAAAAATCTTTTTTATGATAAGAGGGCCCAGAATTATTTGAACAACCTAACAGATTTTAACAAAAAAAAGTGACAAAAAGTCTTGTCGTTTGTTTTCATTGGCTTTGACCTTAAAAAGCGACAAATCTTTCTGCATCTCCGCTAACCTCTTATCAATATGTTTTTTTATGAATACATAAGTTTTTAAAATTGGTAAAAGATGTCAATATCTCTACAATTTAATTTAAAAATTGCCTGTTTGTATTATAATAATGTTGGAATAAACTTTTTTAAATTTATCGTATTTTAAAATTCAAAATGAATAAAAATATTAATTTTTACATAAAAGAATAAAAAATTGGGGTTTGCAACCTGTAGGTGACAAGTTATACAATGAATAAAAATTTTTGATTTGTAAAAGTAAGTTCTTGCCATTTTTTGTTTTGTAAAAAAAGTTCTTGCCATTCTATGTCTTCTAAAAAAAATTATTTCCATTTTTTGTTTTGTAAAGAAAGTTTCTTCCATTTTCCATTCAAAAAAGCTAAATTAGGCGTGTGCAGCCTGCAGGTGACAAGTTATACGGTGAATAAAAGTTTCTGTTTTGTAAACAAAATTCTTGCCTATTTCTCAATTATTGCCAATATTGTAAACATGAAAAACGTCATTTTTGAGTAAAAATGGCAATTTATAGTTCATAAAAGTTATATAAATCGTATTTTACATTGATAATTCATCAAAAATGTAACTTTAGGTATGAAATACAAACAAAAATAAATATAATATATTACCTTAGGTCTAAACATACATTAAAAAAAGTATTAAGTGCCGACATAAAGAACCCGCCATACTGTCCCTGTAATTTCGTGTGAAAAATGGCGGGTTCTTTATGTCGGCACCTAATAAAACGATACAAAAACATAAACTTATCATATAATAAAGAGGCGAAACTCTTATCACTTTATCATTAAAAACCCAAAATCTGTTAAATTCTGCCACTTTTCATTGAACAGTTTATTCCGAATCATTATGATTGAGGTTGTGACAAATATGATGACATAGCCGTACAAATATTGATGGTTGTGAGATATGACAGAGTTAAATAGACATTTATATACACCCGACACTATTCTAAGATATACTGTACTTCACTCCGTTAGCTACAGTAGCAATTCAAAAAGCTACTGTAAGTTATAAAAAAACCTTAACTACCGTAACTGTAGGTTACAGTAATCTGTGAGAAAGATACTGTAGTAGGTAGAGTAAAGTAAGTTGAAAAAAATATATTGTACTTTGCTTACTCTTACTGTAAATCCAAAAAACGTAAGATTACCGAAATCCAAAAACTCATTACTGTAGAACCTACCGTACCCCACAGTACCTTAAAACCGGTAAAATGAACATATGTTAACAATAACAAGTAAATTCTAAAAATGAAGAAAAATCACAAATTATAGCCAACACAAGAGATTACTGTAACAAAAAAGTTACAGTAATCTTATTGGTTTTAAAAACCTTTAAAACTTAATTAAAATATAAAAATAGGTAACAAATATCGTGGTTAAAAGCTTTTGAATTGCTCAAAAATCGTAAAATTTCAAAAAATGGTCGTTTATAAAACGCGCCATTCTTTTTGCATCAAAAAAAATTTTTTTAAATTAGAAAAATATGACAAATATACTGTATTAAAAATGAAAAAAACATAGTATAGTTAAACTACTAATCCTACAAAAACTACAGTAATCCACATAGTCGCCTAGAAACCGAGAAATAACTACCGTAATCTTCCAGCCAAAAAACCTAAAAAGACAAAGTACCGTAACCCAAAATCCATCTAGATATGGAACTACAGTACTCTGTCTCGAAATGGGCTCTTAGATTACGGTAATCATAGTTGAGAAGACAAAGTTACAGTAATCCAATCCAAAATTACAGTAATCCAAACCAGAAGACAAAGTTACAGTAATAGTCCAGAAGTCAAAACTACAGTAAGCCAATCCAGAAGACAAAGTTACAGTAATCCAATACAACGCAAGGCCGATTAGAAGGCTCTGTTTGGAATACAGTACCTGGAGAGGTAGAAGTCACGGTACCTTTCGGAAATCAAGGTCCATCCAAGTTGATCGGCTAGCTAAAAAATTTGAAAATCAGTATTTTAATACCTAAATTTCAAAAAATTCGAAATTTAAAAAAAAATTATTATATTGTTCAAATAATTCTAAGACCCCAACTCCAAAAATTTGCTTTGAAGAGTAGCTCAAAGTTTTTTGAACAAGCTAAAAATTTCACAATTTTCAAAAAAATTTTTTTTTTCATTTTTCAATTTTAAAATCCCAAAAAACCCCCAAAACCACCTCACCCACCTCAAACATGACCTTCCACACGCCCACGGCCTCCTTCTGATTGGTGACCTTGATCAACTTCTTCAGTGCCAATCCCTTCAGTCCATGACACAGGAACTGCTTCACCTTCAGAATCCGGACCTCATTCGTTGTCATGTGCGAGATTCGGCCAAATTCTGTCATAACTTGGCCTATCAGCTCTAGTGTCACCTTCAGCTCGGAGTTTGATGACTTTTCATCTACCAGATCACCTACTACAACATGGTTAATATCCCCCTTCTCTGCTATAACTTGATTTTTAGATGGTTCAACGATTGCCAGTGATACTGTCGAGCTTCCTTGACTCAGTTCACATAGTTCGACTCCAGAATCCTTGGTTGTGATTCTGGATTCGGAGAGTAGGTCTTCTTGGGATGATATTGATGATGTTGATGGTTTCAGAGGTCTCATTTCAATCCCTTCGTCGGCCTGCAAATTAAAAATTCTTAAAAACTAATCAAATACATATTGTATGACAGCACAAGTACAAATTTTATTACAATTAGCAATATGACTTTAACATTACAAGTTCATTTTGGTCCCACCACGAAAACCCTGATTTTCAGGAAAATTAATTTAGAACCACCTTTTGTAACAAATAATATGAAGCAACAAATAACAAAGTGAAGTTAACTCATTTTTTTTCAAATCCAAAATATTTCATATAATAAGCTAAATTATGACCCCAACTTGGTCCCAACACGAAAACCCTGATTTTCAAGGAAAACGCCAACAATTGCCAATTTTGAGTTCCAAACCCTTAAAAATGAAGTCTAACCCCAAAAAAACCAAAACGCATAACCTCATTTTGGTACCACCACAAAAATCCTGAAATTCAAGCCAACATCCCAAAACTTCAAATCACCACTATAAATGCCTTCAGAATCTTAAGTAGACATTTTAAAATTCAAAAAAAAACTCTTGAATGTAAAAAATCTTCAGAACCCTTACCGACTCTTCTTCTCCACTCGAATTGCCTTCCTTATCAGCTTCAGCTTCGTTCTCTGACTGTGCATCTGAATCCACTTCCTTTTCTTCCTTCCCTTCTTCTTTTTCTTCCTTTATTTCTGTTTCTTCTTTGACTTCAGCGACCGTTTCCTTTAAACAGCCTTGTGATAGATGCTTTCTAGTCCAGCCTAGCCAACTTCCTTCGAGTTGCTCCGTCTTCTCGAGGTATCCATTATCAAATGTCAGTTTGAATTGATTTTTGAAGGCTGATGGGATATTATCCACGTTTTTGGCCAGATAATCGTCTAATAGAGTGTCGGCAAGGATTCTGTATGCTTCTTCCAGTTGTTGACGTTTTTCGTTGATTGAGCTGAAATTTATATTGTTTTAGGTAACAAATTTTACAAATTGATCGATAAAAAGGGTATATGATGAACAAAACGACAAAAACTTTCTTTCCAAAACAAAAAATGGCAAAAACTTTCTTTACAGATTAAAAAATTGCAAAAACTTTCTTTACAAAACAAAAAATTGCAAAAACTTTCTTTCCAAATCATAAAATCGCAGACTTTCTTTCCAGTTCAAAACACCCGCTAAATACCAATAATATTACCTTTCTCCACTAAATCCACCCCTAATTCAATGTCAACACCATAACCTCCCCCACTTCAATATAAATCCACCAAATCTACGCCTAATTCAATATAAAACCCTCATATCCACCCCCAGTACAATATACCTCCAATATAAACCTACTTTTTGTTATCGATCATGTCAATGTCCTTCTGATTTCGATTGCCACTATGTTGTAGTACCACATCTACCCCAACGAATTCGATGATTTTTTGTGACATTTCGTATATTTCCTTGACATTTCGCGTCTTTTCATTGTACAGTAAGGACAGTCGAGCTGATAGTACCTTCACATTCTCTGGATATTGTTTTATGAGTTGCTGGTATAGAGAAGTGGCAATCTTTTCGTCCTTGGTCTCTTTCATTTGGGTGATTTGGAAGTCTCTCATCGCTTCTAAAATTGAACATTGGTATTTTCAAGTTGAATATTAATGTAAACATAAGTTTTTTATAGAAAAATTACTAATAAAAGACATTTTCTGGCCTGATCTCAGTTCGAAATACTTACTTATTTAGACCTGAAAAGTTTCAAAAAGTCAGTTTATACCTAAAAAATAAAGGTTTCATCCATAATTAAACAATATACTAGTTCTTTCTATATCTTGTCGCCTATGCTTCTAATCTTCCTCACATTCATCGTAACACCTCGCTTAATCCCCTTCCGACCACCGTTTTAGACTTTATTCAATAGTACAGTACTAGTACTCATAAACTCTTTCCAAAAGTGCAAGCCAAACCTCGTCAGTCGAGAATTTGCATCTTTTGTCTATATCTTTGTTAACTGCTTTTAAAATTAAAAAAAATGTAAAACATGCATATGAGTTCGCATCTCAACATAGCAAAATCGGTAGATAAAACCGATAAAAAACATAAACTTCGATCCTTAAGGGTCAAAGTATCTAATCTTTAAGTTCTCTTTGACCCTGCGGCGAGCATCAAAACTTATGCTATTGCGCAATAGCATAAGTTCGTAGATACTAAGAGGAATAAAGTTTTCTACAGATTTGCGATATTTGTGCTCAATTTTTCTATAAATCGTTGGATCGTGCATCGACAAAATCAGTCAACTCAACACTTCCGTTCAGAGTAGGTGGCTCAAGTTTTTTAGCTCGCAAATACTTCTTTTTGTTAAATCTTTCGTATTTTACTACAGTAGAACTCCAGTATGACAAATCGTTATTAAATATGATTTAAATGTTTTCGTTATACAGGTGTTTCACTGTACTTATTGTTCATATGTTTCGTATTTTACTATGATTTTATGTTTGTATGTTCTTGTATAATCACTAGACCTATAAAAAGTCGGGCCTAATGGACCGTTTTGTTTAATAATGACCTTGTTTTTTATACTGAAAGTCTACGCCATTCTTTCCCGCACACATGAATGTGAATGCCAAGCCTTTTGTGCCACGACCAGTAAAAAAAGGAAAGCAACATCCATTAATTCACTCTAAAGTCGACGCCTTGCCATTCTATCCTAATAGGTTTTTGGCTGAAGAACAAAGATGGAACCTTCATCTAACTGCAGATGGCAACGAGATGCTCATTTTTTAATCGCAAAACTACTGTAAAATTATTGTTAATAGTTCAATTGAACCTTATAGATGTATATACCAAGGTGGTTTTCAAGTCATTGTTATTTACGTGTGATATTTAACCAGTGATTGTAACACGAATATGAGTAATAAATAATAAAATTATTAAAAGAATAGTTTCAGTAAAATAATGTAATAGTATGCTCAATGTTTACCTAAAAAAATTTTAAAAACTAGAAAAATTACTCAAAAAAGGAAAATTTTGAGCTTTCAAGACAAAAAAACAATCTATACCTTTACCAATAGAAGGCAATTTTTTGAGCTTTTTTTTTAACAATAATACGCCATTTTAAAACTAAATTTTAGCCAAAAACGGCTAGTTTTGAGCTTTTTTGTCTGAAAAACGCCACTTTAACCTTATACTCTTATCGAAAAACAACAACTTTTGAGCTTTTATAGCTATACAATGTGATTTTAACACTAAATTTCAACTTACAACAACTACTTTTGAGATTTCAAGACTAAAAAATGCCCATTTCAACCAACATAAGATCATAGCTTTATCAAAAAATCCTACTTTAAAGATTTTATTGCTACAAAACGTCATTTCGACACCAAATTTTCAAATTTTGGCCAAAATCGACCATTTTTGAGCTTTAGACTAAAACATGCCACTTTCATTCCATATATGGCCGTACGCTAACCAAGAAAAGGCAATTTTTGAGCTTTTACTGCTATAAAATGCTTTTTTAACGCTATATTTCAACCAAAAATTGCTCTTTTTGGACATATACTCAAGAATAAGCCATTTTTCGAGCTATTATAAGATAATTTACACCAACTTCTTACCTTTGAACTTGTCTTCAGCCGTCTTCTCCTCCTCCTTCTTTCCTTTCAGCTCCACGATTCTGCCAGTTTTGTTCATATTGGCCTTGGGGAAGGAGCTGATATGCATGTACACAGTTTGTCCCAGATCTTGTGGCCTTAACGACATGTTTCCTACCAGACAATCGCCTGCCTTCACCCAGTTCGGTAAGCTTTCTGTTATCATTCCATTGTACCACAGCTTCTTGGACTGGCCTGGTCGGATCGATACGGTTGGACTGGAGTTGCGTCTTCGCTGGGCATCACTGTAGCTCGAATATAGGCTGAGGTTGACTGGCTTGATTTTGCTTTTGATCTCCAATGCTACTGCGGTAAACTTCTCGAGGAAGGTGGTATCTTTGTGTCGCATCTGTACCACCAACCTGTAGTCGCCTTTGTCCAGGTTTTGGTACTCTTTGCCACTGGTCGGTTGAATGAATCTTTGGTGGTCGAAAAGTTGAAGTGATAGACATTCAATTTCATTACCATAGTAATGATCAGCTACTCCGGGTAGGGCAAATCTGTGGGTAGCACATGCATCTACAGTAACCTTGTAGGTCAGGTAGAGACCGTACATCTTGACATTGTCCATGAAGTAGACTCGTTCGTCCAGGGGTTCTATTTCGAAATTCTTCGGTAATTCGTGTCGTTTCACCCAGTTATAGGATACTGTAGGGCTGAAGGTCAATGGACAAATGTCATTGTAGAGGGATAGTTCGCCGACGGCCGAGGCGGTGTACTGTAAGTAAAATACGAAGTAAAATGGGTTACTACAGTAAAATACAAAGAAACGTGAGTTTTTTATTACTTAAAATACCTTGCCGCTCTATCCTTAAAATGGCAGTTTTAAACTTTTTTGTTACCTAAAAATTTCAAAAATCTTCTTGCCAAGTCTAATAAACGCCATTCTTCCTGCTTTTATCACCTAAAAACCTCAAAAACTTTCTTTCCAACCAAAAAAAAACCAATTTCGTCTAAACTTGTTACCTAAAAACCTCAAAAAATCAGCAAAACCTTACCATATCTCCCAGATTTCCGTAGTAACCCAAAAATTCGAATTCTACGTCGATTGTAGCTTCTGTGTCAAAGTTTGACCAATCGAGGACAGCACAAAACTCCAAGGAACCACGAGGACCAGCCCATTTGGTTACCTTCAATTCCGCCTTTGGTTCCAGGGTGTATAACTGAAATATTGTAGTAGGTATATTCATCCTTTAGCTTTTTTAGACTTCATAAACACTAAATCATCATTATAGTGTTGTAGCATCTTCAAAATGTCATACATAGTAAAATTTTAAAATTTTTTTCAAAATTAAAAAACCATTTCAAAATCGATTTGATCCCACCACGATAACCCTGGACCTTTTAAACCCTTACAAAAATCAAATAAATGCCCTAAAACGTCTTTAATATGTCTAAAAAGTTCAATTTCATCCAGTTTTTCAAAATTAAAAATGACATTTGAAAGTCGATTTGGTCCCACCACGAAAACCCTGATTTTCAATAAATAGCCTTCAAATCCAAAACTAATATTCTTTTATCGTTCGTTATGTTATACAAATCCTATATTTCACTTCTAACTTTACTTCTTTGCAGAAAAACTTTCGTGGTGGGACCGAAATCGTTCACCATATTTAAGCTATTCTACTATAATATAAAAATAACAGTTTATACTCTAGTAAAATACGATAATAAACTTCTAACTGTATGCTACTAGACTAAACAATTCTATTCGTATTAGGTTGTTCAAATAAGTTTGAGCCACCTGACCCCGATTTGATTTGAGAAGAAGCTCAGAATTATTTGAACAACCTAATACTACCCTTTATGACCATATTATACCAACAGCTTGTATTTATACTACTCTTACCGTATAATCATCCTGAGCCGCCACCTTTTGAGCAAAGTTCAAATAGACTTTGGTGGTCGAAAACGGGTCCGTCGACCGCACTTTGACGTTGACTTCGGTAGAATGTGGTGGGCATTTGATGAACAATCGCTCTGGTTGTCCGGCAGTCAAGTTCATGTTGGTCTTCATCAGATTTGAGCCCTCGTCCAGTTCGATCGGCTTGATTACCGTGACTGGGACACGAAAGATTGGTCCGGCAGTGGATGTTAACTTAGTTTTTGGATCAACCTCATAGGCTAGAATCTCTGAATAATGAACTTTGCCAGCTTCTAGGTTCTTTGGGTCTACTCGTACTTGGAAGCATGAACAATTGTTGGTTAGGAGGATGTTCTTGGCATGTTTTAGGTATGGAACGGTCGATTCTAGGCGAACGTGTCGTTGGAAATTGATCTTTGTTGTGTTTTCTACTGCAATTTCAAATTTTAGTTTAAATTTTAAAATGATAAAACTATGTTTTACTTAAAAATTAAAAAAAAAATTTTCGATAATTTCGAAAAATTTCAAATAGCCATAATTTCAGTTAAAATTAATAATATAAGTTAATTTTTTAATAAACAGCTCATTATCAACCCTAGCTTGTGTTCCAATCAAAAAATTTCAAATCCTCATAAATTTTTCAAAAATTTCGAAAAATTTCAAATTGTCATAACTTTGTTCAAAATGATGGCAAATGCCCGATTCTTTCGTTAAATGACTTAAAATTGATCCTACCTCTCATATTTGTGTACGTTTGCCCTCATTTCATTTAAAAATTATCGAAAAAACCAAAAAAAATTTTTTTTTAATTTCAAATTGTCATAACTTTTGCCACATTAATGATAAATACCTCATTCCTTTTGCAAACATGTTAAAATAGTCCTAACTAACATGCCTAAAAAGCTTTTTTTCAAAACTCAAAAATTTTTTTTTCGAAATTTCAAAAATAAGAGCTTGTAAAACAAAAAAAAATTTTTCTTCCAAATTTATGCAAATTAACCCATAAAATAACAATTTTTTTCCAACCCAAAAAACAACTTTAAAATACCTCCTCCTTACCTTGACTATTCTTAAAATACGGTTCCACCCAAACCTTGTAGTCAAAGTTATTCTTCAGTTGATATGGGTCCCTAATGTAGATACCCCTCTTTTCTTGATCACTACCACCCATAGACACATGTCCCACCGTGATTGTAAAAGCCGATAGTTCCGCGGGTAAATGCAGTTTCTGTAGCACATCGTACGCCGCTTCTAGGTCAAGAATTCCGTGTCCATAGTCCAGTTTCGTCAATTTTTCCGAATTTTCCGGGATTTTGGCCGAGTTTTCGAGTGCCAATTTCAATTTGAGGGGTGACATTTTAATGTTATGTGCCTTGGCTGCTGTGAGAAGACATGCTGCACAGCCTGCTGCGTTTGGAGCCGCCATTGAAGTGCCGTTTTTCAGTTCTGCGGCGTTTAGTGAATAGGATGGCATTCCGGCGTAGGCTGCGCCTGGAGCGGAGAAGTTCAAGCCTAGGCCTCCATCGGAACTGAAAATAAAAAAATTACTTTTTTGAAAATATAACACTAAAAAATGACTTTAGACCTTTTTGTTACTTAAAATCCAAAAATTATCTGAAATCTATAATAAAAATTTTGTTACCTAAAATATTTTTTTAAATCTGAAACATTTTTTTTTTCATATTATCAAAGGGTTTATATTAGTAGTATTACTTAAAATTTCAAAAAGTTTTCAAAAATTCGCAAAATCTTACCTAAAATACCAAAAAATCAAATAATTGTTACCTAAAAATTCAAGACCATCAAATTTTAAAAAAACTCAAATTTTTCAAAGCAAAAACTCACGTAGGACCTCTGGAAGAAAAGTGTAGCATGTGAGTTTGTCGTTTCTCCATAGTACCATACAGTACTTCGGCCGCTTCCTCAGGCAAAACCGCTCCGACCGAGAAAATAGCCGAGGTTTGGGCGGCTGGATCAGTAACACTGGATAAGGCTGGTCCTTCGTTGCCTGCAGACGCAAAGAATGGAATTCCATAGTCGTTGACTAGTTTGTTTAGGTAAGACAAGAGTGTGCCAGTCGGGTAAACTTTCGAATGGGCTGAGCCGTAGGAGAAGTTCACTAGATCTACGCCGATTTCGGCACAGTAGTTGATCTGAAATTGGTCGAATATTGACGTCAGACAAATGTTGTAGTACTTTTGAAGAACGTTCCCGTAATTTTATTAAACATATTTACAGTAGCCCAACTTTCAAAATTCAAATTTTAGATTTCGCGCCCTTTTTGGCATAGTGTCTTAAGAATCCAAAACTTGAAAAACTGTTGCAAAATGCAGAATCATACTATTAAAAAACATTTTTTAAAATTTTAACCTATAATATGGCAATGAAAACCCTTAAAATTTCAAATTTTAAATTTCGCGCCATTTTTGGCATAGTGTTTCAAAAGCCCAAAATTAAAAAAAAACTGTTTCACAATGTTTAATTATATTATGAAAATCCATTTTTTAAAATTTTAGCTTATAATATGGTCATAAAAACACACTCGAAAATTCAAATTTTAAATTTCGCGCCATTTTTGGCATAGTGTCTCAAAAACCCAAAATTTGAAAAAATGCTGTAAAATGCAAAACCGTACTATTAAAAAACTGTTTTCAAAATTTTACCTTATAATAAGGCCATAAAAACCCACTCGAAAATTCAAATTTTAAATTTCGCGCCATTTTAGCAAACTGTGCCAAACCTCAACTTCGAACACTTTTCTTAACTTTAAGATTTCTTAAGCTTCTAGAAATGCATTTTACACCTATTTACAAAAAACTAACCCTTCCCCCTCCCCTCTTTCTCTAAAACATTCCCCCCCCCCCCCTCAAATTTTTTAAAGTTAACATTACATTAAAAGTTAACAAAAAATGATCAGACCCAACTCTAAATCGACCAAAAACCCACTACTTCGACCAAAAACCCTCAAAAAGTGCTTCAACTTACCGCTCGGCTAACACTTTGACCCAGTGATCTGCCTTTGTTTCTATGATCACCAATCACAATCGATACAATCTGTGCCCCCGGGGCTAGTCCACTGCATTCTGGCTGATCTGGGTAATAAGCTGCGGCAATGTGAGCACAGTGAGTGCCATGAGAGCCAGAGGGCGTGGTAATTTCCAACAAATTTCCATTATTTCTTATTGCCAAACAGTAGGTTAGGCTGTCTGGAAAGGGTAATATTAGTCATTAATCATGTTTTTTGGCCGAATAATCAATTTTAACTTAAAACACTGAGTTTAAATATCATGCTAACATCAGATAAGATCATATTTTTCTATTATTGACCAGTTTTCCGTCGATTTTTTCAAAAAAAAGATAAAAATTGAAAAAACATACCTTCAGGGGTGATATAACCCCATTGTCGTGAAGTTTTGAAGTCAGTCATGACTGTACATTCGCTCAAATTGCCATTAAAAGTATTGTCCAAACATGCGCTAAAATATTTTTTATTAAAAAGCTGCAAGAACTTTCTTTACAAAGCAAATGACAAGCTAAAACAAGCTTTCCAGGCCCAAAAACAGGCAAAATCAACCATTTGAAGCCCAAAAATCTCCTTTAAATCCCCAAAAAACAGCAAAAACATTCTTTCCAACCCATCAAATCGCAAAAACTTTCTTTCCACAACAAAGACCTTTAACTTACACCCATTTATCTCCATCATGCCAAACAATACAGTCCAAAACTGGACCAGAATCCATTTTATTAACAAAGCTCCTCGGATATTCCAATTGAAACTCCAAATCTTTTCGTTTCCATTTGTCGGTCAAATTCTTCGAAGTCTGACCAACTGATATGATATGATCATTGAGCTTTTTCAGATTATCTGATATTAATGGAGCGTGTTCTTGTGTTACATTCCTGTCTCGACGTGATTCTTTGATCCGACATTGAAGTTCTTGTGGATATAGTTCGAAGAGTCGTTTTAGGCCTAATCTGTATTCGTTTGAAGGATTCTTCCATGTAGATAAAACCTGGAATATAATAGCATGATAATAATGGCCGTATTTTACAAAAACAATCGCTGTATTTCACATTTTTGGTGCCAAAACATGTTATTTTAGGTTTAAATCTGCCTAAAACAATATAAAATCTCAAAAAGCTTTACTTTTTCGATTTAAAAGTTCTGAAATTTAACCTTCTTGTTAACCATAGTATTGAGAAACTTTTCACAAATTTCTGTTTTATCTCATTAAAATTAAGAAAAGATACATCAAAAATAGCAAAATCGCTCCAAAACTGCCTAAAACAATATAAAATTCGACAACACATAAGTTTTTCTTTTTTCAAAAATTCTGAAATTTACTACACTTGTTAACAACAGTATTGAAAAGCTTTACACAAATTTTTATTTAATTTCATTGAACTTAAAAAAAGTTGCGTCAAAAACCGTCAAGACCATCTAACACAATACCAAATGACCGAATTTTCGCGCAGACCGTAAAAGAATAAATCCAAATCTATGTTCACTTGTTATCTAAAATATACCATAGTTTAAAACCAATTTTTATACAACTACCTTTACTTTCCCTCAAGTTACAACAGTTTTCCTATATTACACTACCCACTAATGTGTTCACCACAATATAACACCTCATGAAACCTCAAATTCGCCTAGTAAACTAACAAATCATATCTAAAAACCTTCTCACTTTTAATTTGCGACCAGTCAATCCAATAATTTCCCCGTTTTCATTTGGTTTCCTGATTTCTGTCGTTATCACATCTCCAGCGCCCGTAAAGTTGACGGCGTCGATGATTTTGGGCAAACCTGTGGATGTTGTTTGTAGTCCAGGTGCTGCCAAGTCCACTCCCATGTCCAAGATTGCAATTACAGTGCCACGCCCATCGAATTCCGGATGTTTGGCCAAGAATTCTGGCTAAAAAGTGAAAAAATTGAGATAAGGAATATTATCATAGGTGGTTTACGTTTAACTCAATATATTTGAAAGATTAGTAGTTTAATGTAGCCAAATTTATACTTACCTGTTTAACAATATCCTTGGGGATCAGTTGATGTGAAGGGAACTGATCTTCGACCATTTTTATTAGTGGTTTCGGTCGATTTTATGGCACCAATACCTGCAATCTCGGCCTCGGGAGTTGGGTGAGCGCCTTTGGCTGAAAATGGCAATTTTATAGTGTTATATGTAAAATACGAAAACGCATAAGTAAATAATATATTCTCCAACTATAAAAACGCAAAATATAGAAGTTCAAGAGGTAAAAGTAGCTAAAAACGTGCAAAATTATATTATCCATGAGGCCAAAAGCTCAAAATAGATAAAAAATCAAATTTTAAGAAAAATTATTAAAATATATCTCAAAATTTTGTAAAATACGGTTATTCTAGATAATGAACGAGAGGTTTTATCAGTCTTTGGCAGAAAATCAAAGAAAAAGCAGCTTTGATAAGGCCGAGATCTGCGCCCTATATGCTGCAGGCTGCAGACTTTGAAAACTGCTAAAATCAAAAAGAGGTGACTTAACAGATCATATAAAAGTAATGTAAAGATAATTCTAATAATTTTAAAAAATTTTTTACGTTTTTCAAATTATGTAGTTTTTCAATATTTTTCGAAATTTGAAAAATTAATAAAAATCCGAAAAAATAGCTAGCAATCCATCAAAGAAGGTCCTTTCCAGACCAAAATACGTGTTCGCAACAAAAAGGACACCCAATAAAAAAGCGGGTTAAAAGTGCATCAGCTGCTCAGACGGCTGGCTCTAATGGACCTTCAAAAAGAAGGGGGGGGAGGGGGAGCATAGGAGAGCAAAAAAAGGGGGGGGGCGTGAATCCTGTGACTGACAAAGAACGTCAAACGCTTTTTTTGAGGTTTGTAAAAAGTATTAAGAGGGGAAAAGGTTCGAAATAGACTACACTTTAGGCTTCACGTGATTTGTGGTTGTCACCTTTTTGATGACAAAAGTTTTAAAAATTTTTTTTTCAGAGGAAAATGAAAATTATAATATATTATCTTAAAGAGAGTGAAAAGTTATGTTAAAGATAATTTTTTTAGATGTTACAGTTAACAAATGATCTAAATACAGCTCTTTAAAATTTACCATAGCCAAAAATGGGATTTTCAATTTTTTAATTTTAAACTACCTCTGACATACCCTACCTTACCCTACCCTACTCTACCCTACCCTCTACCCTACCCTGCCCTGCCCTACCCTACCCTATCTTACCCTACCCTTCCCATACCCTACATCAAAATCACCCCTACTCCACCCCAACCATAACCACTACCTTCGCCTTTAACCCACCCAACCAACCTTTTTTTTCAAATTCAAACCCATTTGATTAAAATTGCGTCAGCTTGATGACATTGTTCACGTATTTATTTCAATTAATATTGTTGTTGTAACAAGAATGTTAACAACAAAAGTTAAAAATTTTTGAAAAACAACAAAAAACATGAATTTTGAAAGTTTGATTCACAAAAGTTTGCCCAAAATTCATGATTCAAAGCTTTTTAGCTGAAAATTTAAAATAAGATGTCATTTTATAAGGTAGGTGGCAAGAATTTTCTTTACAAACCAAGAAATGGAAAGAACTTTCTTTAAAAAACATAAAATGGCAAAAACTTTCTTTACAAAACAAAATATAGCAAGAACTTCGTTTACAAAGCAAAAAACGGCAAGAACTTTCTTTACACCGATTTTCAGCTTTATCACATGAATTAGTAAATACCTACTACAATATACAAACCCAAAAATTTTAAATTTTACAAACTTTCCTTCTCGTACCCTACCCTACCTATTGTCTATCCTAGCTTTATATACCCCAAATTTCATCAGATTTTAAGAAAAAAATAAAATTGTCACACCTAATTCTGTACATTTTGTAACGTTAATGTAGTTAACCCACCTGATCCCAAGGTTGACTCAAATGAACAAAAGCTTTTAAAAATTTGGAAATTAGTCAAAATTTGGGAAACTAATTTAAAAATTAAATCAAGGTAAGGGGAAATGGTCATCATTGTACTGAAAAACTTGGAAGTAAGAAAGTTATGGCTGAAATAAGGCTAGAATAAGGCTTGGATAGACAAATTAAGGTAAAGTAAGAATTGAGAAACGCTACTGCAAACTTAAAGTGAAGCTACAGCAAGGCTACAATAAGCAACAGTAAAGCTAGGATAAGGGTTAGGTAGAGAGGTGTCGCTATGTTTTGTAAAGAAAATTCTTGCCATTTTGTAATTTTTAAAAGCTAGGGGAGGGGGTGGGGGGTGGATCGAGAGAAAATCCGTAGCGACACGCCCGAATGTAAGGTAAAGTAGAAGAGTTGATAGGTAAATTAAGGTAAGGCTAGACCAAGGCTAGAATAAGGTTTCAGTAAAGTGAAGTAAGGTTAAGCAAGGCCCGTTTAAGTAACTTAAGGTAAGATAAGTTAGAGCAGAATAAGACAGACTATGAAAGCTTAGAGTCAGCTAACACTGAGTCATAATACAGTGGAACCCCTGTATAACAAACTTCACTGAGCGATTCGTTATGCGAGAGTTTCGTTATAGAAAAGCTCGTTACACCGTTGTTTCGCTATATCTGTATAAACAAGCTAATAATGGTAGTTTAGTCCCCTAGTACAAACCCATACCTAATTTTGAAAAAATCAATTGAATTGCAAAATCAATAATAATATATTCAAATCCCATTAGTGGCCTTATATTAATAACTCATAGTAGTATAATGTTTTGTTAATCCTCTCTTTTGGAAACTAAAAATAACTAAAACTCTTTAAAAGTTACAAAATGACAGATATTTTCTTAATGGCTCAAGAAGTGGCAAGAACTTTCTCTACAAAACAAAAAATGGCAAGAAATTTCTTTACAAGTCCTAAAATGGCAAGAACTTTCTTTACAAAACAAAAAATGGCAAGAACTTTCTCACCGACCAAAAAAATTTTTGGTCTCCAGCTTCCCCCCCTTATCTCACAGAAAAAATCTAAAAATCTGTAACGACTTCCCTGTCAGTATCACTTCAAACTGAACTCCTATTTAACGAACTTCTGTATAACGAAAGCTCCATATAGCAAGCAAATTTAAAATCCTCAGCTAACGCTATACAGTGCATCTGACCCACCCCATCCCCCCCCCCTTTTGTACCAAAACTCTTTCATAACAAACAAAGTTTAGAACCCCCAGGGTCCAGAAATTCATTATATATACAAAAGTTCGACCTACAACAACCCCTATTCATAACCTTACAACTGTTAGCCCCAAGTGTTATCACTAGCGAATTGAGTGACCCAAAAAAAGCCCAAAAGCGAAAAAAAGCTCTCGATTTTCGCTTCGAACGTTGGGAGGAACGGAGAGAGAGAAAAGCACGTTGAGGGGCGGTGCCAGTCACCCGCAATTCTTTTTTTCTCATTTCGACTTCAAAGTGCACGTGAACTTTCTGGATTTAAGCCTAAAGGGTAGCAGATACGTACTTCAAGGGATGCAAATAGAGATTGGGCCTATGTTTATATCTTTGTGGCCACATAATTGTCATAAAAAATAGCATGAAATTGAAAAAAAATTAAAACTGTTTTAAAAAATTTTAAAAGCAATTTGTTCTTAAGGCTTAATACTTAGCGTATTAGGCTTACTTTCAGCTTCATAAGCTTATAAAATTGTCTTTAGGCTTACTTTTTTAAATACTTGGCTTAATAGGCTTGCTTTGATTTTGCAAAAACTTTCTTTCCAAAAGCAAAAAATGGCAAAAACTTTCTTTACAGTTTGCCAAGAGGTAAGAACTTTCTTTAGAAAAAAAAGGCAAGAACTTTCTTTCCAAAAAATAAAATGGCAAAAACTTTCTTTCCAAAGCAGCAAACGACAAGAACTTTCTTTCCAAAACAAAAAATTGCAAGAAATTTATCTCCAAGCCGAAAATGGCAAAAACTTTCTTTACAAAAAATGAAACGGCAAGAATTTTTTTTACAAACAAAAAATTGCAAAAACTTTCTTTACAAAACAAAAAATTGCAAAAACTTTCTTTCCAAAAGCAAAACATGGCAAAAACTTTCTTTCCAATACAAAATATATTGCTTTTGAGATAAATAAGGTCAATCTACAGTGGAAATCTGAATCTTTAGCCTCAAATTAATACCTAAATTAATATAATGCTAACCAAATTGATATTAAGCGTAGCTGCTGACCTTTTGTGTTATCAGCGTGCAGACCATGTGATCTATTTTTATTCGCTGATTCGACTAATACCACCTTCCACGTTAATGTACTTTGCATTGTATCATAGATAGACAAACGCTATTAATAGAGATGTCGTGTGATTAAAGGGGGGGGGGGGGGCTTAAAAATTTTATCACAAATTTTTATATTTTGCAAAATTTTTAAGCTTAACCATATTTTTTGTAGGCTTAATTATAAAAAACAAGCAAGTTAGTTGCAATTTTATGTTTTGTAAAGAAAGTTCTTGCCATTTTATCCTCCGTACAAAAATTTTTTGTCATTTTTCGTCGTATAAAGAAAATCCTTGCCATTATGCGTTGTAAACAAAGTTTCTTCATTTTCTGTACAATGCTAGCAAAATTAGCCTTGCGCAACCTGCAGGTGACAAGTTATACGACGAATACGCTTTTGCAATTATTTTTGTCATTTTTTTGCCTTGTAAAGGAAGTTCTTGCCATTTTTTGTTCTGTAAAGAAGATTCTTGCCATTTCATGTTTTGTAAAGAAAGTTCTTGCCATTTTTTGCTTTTAAAGAAAGTTCTTTCCATGTTATGCTTTGTAAAGAAAGTTCTGGCAAAAAAGTGTTTTCTATTATGTTTACCTCAGTAAACAGCCTTGTTTTTCTTTTTTGACACTGTCAATTGACCTTCTTCATCTCATAAACAATATAATTCTATTCTCAGACTAATCGAATCCGTCTTATGGCCCCATGTCTGGCCATTTTTCGCTTTTTTGCGGCCGAACGTTCAGGAAGGCTCACGAAACGTTGAGAGCGTCAGCCGACTCGAAACGAGGAAGTTCTGCCCCGAAGGAATTGAGAAATAGCCAGCCGGCTGGCATGAACACACACGAGGAAAAGAATATAAAAAAAGGC